CAAGTCTCTTTCTCAATTAAACTTTGTCACAATTAAAAGTGGAATGTAAAAAACAAAGTTGTTGTATGTTATATTTATTAGATGATGTTCAATTATGTACAATTTTTGTTTAAATTAATACATTCGGTCAGGCGAGCTACGAGCCCTTCAATTAAATGAAAAGCATTTAATGCAGAGTATATTATTTCCTTCTTATTTTTAGTAGGTATATTATCAAGTAAATTTCCACAAACTGTCACTGAAATATTGTTTTGATCTTCAGAAGCACTCTTCCCTTCTTCAATTTCTTTTAATTTTTCTTCGTAGTGAGCTTTCGACATGTTCAGTCCTGTTCTTAATGGATCTAAATAATCATTTTCTATCATTGTAAAACAGTCCCTGATTCCACTTAGATTATTTACATCTTTTAATGTTAGATATCTTAAGAAATTCAGAGCAGTAATGATCTGGTCAGCAAGTTCCACCAGGTCAGATTGGGCACCATGAGGTAAAAGGCATATTTTCTTGATCATGCTCAGTAGTTGAGGTCCAGTGAAGCAATCAGATAGCACTTCTTCTTTGAAAGCTTCATCCACACAATTTTTATACAAAGTGATTGAATAACCAATTATTCCAGAGTGGTTGCTGCTATCTAGGAGATATTTTATTAACATACATCTTCCTGTGTATTGAAATTTATTAACATGTATCTCAATTAAGGATATAGCACTTTTACGTATAGATTCATAATTTGAATAAATTGCAACATTTACAAGACTCTTACACAATTCAAAATGAACAGAAGAAGATAATAGGGCATCTGAAGTTTTATTGTCCAGAAAGTTTACCAACACTTTACATAATGTGATTGCTTTAGCTAAAGGACCATATTCAGTAAAACTCAGTAAATGTATTACACAAGGCATTACAGAATGTATCAAATACTCTTTCTTAAATATTTGTGGAACTGAATAAGATGGTATCTCAAAATGACCAGATAATATGGCATAAAAGAACCCTGATAAAGTTGTTATATTTATTTTATCCCTGTGAGTGTAAGGATCTTCTTCATTAAGATCTTTCTTTTGATTAGATTTTGTGTTCTGTGATTCTCTGTAACACACATCAACATGTACCAACAGTTTGAGGACATTTTTTTCTAATTTACAAATATCTTTCACAATGATTTTGCAATTTTCCCTGATTTCACTTTCTGCACCCAAATTAGGATCAACATTAAAATAAATAAAAGGTTTACCTAAAAGGCTGATTAAAAATACAGAGACTATTTCTTTTGCTTTAGTATTATCAGTACTGGATTTCATAATTTCATCAATAAAAGGATCATAAAACAATGGTAACATAGAATATATCTTTGTAATCCTTCTAAAATTCGGAATACTATCTAGTAACAAACATTCTTTTTCTTCTAGATTCAGATCAGGTATTGATATGCCCTCAATATAAGTTCTAATTGAATTGAAACACCATTCTAATGATCTTCCTCGCTTTCCAGATAGCTTTTTAAGTACTTGTTGCAATGGTGTTAGAGAGACAGAAAATTGGGCATCATTCTTTGCAAGTTCAATTTGTTCAATGAATACTAAAAGTGTCTCTTCTGGNAAACATTCTTTTTCTTCTAGATTCAGATCAGGTATTGATATGCCCTCAATATAAGTTCTAATTGAATTGAAACACCATTCTAATGATCTTCCTCGCTTTCCAGATAGCTTTTTAAGTACTTGTTGCAATGGTGTTAGAGAGACAGAAAATTGGGCATCATTCTTTGCAAGTTCAATTTGTTCAATGAATACTAAAAGTGCCTCTTCTGGAGTAGATCTTTCTAATATGATTGATAGAAGTTGTTCACATGCTGCATACAAAGAAGGTTTAATAGTAAGAGTATCATCATCAATTTTCTTTATGATAACCGATACTATTTCCCAACAGTTTTCTTTGAAATTTTCTATATGTTCTTCATCATAAGGTATACTCAAGGCTTCTTTATACTTCTCTGAATCTAATAATTTAGAAACGATTGCAACGATATTCACCGACTCGTTCATGTTTTTGTCACATCCAAAGCACTCTGAAATTTTAAGTGCTATTTTGTAAAATTAGCGCGGTTTTAATGTCTTCAACATGTCAGAATTTGCATTTCATAATTTTAAATGTTGGCTAAGGCTTTTATTTTTTATAAAAATAAAGTAATACTTACAGCGCAATATCTTCTGTAAATTACTCATATTCCAGTGTCTTCTATTAAATGTAAAATAATGTAAATATGTATGTACTTTTACGAAATACCGTGGAAATACCTAACTTTTCTTTGACTAAATTAATTAATATGTGTTTAATCTATGTTTGACTAAATTAGTAGACAGATTTTCTTGTTTATTTCGCGCAGTAGAAAGGTAAAAGAAATATAGCCCATACAGCCAAGACTGTCAAAGTGATTTTAATCGACAATCAATAATGTAGACTATTAACTTTAAGTTTAAGGTTTTGTTTCTTGAGTGCTTCGTTTCAAGTGAATGAGCATCTATGAGCAAAATTAATTCATTTAACTAAAGTGTATTCATTCAGCAGGTTATCTAATTTTAGCAACAAATGATTTGGCTTGCTATACGTACACTTTGTATTTCAATTCCTCCAATTAAATAAAAAGAATATTAACTGTGTTAGTGGTCAATCCATTTTAAAATTGCAGGTTTGTGATACTTACTTGTTTATGGTTTATCTTCTAATGCCGGCCACTCACATGCGCGCAAATATTCGTACATTGTACGAATGTTTGCGCGCATGTGAAGGGCCGTCAAACATTCATTCGCAAACTTAGCGGCTGTGCAAATGAGTTCGGTACTCAATTTGCGAACCCGTTTGCGCTTCCTCCTACACTTGTTTACGAATGTCTCACGAATTTCTCCTCCTTTTTAATTCTTCAATAGAACATTGAAGAGAAAGAGAGTTTTGAATTCTTTCCCAGACATCATTAACAGCCATGCTGTTTTTATGGGATTTCTTTTGATGAAGATACGCTACACAGTAGATGTCATGATCTATGAAAATAGCGAAATGTCCGTTGCCTTCGCAATCCTGGGCGCAACTGGTCACACGAATGTGTGGGAGACTACGCAAAGGATCGCGGTTCGCGCCCTTTGATGTCTGTTAAAAAACCGACACAGCTTGGAAAACCACGAATGCAGCGAAAACTTTGCATAATCATTTGCAAATGTCGTCCTACACTTACGGGTTTGCGTATTCGTGCGAATGTGAGTGACCGGTATAACATCAAAAGATGAAAAGCCATAAATTAAAATATTAGAAACTGATGTGTCTGTACATAAAAGAAAAGAAATAAAAATAGAAAAGAGCTACAATAGAAGAATAATCTAATAAGACCTAAGCTTTGGTATAAAATAAACTTAAAACAAACAAAAGAAATCCGTCCGACGCGGCGACACATCAAAGGAAAAACAAAATTGTTATTTTTATTTAATTCCGAGCATTTTCATATCTATCTTTTTATTAGCTTTTATATTAATCGAGGTTATCAAATAATAATATTTGCTTTAGAGTAACTTTGTCAGTCTGTTCCGTTTTTTTCCCAAACCATTGAACCGCATTTGACAAAACTCGATACTTATGGAAATAGTTTGAGACTTTCACGTATTATACACGAGGCTTTAAGTTACGTTTCTTTTTTGTTAATTTAGTGGTCTTCAAACGTAGACGTGTATTAAAGGTGCTTTATTAGTTAGAAAAATGAAACAATTTTTTGGGCGGAGTGTCATAGTTTGAAAAAAGTCTGAGGGAGTTCATATAGAGTCCCTTCTTTATTTCGCCGTAAGGTCGTGTTTTATGTAATTAACACCACAGTTGGAACAATAGAAATTTTATTGTTGTAGCGGCATAAACAATTCTAAGTAATTATATTATATTAGTTAATAAACACATAATAAATTATTTTTACGTTTTAAATTTTCGGCGGTAAAAAAAGGTCTTGTGTCACAGACTATATGCCTTTTTTCCACCTCTCGTGCGTTCCGGCTTACGCATCATAAAAAGGTGCGTTCTTAAACGCCACAAGTCCATTGAATAATCATACTTTTTTTCCTGCCTAAGCTAATGGTCTTGAGATACCATATCAGCATCACCGAGCGAGTAGGTGAGCTCACGTGGCTCAAACCTGACATTATTGCTAACACTAGTCCTAACAAGAACCGTGCTTCGCAGAATCTACCACCGGATCGGAAACGCGACCCACTGAGAAGATCCGGCGAGAAACTAAGTGGGCTGTGTCTGTGCGTTAATTTACTCGCTGAGCCCTTCGTCGCAAGCGATGGGTTCGACGAGAACGATACCGGTGCTTGGGATACCAAAAAGCACCATTAGTGGATCGGGATGATTCGAAATGACGTGTAATACATTATATTAACACCGGTCACTCACATGCGCACGAATACGCAAACCCGCAAGTGTAGGACGACATTTGCGAATGATTATGCAAAGTTTTCGCTCCATTCGTGGTTTTCCAACCTGTGTCGGTTTTTTAACAGACATCAAAGCGCGCGAACCTCGAACCTTCGCGTGGTCTCCCACACATTCGCTTGCCCAGTTGCGCCGACGACTGCGAAGGTAACGGACGTATCGCCATTTTCATAGTTCGTGACGTCTACTGTGTAGCGTATCTTCATCAAAAGAAATCCCATAAAAACACCATGGCTGTTAATGATGTCTGGGAAAGAATTCAAAACTCTTTTTCTTTTCAATGTTCTATTGACGAATTAAAAAGGAGGAGAAATTCGTGAGACATTCGTAAACAAGTGTAGGAGGAAGCGCAAACGGGTTCGCAAATTGAGTATGCGAACCTATTTGCACAGCCGCTAGGTTTGCGAATGAATGTTTGACGGTCCTTCACATGCGCGCAAACATTCGTACAATGTACGAATATTTGCGCGCATGTCAGTGGCCAGCATTAGTCATTCATAGATACTTTTCGTTGAACTGACATGGCTTCGAGCTTTTGTTATAAAAAATGCGATACTGTGTGACAGTGTTGTCTTTGCCTGTTCAATTGACAAATAAAAAAATTTAAAGAACAGAAAATTGACAAATTGCAGATGTAAACAAAACAACAGGAAACAAGTAGGTACCGTATCTAGTTAATCATATTTTAGAGGGCTTTTAAAGTTTCAAAATATAAATACTACATAGTACTTACCCAATTTAACACAACAAACAAATAAATCAACACGGAAGATAGGATGTCGACCAAATCAAAAAATATCTTTAGTAGGAGTAAACCGTTGATGAATATTTACAGTGGTTATGACGATGAAGGCAAAGCGGTAAGTTATTTGAATCAGAAATTAATTTTAAATTTGAATAAATACACAAAAAATTAATTGTACCGTGTTATTTAACTGATTTGGGAATACTTTTTTCAAATGTGGTTAGGCAAACCTTAGAAAACTATGTTCTTTCTTTGATATTAAATGGGTTATGGGTCTCTGATATTAAATAGAGCTCATAGATAACATAAGAAAAGTCGTTGTCGCCTACTTAATACATAACGACAGATCTCAATTCTGCCAGAAAAATTTCTATACTGCTATTCAAACTGGAACATATAGATTTAATGTAAAGATAAGCAATAATGTGGTACTCAAACCACCCATACAGACTTACACCCGTTACTATTTCATTTACTATCTACAAAAATCTATCTATAAAGCTGGAAAATAAATAAAAGTGATCATATTACCAACAAAACATTTGAAGCATTTAGATTTGATTTATACTATATTTTATATAGTAGACTAATTAAACATAGCAGTTTTCTTTCGTAGAATGGTTGCACCTAGTTGTCTAGTCTTGCAGATTAATATAATTAAATTGTTTCTTCTTTCTTTCTTTAATTGATACAAAAATAGAAATTTCCTGACTTGGGTAGGATAATTTAAAAGAATAAATTTCTCTCATTAAAAAAACGAAATTAGCAGTTGTCTCAAATATAAATCTTTTTTGAAGGTGGAAGTTAGAGAAGATGCAGAGCAATTAGTGAAGTGGCATGAGATATCTGATGCTCTGGTTGCAGCTGGATATTATCGTGCTCAGCTTCAGGGCCTTTCAGAATTTGATAAAATAGTTGGAGGGCTCACATGGTGTATCGAACTATGTGATATTGATGTTGATATAAGTTTATTATTTGAAGAAAACCTTACAATTGGAAAGAAAATGTAATATTTATTTTTGCACAACAAACCTTAAAGCAAATAAATAATATTTATTTTTGCAATGTTAAATGATGTACACTGTTTTTACAGAGCCTTAACAGAGAAAATTGTAAAAATATTACCATCAATGCAATGTCCATACACAATAGAACCTCATCAAATACAAGGTCTAGATTTCATAAATATATTTCCTCTTGTCCAATGGCTAATTAAATACTCCAGTGAATTCAGGGAGGCTAAGGAGGATGAACTCAGAAGATTTGCTGTGTTACAATATGAAAAAAATTACATATTTGAATCGGACAGAGCTATGTTCTTAAAAAAAGAAAATTTGTTGAAAACTATTGTTGCAGTGCAGGTTTGTTAACGATTTTAAATTTATCATACAGTGCATAATGCCTTGATAGCTTACATAACGGACGCAGGTGACGACACAATCTGCCAAAGCTGCCATTGCCTGAAGCATATATCAGATCCCCTGAATCCACTCTCGGTGCTTTTAGGCTCTTCAATCACTAGCCACATCCTGGACGAGTGAACTAACCTATAGACACAAGCCACTGAGTTTCTTGCTGGATCTTCTCAGTGGGTCATGATTCTGGTCCGGTAGTAGATTCTACAAAGCACTGCTCTTGTTAGGACTAGTGTCAGCAAATTCTCTGAGGTTAAGCCCGTGAGCTCAACTACTCGTCCGTGCATAAATTGGAATATTCCCTTAGGCTACCAGCGAATAGGTAGGGAAAAAAGAGAAAAAAGATGATAAAAATGACCACAATGGACTGTTTAGATAACTGCCATTTTCTGTAGTCTATAAAGGATTCCACTAGCAGTTTACTACTTTACCTTTTCTGCTGTTAATTTGATGTTAACTGAAATTAATTATGAGCACATATCATATTAGGTCTATTTGAGTTCCAAATCCTTTACAAGTGGCGATGGTGGATCTGTGTATCGTAAAATAGAAGAAATCCAATCATAAAAATTTAATCATACTCATGATATTTATAAGATAAGCCTGCATTCATAAGTAGTAAACAGCATTTGAACCCTCAGTGTATTGAACAATATGACTTGCTTAGTGGAAGATCTTACCTATGTTGTGCCCTCTAAATCCAGATTAAAACATACTACTTTTTGCCTTCAAGCTATATGTGGACACTTTGATACACAATCTGAATTCATTTCAAATAATGTTTGATTGTTGTTGATTTATAATTAGATTTTTTTATTACAAATGCTCAGAACATGTACAAACCATGTCGTGTGCGTAAAAGGAAAGGTGGTTTACCGGGGAGTGAGCTGGAACAAGTCAATGCGACACTCTCTGAATATGATCAGAGAATGCTGATGCATGTAACAACAAATAAGGACGATTCTAACAATGATGAGGGTCTTGATTTCTTGGTAAGCATTAAATGATTACAATAATAAAATTTTACAATAAATGCAAATTCAACACATTGTTGAAGTGTGTACTGTGTGTCAATAAATATTACTTTTAGCAAATACGTAATAAAAACCACAAAGAAACAGCCAATTAATGAAAACATAACTTTTAAACTAATATTAGTACTATTAATTTTAAAAATATCTTATACAAATGCAGCCATGAAATACTGAAATTTACATTAAATATTTCGAAATGTATACAGCAAGTATCAAAAATAATATCAGTATATGACATGACTTTAGACCTTAAGACATGAGGTCGAAATCTCAATTATATTGTTTAGCTCTAATTATATTGGATGTGTTGTTTATACATAAACATTTCTTGGTTCCAGTATGATTATGAAAAAACACTTGCTGATCCTTCTCAGATTACTACTGAAGTAAGTTTACTCTTAAGATTTTTGTGTTTGAAATTATTCATATGAATTTGTGATAATCCCCAAAATTTAAAAGTTTTCATTAATATGTACGCTTTCAGACAGATGTATTCAAAAAGGATGAACATACTATAATTGATGATCCAAACATGAAAGTCCATTATGCGGTATTGCATTCTGAACTTACTGGGGAAATGTCAAAGGAATTAGAGGAAAGTGAAAAGTTTAAATATAGTGAAGATATCGAGAAACTTACTAAAGCTATAGATGTTATGCAGAGAGAAGTGGATGTTCTTAAACAACAACACGAAGCAAGAATGGAAAATGCTAAAAAACAGTACAGCAACAAAATTGGAAAATTGCAGAAGATTACATTAAAATTGATGAACACTAATAATTATAGGTTTGTTAATAGTAAGCATGTGCTTACAAATACTTATGTTTTGTCATGTATGAGCGGTCTTACATTACCCGATCTTTTCCGGTTGCTGGTGCTTATAGCCATTAAAGCATTAATGTCTGGCAACTGTTTTGTTTCTTCTTCTTCTTTGTCTTGCTTTGCTATTACCCTCTGCTGGGGTGTAGGGCTCGAATTAAATCCTTCCATTTACATCGGTCTTGGGCAGTCTGTTTTAACTATTTCCACGGCATGCTCAAGACGCCTATCTCCTGCTCCACCGAGCGACGCCAAGTTGTTCTGGGACGGCCCCTCTTCCTTTTGCCAGACACTTTCCAGATCAGTGCTCTCTTGGATTGGTGAGTATCGGGCTTTCTTAATATGTGACCAATTCAATGCCAGTTTCGCGTAAGGATCTCCTTCTCTATTGATGTCTGCTTGGTGATCCTCCATAGCTCTTTGTTAGTGATCGTCTCAGGCCAAAAGATTTTCAACATTTGACGCAGGGATTTATTCATAAACACCTGAACTTTTTTTATTAAGTCGTTTAAGTTTGCTCGTCTCGTTAAGGTTTACGAACCCCACCTTGGCCTAAGTTGACTAAACGCGGCTCTAGCTTTATTTATCCGAGCCGCAATGTCCACCTGGGTGCCTCCCCCATCGTCCACAATGCTGCCCAGGTAACAGAAGCTTCCTATTTGCTAGACCTCCTCCTCCCCCTTCCTCCCCTCTGGGTTTTGTTTGAATGTAGTAATTGCTTGTGGCTCAGCGAGCCCAGGTGAGCTGACTCAAGGGCTCATTCAGTCCAGATAGCATTTAGTAACGTAACTACTGTATCAGATTCTAAATTCAAATCCAGATCAGGTCTGGATTCAAATCTTGGCCCTAGTCAATATTTTTGTTATAAGTTGCTTCAGTATTCGAACCACAAAAAAATAATTATCTTTGAGCTGTCTGACGTGGAAAGTCTAACATAATAATATGTTATATATGTGATATATGTATGCTTTAGGAGGCCTTGTGGAATGAGACTGGATTCTAAATTGTATTTTGATAATTATATATACTTTTTCGAATGTTTGAAGGACTCTTGTTAGAAGTAGAAGATGATTATTTTAAACCCGTGCGAGCGTATGGTTAAAACAATATACTATATTTTATAATCTTAACACCAACAGTTCACGTTTATTTATTCATTTATAGAAATCACTATTTATGTGTGCTTAAAACGGTTTAATAAGTTTTTATAATTGTAGTGATAAAGATGTGAAAGAGTTCTACAAATCACTAAAAGACTTGGGAAAAGAACAGAATGAGCTTGTGAAAGTAGTTCAGCACAGAGACAGGGTTTACAAGAAATTAGAAGAAGAACTAAGGTACGTTTTTAAATTAAGTCAATTGCATCAAAATAATTAGAATTGTCGGAAATTAAGAATCAATAAATTTAGTTAATTACGAGATTAAATCCTAAAAGCTATTTTTATTTTATCTCAATTTCTTATCAAATTTAATTTGAGAAAAATTACTTTATAGGATACTTCTTATTCGACAAGCCCAAAATACTGCATACTGCATACTGCAAATACTGCATAGTTTTAAACTAGCTTAAGTCGTAATTGTATTGGAATGTTAGCTATCTTCAGTCCTATCATTATTGTTCATGCCAATAAAAACAAAAACATTTTTACAGTGCATCGTATGTGTATAAATGCGATTTACTATATATTATGGACATATTTGATTAAATAAATAGTCTATTTAACTGGTGATTAAGCTAATAAAAAATGGCATTGTCTCACTGAACTTCTGGAACACAGACGCATATTAACGAATATGGAAATTTTATAGGAAAATAATAATATTAAATTGCGGTAGGCAGCGGCTTGGCTCGGCCCCTGGCATTGCTGAAGTCCATGGGCGACAGTAACCACTTACCATCAGGTGGGCCGTGTGCTCGTGAGCCTACAAGGGCAATAAAAAAATTTAAAAAAAGTAAAACTTTCTTTGATGCACGAAATTACAGAACTGCAAAGAGTCCAGAAACCGCAGTGGAGGAGACGCCGCTAACGCCTGAAGAATTGAAAGAAGTACGCGAGAGAGAAGAGAAGCTGAAGTCGTTTATCACGACCACGAGGCTTGAGGTCGCCAAGTTGAACCGCGAGGTGGTCCGGTACACGCGCGCCCTCGACGACGTGCCTGGCGCCGCCGAGCTGCTGCAGTACGAGAAGAGATTTGTCGAGCTGTACAACCAAGGTGACGACTGCTATAGCTCCCACCACTGCCGCGGAAACATCGCTCGTCTTGACCTCATTAAAATCATAATTAAAACTACTTTCACGATTTACTACTACTACTACTACTGCGCGTTTTTTATTGTCATTATATTTATTTCCGACTAGTTGTACGCGTGCGCTTCGCTGGGCATTTAAAATTAACTTTGTTATTTCTCACCCCCACAAAGATTCTCATCATTAACGCCCCCGCAACTGGTGTAGGGAGTCCGACACTCATATAAATATTAGCCTATCCATTAAGTAAATGTATTTTCTACATGGATACCAAGTTTCAAGTCAATCGGATGCATGGTTCAGTAGTTATAACGTAACATCCGTAAAAACCACTGTAGATTTATATATTAGTATAGATGCTTCGAGTATTTAACAGTTTTCGTGGTATTCAAATGTCGTCCGTGACCACGAAAAGTGTTCAGTATTTGAAACGTTGAAATAAATGGAATAACAATAAATAAATAAAGATGGTGCACGTGCAACTATCTGCGCGAGAGTGATATTTCTTTTGCGGTGTGTAGTATTATGGTATTCTTAATTTTTTTTATCCGTAAATCAAATTTCTCTTGTAATAGGGAATGCTGTGTATAAGAGAAACGACTTAGCTCGCTTTGTCCTTTCCCTCTCCACGGTCGAGTGGTTCGCGAGACGCTGTCTATTTTCTCACTCTCACTCGTCCTAAATTGTATCTTTTCTCTCTAGCCGTAACGAATCTGACGCGAGTTAAATTTTATTTTTAACGCGCGCAAAGTAGTTTTAATTATGATGTATTTAGGTTCTGCTGTTTTACGAACGGGCGGGAAACCTCTTATTATCATAATCCCAACTCGCCCATCTGAGTGAACGTTTTGTTCTTTCAGATCTTTATCTTATAGCTATAATTTGAAGGGTCCTAGACAAGGTAAACTAGGTTTCAAACGTACGTACGTGCTTATCTTTATTGCTTAAAATTTTTGTTTGCGCTGCTACGAGTTCTGGGTTCGCGGAAGTTATAATAGCAGTGGTGAGTAGCGGGTAATGTAACCGAAACATGTTATTTGCAGTTGCCTCGAAGCACAAGGAAACGAAACAGTACTACATATTCTACAACACCCTGTACGAAGTTAAACTGTACACCTCGAAGGAGTTGAGTTTGCACAATTCGATTCTGGACAATTACGAAGAGTAAGTGACGCGGTGTTTGTAAATTTGACTACCGTATCCAGGTATAGGGTAACCCACTCTAACCGGCGCCATCTAGGCGGGCTTCGGACAGCCTGCCGACCGAGAGGGCTGGTGGTCGTGGCGCCGACGACCGTCGGTCCGGCGTCCCGAGGGGGAAGGTGATGGGAGAGATGTGCTCCGCACTAAACGCTTCACTTTCTCCCCTTTGCCTTTTCATGAGTTCTGTCTCATGCGAGGTTTGGACGTTGGTTGTTGAGCGACAGGAGGTTTTAGTCAGTTCGAATCTGACATACCCCGCCGCCCGCCATCCCCAGTGAAGGGCGGAAGTCCGGCGATTTCCTACTGACAAAAAAAAAACAGGTGTGAAAGGTTATGCATTAATCGATTTTTTTTTATTTTACTGGAGAGCCAGTTAAAGTTTAAAATTTGAAAAAAATAACATAACATGTAAAAAAAAACTTCAGCTATTAGAATGAAGTAAACTTAATTGAAGCTCAATTAAAAAGATCGAACTGTTCATGCTCGCACCGTTAATTACAAAGATAAATGTCGCATATTTAAGCGAAATGTCGCTTAAACCAAATAGCTTTTCACGCCTCAATATGATATCATTTACCTTATTTTGCTGACTTTGGTATGTGTTACTGTGGCACTCATTTCTTTAACCAATCTACCGCGCGATTCGGATATGAGTCCATATTATCATGCAATTAGGACTTATACTATTTAGTGTATTAAGATGTTGCGGGTAGTTTAACGGTAGGCATCGGCTTACCGGCCCTGTCTCTGTCATTGCTGAAGTCCATGGGCACGGTAACCACTCCCCATCATCATGGGATGTATGCTCGTCTGAATTCAAGGGTACTAAAAAAAAAGGTGGTCGAGCGTCTTGTGAGTCCGCTTAGATAGGTGCCACTACTCTGCCTATTTCTACCGCAAAACAGCAATACGTCTGAAGGATCAGAGGGCTTTTAAACAATACAGTTGAGACTTAGACCTCATGTCTCAGGGTATTGTGAATATGGCTACGGTACCTAACGAAGTTGGTCATGACCTCGTGCCTATGCAATTAGAAAAACTGCGGTACTCATGCGAGTTTCGAATAGTAAAATATTGCGAGTTTAAATATATAAATGAAGGAAAGTATCGCCAAACAATACAGAATAATCAATCATAATAAATGATAACTGGAAACAAATCACGCACGGTCATTCGGTTCCAAATTAGGATTCTCTTTGTTATGGGTACCAAGATATATATACGTATGATATATAAGATAATAAACACCCAAACAAAGAGCAAACAAATCTGTTCATCACACGAACGTTAGTCCGATGTGGGAATCGAACCCACGACCCTCGGCGCAACAGTCGGGGGCGCTAATTCTTGCACCAACCAGTCAGTCAATGAAAATGATTTACTTGTTTGTCCATTGCAGAGCGATGTCGTCGGTAAGGAAGCGGGAAGAGTTCATGTCTCAATTCGAAAATATAGTCGAGTGGGTCAATCAAACTGTGAAGAAAGTCGAGGATAAGTACAGAGCCGAGAAGGAACGCAAGGCGGATCTGTACAACGAGTACTCGAGGTTAATGAATGTGCAGAGGCAGTACGGCGCCGCCCTCAAGAAGTTGGCTGAAGAAAGACAGAAGATAACCAGACGCACGCAACCGAAGAAAGAAGTATAGTCGATGGGTGTAATACGTATGTCCCGCTGCTTCGATCATTTTGAATTTCCTCAAACTTTCCTTCTTTTTTTTTCTACCTAAGCTTGCCTTGAGCCTTGAGAGGCTAATTCAGCGTAATCTTAACTAGTAGGTGAGCTCACGGGGATCAGGAGCAGTGCCTCGCAAAATATACCACCGGATCGGAAACGCGATCCACTGAGAAGATTTGGTGAGAAACTCAACGGGCTGTGTCTGTGGGGTAATTTACACGCCGAGCCCCGAGACGATGACCGGTGCTTGAGGTACCTAAAAGCACCGTTAGTGGATCGGGAGGATCCGAAATGACGTATTTTGGGCGACGTCGACCGCTTTCCATTCTGTCCGCAGGATCAGGAATGCAAACTTTCCGACTTCTGTCGCAACCTCACGGGCTATACGGTCTCGCTCACCGTTCAAGCATCGATACGTATCTAGCGATGCACCGGTGTTCGAATCCCGCAGGCGGGTACAAATTTTTCAAATGAAATACGTACTTATCAAATGTTCACGATTGACTTCCATAGTGAAGGAATAACATTGTGTAATAAATAAAATGAAAAAACCCGCAATGTTATAATTTGCGTAATTACTGGTGGTAGGACGTTTTGGGAGTCCGCACGGGTAGGTACCACCGCCGCGCCTATTTCTGCCGTGAAGCAGTAATGCGTTTCGGTTTGCAGGGTGGGGCAGCCGTTGTACTGTAAAGACGGAGACCTTAGAACTATATCTCAAGGTGGCGGCATTTACGTTGTAGATGTCTATGGGCTCCGATAACCACTTCACATCAGGTGGGCCGTCCACCCATCTAAGCAATAAATAAATAAAAAAAACGTTATATTTATTAAAATCAAAAGTTAATTAATTAAAAACGTTAATTTAAAATGATTCATTCAATACGTGCAATAATCGGAACTCTGAAGACACCAACGTAAATTAATTCCTCCTTGAGCGCGCGTGAGCTTTTCTTTAAGTAAATATCGACTGACTCGGTGGTGCATTTGTTACGGCTCTTGACTCCCGGATCGTGGCTTCGATTACTTCCATCGGGTAAACGTTCGTGTGATGAACAAGTTTGCTTGTTCCTTGTCTGGGTGTTTAAAATCTATCTATATATGTAAATATTTAAACATTTACAAGTATGTACATCGACCTCTGGTTCCCATGGAACAGAAAATGTTAGTTTGGGGCCAGGTGACCATGTGTGAAATAATAATAATATAGTCTGAAAATAATCTAGAAAACTGTGCACATGTAATTACTGGTAGACCGCAATCTTTCTGCTCGTAAGGAATGTCAACTTAAGATCACAGATTAGTTTTTACATCACCCTCGTTTATGAAGTCAACTCATAAATTTTAACCTCATCATAATATTTGTTTAAACGGATTCTATTAAGTTGACTTATAACTAGGTTACTTTTTATTCTGATTATCACCCGGGCTATTTCGAGAAGCTATTGTGCGTTCTGACTTCGAAGAGTGACTTCGTCGTTATACGGTTTAATTGATGTTTGTATCTCGTATCACTTCTTATGATGTGACGGCATCCATGTTGTGGTATCTATGAACTCTAGTAGCCATGTTAATTTAATTTTTAACCATTATAATAATTTTGTAATTAACTACTCAGATCCGGAAACTATATATGTTGTTTCATTGGCTAAATTTATGTACCATATCAGTTTGTGGATTACACACGTGCGCCATCTGTTATTAATTAACTGAAACTTGATTTTCTTAGAGACGCAAAAAGGACACTCATTTTTTATTTATTTATTTAAATAGATCGTCCTAATACTGTTTTCTTAGTACTCTATATTAGCAAAGCAGAATCTGTTAAGGGCACAAGTAATAATAATTGTGCTTAAGCTCGCTCCGTTCCCAGTTGTAAGATTACACCCTTATGAAAATATGTGAATATGTATTTTTTTTTTTTCTTTTGGCTAGGCAATGAATACTGTAGATGTAAATTAGTGTAGTTTCTTTCTTAGTTAACATAAGTATGTAATTGTATGTCATCTATTGTAATATATGTTAAGAAATGCTCCTAGTCTAATAAACATGAATAAGTACATATGTATGTAATATTAACTTTGTACTTTTGTATTAATCATTCCGTACGTTTTCTATAGTTATATGTATTACATAAAGTTTAGTATAAAAATGTCTAATTCTCATGTTGTAAAATTACATAATAATGTATCGGGTAATGATAGTGAATAATACACTATTTAATTCAAATAGATTTTATTTATTACTTAATTTACAAACCTGTCATTGAAAATCAGACAAGAAAATTAATACTGAGAAATTTTAAACATTTCCGTAATTTCAGTTGAGTCAAAGTAATTTTAATTAATCGTCAGCAATCGCCGCGGGGGGCCGTTTTAAAATCAACAATCATGAGTATTTAATATACACCTTCAATTTATAAATGCGTATATCGACGCTTGAAAGGCAAACATGACTAAGCAACAATGCGTGAACTTTACAGTAGACTAATTTAAAGTTGAAATACCTGAAAAAAATTCTATTTTAACGAATCTAGCTGTAGGATTGAAATGATTTTAATAGACCTAGAAATATTTTTTTGCGCATCGAATATGGTTATGGCCTATCATTTATGTACAAAGCAGTTATTGTCGCTTAGTCACGTTTGCCTTTCAAGCGTCGATATCGAAACATCGATATCTCGACTCTGGCGTCGATGACGTCACCCACGGCGATGTGCGTCGAATAGTTCGGTCGTCATAGCGTGACTACGTTTCCGTGCGTGTGACTCTTGTGCGTTGAGCCGTGCGAGTGCGTGGAACTGTGCGAGTGCGAGTGCGAATGATGTCCGTGTGAGTGACTAGACTTCTTGTACATCGTGAACGAGACGAGTTCGCGGTTCGCGTTGGTCATCGCCATCGCGTGGGACACAACGTCGTAACCGAATAGAGCGTGAATACGATTCACTACGACTAAAGTGAAGCCTCTTTGTGTCACTCGAACGACTCTCTCCAGATCCGACGAGGAAGCTATCACCGTGGTGAAGGACGAGTTCAGGTCCTGAAATGTAATAATAACGATTCAATAATAAATTTTTTTTATTGCCCTTGTAGGCAGACGAGCATACGGCCCACCTGATGGTGAGTGGTTACCGTCGCCCACGGACTTCAGCAATTCCAGGGGCAGAGCCAAGCCGCTGCCTACCGCTTAATACTCTCCACAAGCCTCGTTTGAAGAAGGACATGTCATAGCGCTCGGGAAACACCGTGGAGGGGAGCTCATTCCATAGCCGGATGGTACGTGGCAAAAAAGACCTCTGGAAACGCACTGGATGACCGCAGTGGCTCCAGGTAGTATGGATGAACTCTACTCCGGTGGCGGGCGGCGCGATGGTAAAAACGAGATGCCGGTATCATCTCGAACAATTCCTCAGAGCACTCCCCATGACATGACCTTAATTGTCCTGGAAGGCAGACTCGTGGGCTCGCTCGACGTCGCTCGTCGCTTTTTACTGGTGGTAGGACCTCTAGGGAGTCCGCGTGGGTAGGTACCACCACCCTGCCTATTTCTGCCGTGAAGCAGTAATGCGGTTCGGTTTGAAAGATTGGGAAGCCGTTGTAACTATATTTGAGACCTTAGAACTTATATCTCAAGATGGGTGGCGCATTTACGTCGTAGATGTCTATGGGCTCCAGTAACCACTTAACACCAGGTGGGCTGTGAGCTCGTCGACACATCTAAGCAATAAAAAATAAAAATAAAAACTAGCAATGCCAAACCGCTACCATTTTTTCTTTTTAATACATAATTATTTATTGTAAGTCTCAGTACTAATCATTGAAACTCTAAACTAACTAAAGACAAATGTTATGTTTTGTATGTAATTATGTATATAAAACTTTCATGTTTCCCAACAAATTTGCGTTTGCGCATTGCATCAGTTATTACACAATCAGCGGAATGCGCATATCTGCATGCTCCAATTCTCAATAAATGAAAATACATTTATGGATTGCGTATTGCATTTATGCAGGTGTATGTGTAACACTTACTCGTTAGGTATATTATGTTCTTGGTACTACAAAAGACCTTTGACGAGAACCTGTAAGGCAATAGCTTCGCTGAGTCGTTGGCATTGTCAGTATTTACCCGTGTTTATAGTCGCATTTCACGAACTGAGCCATAAGACCGTTTTTCTTTATTGGAAATCAAGAAATCATGAGAAATAAACTAACTAATCGGAATCCATTATTTTAGTATTTAATTTGAATTTGCTGTGGTAATTTGTTCTTTTTAAGTTTTTTAATTTCGGAGTTTTTCACAGTAGGTAGATAGATTTCCAATATGATAATGTAGGTTAGCGCTGTTACCATCGACTGACGGCAAATTTTATTTGTCAGATTATTATCTGCCTGCCTGGGGTCACTAAAATTCAACCCATAAAACAGAGTTCATCCAGAAAACTTTGGTCATTAGGGAGGATTATCTCTGTCAATTGAAAAGCATATTCCATGGAGAGTGCTGTTAGAGTCACCTATTTCCTTTTTACCATCGTACCACCGTCATTGGAGATGAGTACATCCTTACTACATAGAACATTGGCGTTCATGTGCAATGCATTTCCAGAGATCATTTTTGCTACCGTCTGGATCTGCATTGGAATTTCCCTCAATATTCCCCTAGTACTATATGTATCCTTCTTCAAATGAATTTAAGTGGAAAATGAGATTGATTGAGTGAAATGCAACCAGACGTTTGAGTTTAAATCGTAAATTATCACCGACTGAAGATAATAATAGAATAAAGATTAGTATTACCTAATAATCTTTACAGCATTTTGTTTACCTAGCCATAGATGTACTCTATTCTTTTCAATCTCAATTAGTATCTACCGGTCGTAGTTATTTGGACAACCATTTATAATATAACCTACTGGCTAATGGAATTTACTTGTGAAGACGGTTCATATTTTAAGTCAAAAGCTGCTAAGTATTATCGCTAAAACGTTTTCAACAGCTGCATTCGTTATTAATCGTATAAATATTAATAAAATAAATGCAATATGTACTTCATAATTGGGATTATATTTACGATGTCAGAAAATTCATTTGATAAAATATTTTATATACAAAAAAAGGGTTATTGTAACATTAACTTGGTTATCAGGTTTATATTGTTATATTAATCGTTTTTACCATTACTAGCTTAGCCCGTTCTTCGCTGTTCAGTCCATACACAGTAGCGCCTTCATCCTTCGTGAGATTTGGCATCCTCAGACTTCCCATCACCATAATGTACGGCATCCTGATTTTATATATTAATTATTTTTGTGTTCGTACGAAAAATATCACCGGAAAATGTTACAGTACATAGTTTAGTACAATAAAACTATTGGTTATTAGTTTGGTCGAGATGAGAACACGCGGCCGGTCGGTCGTGACCGCGACAGGTTCTAAACTCGTGTAAGTGAATTACAAGTAAGGCGGCTTGCATACGTGGACCTCAGTTCACAATGCCCATACATGTGTGTGTGTCAGCACCACAATGATTTGTTAGTAGTGGTTTAAAACGTGACGCAGGTGGTCGTGAACGACCTTCATGGGTGCCTGGCCTCAGTTCAGTCAGTTTTACGCTTGCATGATTGTTTCTTGTCCGTATTCTGTATTCGATTGATACGTACTAATAATAATCAAATACGGTTCATAGACTTTATCAAACTTCACAATTACATTGTATGGTTTTCTTAATTAAATATGAAATCTATAACTATTTAACTTTTCACAATGCATATTGTCATGGAATTATCGATAGTAATAATAATAATATTTTTCGAGATTCGAGACTTTGTATGTACCTATGTATGTATATATGTATGGACAAAACTCACGTATATATGCGACAGTACACTATATCACACTATATGTTATAGTCTGAGATATATAGTTAGGTACCTACTTATTTCTTTAATACGCTTTGTAACCAAGTTGGATGGAATGGATAACAATATCAATAATGTATATAAATTTCGTTTAATTGGTACTAATTGGTTTTAATATTACTAAATAGTATTGGCCCAATGATCGATGATTTAATTTCATGTACTTAACAAGTATATTTTTTTCTTGAAATGATGGGGAAAACTGTCTATAATTATTATTAATAGTCGAACATCGCTCGTTGAAACAGCGACAGCGACAGCGAAGAAACAGCGTTGACATGCAGAAGAAAACGTATTTAACTGTTTTGTTTTAATCTATTTATAAATAGATTGTTTACTTTGGCAAAGGGAAAGGGTATGATATTTATTACATATTCTATGATATAAAAATTAGAGGAAGTCCACAATTAATTGTGTTACTAGGTCTTTATTTCAATATTTGTTTGGATAAATATATCTATAATAAGAACTTATTATGTCCGTATTGTTAAGGTAAAAACAAACAATAAAGTGTCGACTAGACATGTACGTCAATGATGTTGACCGATTTGTAAATACCGATAAATACATTTTAAATTTTCCTTTCAAAAAGAAATTACTTTAAAACGTTTTCTTTTGATTTCGTAGAATATCATTTAAATCATGAGCCACTCAATGAGCAGTCCAAGGAATATACAGTTAGGTACTGTTGATTTTTTTCAAAGTGTTTATATCGATTTTGTACATTAAATGTAGCAACAGTAGTATGTAGATACTCAAGTATATATTGTCCTACCACTCATCACGGTCATGGTTTGCGAACTCTAGCCCAACTATTTCATGAAGCGTTGATAGATACGCTCTGGTCCATAATCCTAAGGAAAACAAACATTACAAGGACTCGCGTTGAACTGATCTTACTTAGTGGGATAGGTCCCACGTAACAGGATATTTAAATAAGAAATTTATTGAAAATTTCGGTCTAAAAACTTTCAATTAAATTGATAACGGATTTTATGTATTATTGTAAATTTTAGATCCGCATATATTATTGTTTTAATTTGCATGAAGCTCGCATTTTGCTAAAGATGGCCAAAATCATTTGCAGTCTGTGACTATAGTTCCGGGTTAATTGTACAGACTTTAAACAAAACAGTTTTCATACTTCAATCTCATCTCTCAGGAGGGGTAGCGGTTTTTCGCGACCTGATGGTACGGCTGCAATGAACGAACATAATTGAGAAATGATGAAACTTTATTTTTTTTTTGTTTCAGTTTTCGAAACATATCAGAAGGCACGATTAGTTTTTGTCCAAACTATGGCAGAATTAGCTACAAGATCTAGCAACGTGAAATGCTTGGAAAGTGCCGGTGTCTTGGGTAATAATTTGGGGCCTACAGACCTATATCGTTAATTTTTATTTATTTTTATTGCTTGGATGCACGAGCTCCCAGCTCACCTGATGTTAAGTGGTTACTGGAGCCCATATACATCTACAATCTAAATCCGCCACCAACCTTGAGATATAAGTTATAAGGTCTCAGTATGGTTACAACGGCTTGCCCACCCTTCAAACCGAAACGCATTACTGCTTCACGGCAGAAATAGGCAGGGTGGTGGTACCTACCCGTGCGGACTCACAAGAGGTCCTATCACCAGTAAAATGTATCTATTATTTAGCAATTCATTTATACAGCAGTTCATTTATACCTATTGGTGACCCATAATATGAAAGATCTGAAGATCGAATTATTGGTTTTATATTAATCATATCTACACCTTGTGGAAACTAATGAAAGGATTTTTAAAAGACTAGTTTGTAAGTACACAATTAAAAGCGAGAAGTCTACACTTGGTATGTCCGAAAATTAGTGTATGTCACAGAGTGGCGTAATCAACTAGACGCCCTCATTTGTTTATAATTATTTATTGTACGCGCATACTTGCAAAGAACTCCAGGTCACATTTATCTGAACAAGAGGAATCTAGCACCTAACAAAATGGCTGAATTCCAGAACTGTTAAAGCCCTTGTTGTCTGATGCATGCAGCACTATACGTCAGTGTGCTGTCGTAGCGATTGCAAAACTCGCAGAACACGATTTAGACATAGCAAGGCAGCTTCTAAATGGAGGAATCATTACAATTACACTTGAAAACTTAAATAAATACAATGTATGTGGTATACTTATTTACTATTGTAAAATGTTGGTTTAATGCATTATTTTGGTTCGAAAGAAATTAATATGTAAATATTCGTAGGTTTACTACAAGCGGTCTGCATTATATTTATTGAGAGCAGTAGCGAAGTAAGTGCGTTTATCACTTTTATCCATTTAAATTCATTGTTAATTAATAATCAAATAATAAACATGACTAGGCACAATGAGGAACTGGCGAGCGCAATAGTCCGCCTGGGAGCTTTAGAACACATTGTTTCTTGTCTTGAAGATTTTGACACTCAGGTAACAAAAAAAACTAAAAACTACTAATACTGAATCAGAACCGTTTTTAGGTTTCATACCTCGAAATGAACAAGATGCAAGCATCAGCATTTTTTTAAAATACACCATTTATTATTATTTGACTCTATCGTAATTAAAAATATAGACCCTATTGCAATTTTTCACTCACAGGCGTCATATTAGTTCATTTAAAAATAGTTTTGAGGTTTAGTCTCATTTATTTTATTCATGTGGGTGGTCGTTTTTGTTTATTTTGTGTTAAGGCATACGACACAACATACGGCCATATGTGTGCTTAGTGCGAATTTTTAAGGTTCTCAATAGCGTAAAAGTGAACCCAATTTTGTATGCAGTTTTGGCTATGGAATGAGCTCTCCTCCACGGTGTTTCCCGAGCGCTATGACATGTCCTTCTTCAAACGAGGCTTGTGGAGAGTATTAAGTGGTAGGCAGCGGCTTGGCTCTGCCCCTGGCATTGCTGAAGTCCATGGGCGACGGTAACCACTCACCATCAGGTGGGCCGTATGCCCGTCTGCCTACAAAGGCAATAAAAAAAAAAGTTGGAACAGTGCCCCTAGCGGCAAACGTAAGTACGCAAACGATCCCATTTCATACAATTAAGAGCTAACTTTTACGCTATCGAGAACGTTAAAAAACTCGCACTAAGCACACTGATGGTGAAAATTCACTCTTGTTTATTGTAAAAATCATTAATGCCAAGGTGATAACTAGCCGCTACCTACTGCCATGGACTCTTTTCGCAGTTTGTTTGAAGAAAGTATGTTATACTTAGTGCCCAGGAAACAACATTAGAGAGGAGTTCAATCCAGAACCGTACGTACGGACGTACAAATATAATCTCTAGAGATGTACTGGGGATGAATGCAGCGGTTCCAGGCAATCGTGGTTCTGGGGATGAACTCTGATCTAATGATTATGTAACGACAAAAGGAGATGATGAAATCATTTCAAACAATATCTGCTTCGTCGATCATACGTTTACCTGCAAGATTAAGTGATGGGTAACCAAGGGCGGATCCAGCTTTGGTGCCAGGAGGGGGTCATAGTCAAGTCAAGAACTTATAATTTAATTTTGATAACAATAGATACAAGTAAAAAGTAGGTATTTTATTATTGTACGTAAGTACTGTACTTAAAAATATTTATTCTTTATTGTACACTTTAAAAACTTAACACATAATAAATTTACATAGTCAGGTCATAAGTATTGTCACACAGTAAAAACTTTTCTTTTAGAATGCTGGCCACAAAAAAGTTTATTGAATTCGAATTTCGAATTGTTCATGAAAATAAAAATGTATACTTTTAGAATTTTACTCATTTTTAAATATGGAGTGAACGCTTAAAGAAGACCGTGTTGCAGTTATTGCGTTGCATCGTTGCGGTTACGCGCCAATTNCCAAGCCGCTGCCTACCGCTTAATACTCTCCACAAGCCTCGTTTGAAGAAGGACATGTCATAGCGCTCGGGAAACACCGTGGAGGGGAGCTCATTCCATAGCCGGATGGTACGTGGCAAAAAATACCTCTGGAAACGCACTGTGGATGACCGCAGTGGCTCCAGGTAGTATGGATGAACTCTACTCCGGTGGCGGGCGGCGCGATGGTAAAAACGAGATGCCGGTATCATCTCGAACAATTCCTCAGAGCACTCCCCATGACATGACCTTAATTGTCCTGGCAGGCAGACTCGTGGGCTCGCTCGACGTCGCTCGTCGCTTTTTACTGGTGGTAGGACCTCTAGGGAGTCCGCGTGGGTAGGTACTACCACCCTGCCTATTTCTGCCGTGAAGCAGTAATGCGTTTCGGTTTGAAGGGCGGGGCAGCCGTTGTAACTATATTTGAGACCTTAGAACTTATATCTCAAGATGGGTGGCGCATTTACGTCGTAGATGTCTATGGGCTCCAGTAACCACTTAAAGCCAGGTGGGCTGTGAGCTCGTCGACACATCTAAGCAATAAAAAATAAAAATAAAATCTAGCAATGCCAAACCGCTACCATTTTTTCTTTTTAATACATAACTAGCGACCCGCCCTCGCTTCGCTTCGGAAACATTAAAACACACATGAAACCAAAAAAATAAAAATAAAAAATAAAATAAAAAAAGTAGCCTATGTTCATCAGGGACAATGTCGGCTTCTAATGGAAAAATAATTTTTCAAATCGGTCCAGTAGTTTCGGAGCCTATTCGAAACAAACAAACAAACAAATCTTTCCTCTTTATAATATTAGTATAGAGTATAGATATAGATTATTATAAGTCTCAGTACTAATCATTGAAACTCTAAATTAACTATAGACAAATGTTATGTTTTGTATGTATATAAAACTTTCATGTTTCCCAACAAATTTGCGTTTGCGTATTGCATCAGTTAATACACAATCAGCGGAATGCGCATATCTGCATGCTCCAATTCTCAATAAATAAAAATACATTTATGGATTGCGTATTGCATTTTTGCAGGTGTATGTGTAACACTTACTCGTTAGGTATATTATGTTCTTGGTACTACAAAAGACCTTTGACGAGAACCTGTAAGGCAATAGCTTCACTGAGTTGTTGGCATTGTCAGTATTTACCCGTATTTATAGTCGCATTTCACGAACTGAGCCATAAGACCGTTTGTCTTTATTGGAAATCAAGAAATCATGAGAAATAAACTAACTAATCGGAATCCATTATTTTAGCATTTAATTTGAATTAGTTGTGGTAATTTGTTCTTTTTAAGTTTTTAAATTTGAGAGTTTTTCACAGTAGCTAGATAGATTTCCAATATGATAATGTAGGTTAACTCTGTTGGCATCAACTGATAGCAAATTTTATTTGTCAGATTATTATCTGCCTGCCTGGGGTCACTAAAATTCAACCCATAAAACAGAGTTCATCCAGAAAACTTTGGTCACTGGGAGGATTCTCTCTGTCAATTGAAAAGTATAAAGCATATTTCATGGAGAGTGCTCTGAAAAATTTTTAGAGTCACCTATCTCCTTTTTACCATCGGAGATGAGTTCATTCTTACTACATAGAACATTGGTGTTCATGTGCAATGTATTTCCAGAGATAATTTTTGCTACCGTCTGGATCTGCATTGGAATTTCCCTCAATATTCCCCTAGTACTATAGGTATCCTTCTTCAAATGAATTTAAGTGGAAAATGAGATTGATTGAGTGGAATGCAACCAGACGTTTGAGTTTAAATCGTAAATTATCACCGACTGAAGATAATAATAGAATAAAGATTAGTATTACCTAATAATCTTTACAGCATTTTGTTTACCTAGCCATAGATGTACCCTATTCTTTTCAATCTTCATTAGTATCTACCGGTCATAGTTATTTGGACAACCATTTATAATATAACCTACTGGCTAATGGAATTTACTTGCGAAGACGGTTCATATTTTAAGTCAAAAGCTGCTAAGTATTATTGCTAAAACGTTTTCAACAGCTGCATTCGTTATTAATCGTATAAATATTAATAAAATAAATGTAATACTAATTCATAATTGGGATTATATTTACGATGTCGGAAAATTCATTTGATAAAATATATTATATACAAAAAAAAGGGTTATTGTAACATTAACTTGGTTATCAGGTTTATATTGTTATATTAATCGTTTTTACCATTACTAGCTTAGCCCGTTCTTCGCTGTTCAGTCCATACACAGTAGCGCCTTCATCCTTCGTGAGATTTGGCATCCTCAGACTTCCCATCACCATAATGTACGGCATCCTGATTTTATATATTAATTATTTTTGTGTTCGTACGAAAAATATCACCGGAAAATGTTACAGTACATAGTTTAGTACAATAAAACTCTTGGTTATTAGTTTGGTCGAGATGAGAACACGCGGCCGGTCGGTCGTGACCGCGACAGGTTCTAAACTCGTGTAAGTGAATTACAAGTAAGGCGGCTTGCATACGTGGACCTCAGTTCACAATGCCCATACATGTGTGTGTGTCAGCACCACAATGATTTGTTAGTAGTGGTTTAAAACGTGACGCAGGTGGTCGTGAACGACCTTCATGGGTGCCTGCCCTCAGTTCAGTCAGTTTTACGCTTGCATGATTGTTTCTTGTCCGTATTCTGTATTCGATTGATACGTACTAATAATCAAATACGGTTCATAGACTTTATCAAACTTCACAATTACATTGTATGGTTTTCTTAATTAAATATGAAATCTATAACTATTTAACTGTTCACAATGCATATTGTCATGGAATTATCAATAATAATAATAATAATAATATTTTCGAGATTCGAGACTATGTATGTACCTATGTATGTATATATGTATGGACAAAACTCACATATATATGCGACAGTACACTATATCACACTATATGTTATGTCTAAGACATATAGTTAGGTACCTACTTTATTTCTTTAATACGCTTTGTAATCAAGTTGGATGGAATGGATAACAATATCAATAATGGTTATAAATTTCGTTCAATTGGTATTAATTGGTTTTAATATTACCAAATAGTATTGGCCTAATGATCGATGATTTAATTTCATGTACTTATAACAAGTATATTTTTTTCTTGAAACGGTGGGGAAAACTGTCTATAATTATTATTAATAGTCGAACATCGCTCGTTAAAGAAACAGCGTTGACATGCAGAAGAAAACGTATTTAACTGTTTTGTTTTAATCTATTTATAAATAGATTGTTTACTATGGTAAAGGAAAAGGGTATGATATTTATTACATACTAGCGACCCGCCCTCGCTTCGCTTCGGAAACATTAAAACACACATGAAACCAAAAAAAAAAAATTAAAAAAAGTAGCCTATGTTCATCAGGGACAATGTCGTCTTCTAATGGAAAAAGAATTTTTGAAATCGGTCCATTAGTTTCGGAGCCTATCCGAAACAAACAAACAAACAAATCTTTCCTCTTTATAATATTAAGTATAGATTATAGATTCTATGATATAAAAATTAGAGGGAGTCCCACAATTAATTGTGTTACTAGGGCTTTATTTCAATATTTGTTTGGATAAATATATCTATAATAAGAACTTATTATGTGCGAATTGTTAAGTTAAAAACAAACAATAAAGTGTCGACTAGACATGTAAGTCAATGATGATGACCGATTTGTAAATACCGATGAATACATTTTAAATTTTCCTTTCAAAAAGAAAGTACTGTAAAACGTTTTCTTTTGATTTCGTAGAATATCATTTAAATCATGAGCCACTCAATGAGCAGTCCAAGGAATATACAGTTAGGTACTGTTGACTTTTTTCAATGTTTTTATTTCGATTTTGAACAATAAATGTAGCAACAGTAGTATAAATAGATACTCAAGTATATTATATATTATCACCACTCATCACGGTCATGGTTTGCGAACTCTAGCCCAACTATTTCATGGAGCGTTGACGATAGATACGCTCTGGTCCATAAGCCTAAGGAAAACAAACATTACAAGGACTCGCGTTGAACTGTTACTTAGTGGGATAGGTCCCACGTAACAGGATATTTAAATAAGAAATTACTTGAAAATTTCGGTCTAAAAACTTTCAATTAAATTGATAACGGATTTGATGTATTATTGTAAATTTTAGATCCGCATATATTAATGTTTTAATTTGCATGAAGTTGGCATTTTGCTAAAGATGACCGAAATCATTTGCAGTCTGTGACTATAGTTCCGGGTTGATTGTACAGACTTTAAACAAAACACTTTTGAGACTTCGATCTCATCTCTCAGGAGGGGTAGCGGTTTTTCGCGATCTGACGGTACGGCTGCAATGAACGAACATAATTGAGAAATGATGAAACTTTATTTTTTTTTTGTTTCAGTTTTCGAAACATATCAGAAGGCACGATTAGTTTTTGTCCAAACTATGGCAGAATTAGCTACAAGATCTAGCAACGTGAAATGCTTGGAAAGTGCCGGTGTCTTGGGTAATAATTTGGGGCCTACAGACCTATATCGTTAATTTTTATTTATTTTTATTGCTTGGATGCACGAGCTCCCAGCTCACCTGATGTTAAGTGGTTACTGGAGCCCATATACATCTACAATCTAAATCCGCCACCAACCTTGAGATATAAGTTATAAGGTCTCAGTATGGTTACAACGGCTTGCCCACCCTTCAAACCGAAACGCATTACTGCTTCGTACCTACCCGTGCGGACTCACAAGTAACTTAACTTAAGTAACGGTAACTATACTTGAGACTTTAGAACTTATATCTCAAGGTGGGTGGCGCATTTACGTTGTAGATGTCGATGGGCTGCAGTAACCACTTAACTCCAGGAGGGCTGTGTGCTCGGCCACCCATCTAAACAATAAATAAATAAAAACAAGAGTTCCTACCACCAGTAAAATGTATCTATTATTTAGCAGTTCATTTAGACTTTATATTGTTGACCCATAATATGAAAGATCTGAAGATCTAATTATTGATTTTATATTAATCATATCTACACCTTGTGGAAATTTATGAAAATATTTCAATAATATAAAAAAAGCATGTTGACTAGTTTGTAAGTACACAATTAAAAGCGACAAGTCTACAAATTCACTTGGTATGTCCGAAAATTAGTGTATTGTCACAGTACAGTTGACAGTATAGTTGACGTAATCAACTAGAAGCCCTCATTTGTTTATAATTATTTATTGGACGCGCATGCTTGCAAAGAACTCTAGGTCACATTTATCTGAACAGCAAGAATCTAGCAACTAACAAAATGGCTGAATTCCAGAACTGTTAAAGCCCTTGTTGTCTGATGCATGCAGCACTATACGTCAGTGTGCTGTCGTAGCGATTGCAAAACTCGCAGAACACGATTTAGACATAGCAAGGCAGCTTCTAAATGGAGGAATCATTACAATTACACTTGAAAACTTAAATAAATACAATGTATGTGGTATAATTATTTACTATTGTAAAATGTTGGTTTAATGTTTTATTTTGGTTTGAAAGAAATTAATATCTAAACATTCCTAGGTTTACTACAAGCGGTCTGCATTATATTTATTGAGAGCAGTAGCGAAGTAAGTACATGTATCACTTTTATACATTTAAATTCGTTATTAATTAATAATCAAATAATAAACATGACCAGGCACAATGAAGAACTGGCGAGCGCAATAGTCCGCCTGGGAGCTTTAGAACACATTGTTTCTTGTCTTGAAGATTTTGACACTCAGGTAAAAAAAAATACTAAAAACTACTAATACTGAATCAGAACCGTTTTTAGGTTTCATACCTCGAAATGAGCAAGATGCAAGCATCAGCATTTTTTTAAAATACACCATTTATTATTATTTGACTCTATCGTAATTAAAAATATAGACCCTATTGCAATTTTTCACTCACAGGCGTCATATTAGTTCATTTAAAAATAGTTTTGAGGTTTAGTCTCATTTATTTTATTCATGTGGGTGGTCGTTTTTGTTTATTTTGTGTTAAGGCATACGACACAACATACGGCCATATATGTGCTTAGCGAATTTTTTAAGGTTCTCGATAGCGTAAAAGTGAACCCAATTTTGTATGCAGTTTTGGCTATGGAATGAGCTCCCCTCCACGGTGTTTCCCGAGCGCTATGACATGTCCTTCTTCAAACGAGGCTTGTGGAGAGTATTAAGTGGTAGGCAGCGGCTTGGCTCTGCCCCTGGCATTGCTGAAGTCCATGGGCGACGGTAACCACTCACCATCAGGTGGGCCGTATGCCCGTCTGCCTACAAAGGCAATAAAAAAAAAGTTGGAACAGTGCCCCTAGCGGCAAACGTAACTACGCAAACGATCCCATTTCATACAAATATGAGCTAACTTTTACGCTATCGAGAACGTTAAAAAACTCGCACTAAGCACACTGATGGAGAAAATTCACTCTTGTTTATTGTAAAAATCAGTAATGCCAAGGTGATAACTAGCCGCTACTTACTGCCATGGACTCTTTTCGCAGTTTGTTTGAAGAAAGATAATATGTTATACTTAGTGCCCAGGAAACAACATTAGAGAGGAGTTCAATCCAGAACCGTACGTACGGACGTACAAATATAACCTCTAGAGATGTACTGGGGATGAATGCAGCGGTTCCAGGCAATCGTGGTTCTGGGGATGAACTCTGATCTAATGATTATGTAACGACAAAAGGAGATGATGAAATCATTTCAAACAATATCTGCTTCGTCGATCATACCTTTACCTGCAAGATTAAGTGACGGGTAACCATATTTATGGTATGATAAATAATTTATGAACCATAACCACTTTGAGATGTTCGAGGCTGTAAAAGAATGTGTCGGCTCTAATTAATAATTACTAAATTCAATCTCAAAACTATTTTTAACCATATCTATACTGTTCTTGACAATATATGGTACCGTTTGACTGACGGCAATCAATTTATGTAGAAATTGCGAAAAAACACATGTCTCATTTTCGTCGCCCTTTTTTTATTGCCTTGATGAGTGAACATGCTCACGGCCCACCTGGTGTTAAGTGGTTACCGGAGCCCATAGGCATCAACAACGTAAAGCCGCCACCCACCTTGAGATATGAATTGTATATCTCGGTTTTATAGTACAGTGGCTGCCCCATCCTTCAAACCGACACGCATTACTGCTCACTGCAGAAATAGGCAGGGTGGTGGGTCGTCGTTTCATTTTTATTACACGATGTTATTCGTTCACCGCGGAAATCAATCGTGAACATTTGTTGAGTACGTATTTCATTAGAAAAATTGGTACCCGCCTGAGATTCGAACACCGGTGCATCGATCAACACGAATGCACCTGACGTCTTATCTGTTAGGCGACGACTTCAAAACTTTTTTCAGGTTAAAGAAAATGCGGCTTGGGCAGTAGGTTACATTGGAAAGCACAGTGAGCAATTGGCCGGTTTGGTTGTAGATGCAGGCACACTACCCTTGTTAGTACTCGCTTTCCAGGAGCCTGAGATAAGTTTAAAGCAGGTACCTACTTGTACGTAACATAAACCAACATTATTAATAATAGTTTGTGGGATAAGGATGACATGAGAATTTTATTAATAATTGAGATATACCTATAGATAGTCATGGCTAACATTTTGAATTTAATTAATTTTAAACCTTTCACTATATGATTTCATAATAACTACTGTTGAAAATCTAGTAAAATAACAAATCAAACATAGAATTGTAATCATTTTATGTACAATTAATATACATCTTGAAGTGCCTGTGATTACGACCGAATTTCAATCATACGGCTAATATTAGCCTATAATTGGGCTGAACTCAGCTGAAGTTTCTCATTTAAAGTTTTATGTGAAAACCCACTTAATTTTTTAGTACCTATAGGTACCTAAGTTTATTTACTTCTGTATCCATCAGTGACTTCCTTTCGACGAAAGGCTTTCGTGACTTTTCATTAGTTATCTTGATTTCTTTACATAATGTTGAATGAATTTTAGATTTCTGCAGGAGCCCTCGTAGACTTGGCTCAACATAAGCCGGAAGCAGTAGTCGATGCGGGAGCTATTTCTCATTTGGTACACGGACTAGAAAATCAGGATCCTAAGCTTAAGGTGTATTGTTATGTTATAATTCAGTTACGAATTAGACATAGTCCTCTGTACCCCTAAAATGGTCCGTAAAATGAGGTCGTCGGTTTTAGCATTGAATTTTAATTTCACAAGCAACCTCAGAAATAATCAATATGAACGTTTCAGTTTCTTATGTCCCCTTCAACTTCGTTTAATATTACTTAGGCATCTACAAATCACTGGATTAAAGTAGGTAGGTATATATTGATATATATATATTGATTGTATTGTCAACAATCTAACGTTAAACTAAGAGTTCGCAATCTCCAATGCTACGAAATGATTCTATATGGCCATATGCCCAATAATAGGTTAGGGTGAATTTTACTGCAAATTTCAAATTTAAAAAAAAGATTAGAAAATATTGATAGTAGCTTTAAAAATCTATATATATATATATATAAATGAATTGCTGTTTGTTAGTCTCGCTAAAACTCGAGAGCGGCTGGACCCGTTTGGCTAATTTTGGTCTTGAATTATTTGTGGAAGTCCAGAGAAGGTTTAAAAGGTAGATAAATTTGAAAATGCTCGGAATGAAATAAAAAAAAAACAATTTTGTTTTTCCTTTGATGTGTCCCCCGTCGGACGGATTCCTTTTGATTGTTTTAAGTTTATTTTATACAAAAGGTTAGGTATTTTATTTATCTATTGAGGCACTACGAAGTCTGCCGGGTCAGCTAGTGATAAATAAATAACAGACGATTACTGAAATATTTGGGAATGCAGCGTAGTATACTATGCGCACTGAGTGCAGTGGCCAGCGCACGGTCTGAGCTGGCTGAAGCAGTAGTGGCTGGTGGTGCACTACCCGCCGCCCTCTTGCACGCCGGCCATGACGCAGCGCCAGTCAGGCGTGCCGCAGCCTGTCTACTGAGGGACATTGTCAAGCATTCGGTCGATGTGAGAGTCTATATCTATATGTATATAAATGAATTGCTGTTCGTTAGTCTCGCTAAAACTCGAGAACGGCTGGACCGATTTGGCTAATTTTGGTCTTGAATTATTTGTGGAAGTCCTGAGAAGGTTTAAAAGGTAGATAAATATGAAAATCGGACAGCGGACGGATTCCTTTTGTTTGTTTTAAGTTTATTTTATACCAAAGTTTAGGTATTTTATTTATCGATTGAGGCACTACGAAGTCTGCCGTGCCGGGTCAGCTAGTCGTTTTATATAAATTTATTGCTAGGTAATTGTAATGCAGTGTTAATACCGATTCCACGTGAATTCGAAGATTTAGGTATATTAGTATCTATATTATCAGAAGGATTTTTTTGCTATGAGTTGATATCGGTAGAGTTATAGTGTAAATAGCTTCTTAGAGGTTGGTTCCGAGAAGCACATGTTGCAGTTGTGAACGAAACAATGTTTAAGAGCAACATGATCAGCGCGTATGAAGTGATTATAAATGTTAAGTATACACAGAAAGAAGAGATTCGAAAGCAAACTATTTTACTTGAATTCCTATTTACTAAACTTGTTATTTATTAAATAATTGGGTAACAAAAACGTAGCATTACGTTCGATTAGTCAGTTATTTGATAAAAAAACAAAACAGAAAGAAATAACCCATCATCTTATTAATACCTAACTATGAAATATTTGCAATTTATTTAGTTGGCTCAGCTAGTAGTGAACACTGGTGGATGTGGTCCTTTGGTCGAACTATTAAAAGAGAGTACGGGTGGATCAAGAGTCCCAGCTTGTATGGCACTAGGATTTATTGCAGGGCAATCAGATCAGCTCGCAATGGCAGTTATAGAATCGAAGGTTAATAAAGTTTACATTTGTGTTTGACACAATAAAATATTAATATTTATATTATACCTTTTAAACTTAATTTCACGTCTCCGGTCACCGGTTACGTCTGTCGAACCAACGACGCCAGGTGGGGGAGGAAAGTCCTCGAATGGAGGCCACGGATGGGTACCAGGAGCGTGGGGCGTCCTCCAACCAGGTGGACCGACGACTTAGTGCGCACGGCGGGAAGTCATTGGATGCGGAAGGCGGAGGACCGCATTCTGGGGAAGGCATTGGGGAAGGCCTATGTCTAGCAGTGGGCAGATAAAGGCTGATGATGATGATGATATTCAAAAATTATATTTTAAGGAAATAAAGATAATTTAAATTTAAAATGAAAATATTGAATCAAAATTAATAAAATTTATTCAAACATTGAGGGCGGCGCGATAAACAGGGCCTAGGGCGCCATCAAGCCTAAATCCGTCACGGCTTATACCTATGTCGATGCCATGAACAGAACTTATTATATATATTTAAGAGTGAAAACTGGTAATACTGAGACTATTGGTCAATTTATGAATTTTAACATTAATTTTAAAAATATATATATTAAATAAATAATCTTATTAAGTTTTTTCACTACACTATTTAAGTTATCAATCATCACAAATTGTGACGCCTGTTGTGTTGCCTTTTCTGGTTTTATAAATAAAAAAAATGTATCTATCAATTTTAGGCCATTACACCACTTGTTGAAATTCTACAAAAGAAAGATGCAGAAGATGCAGAGTTGTGTGCAGCTACTTGGACATTAGGCCACATCGCAAAACACTCACCACAACACAGTCTGGCTGTTGCTGTGGCCAATGCTCTACCTAGACTGTTACAAGTTAGGTTGACCTCATTCTTACTTTAGATTAGTTTAGATGTAAAAGTATTTGTGGTTTAAAAATTAACAGCAAGCAGAATTAAAATTGACATAACGTTTTTTTTTATTCGATGTACTAATTCTGATCACAATATTAAGCCAAAGTAATAAAATTACTATATTGTCATCAGTCTTTAATACTTGTCTGATACATGTGCAAATAGCACATTTATAATCTTTTCATTTATATACGCAGATAGATGTCAATATTTAAAGTATATTTAAATTATATTTAAATTAAACATCGTTAGTTTAATTTTACAGCTTTACACAAACCCAAAGTCTTCAGGAGAAGTACAAGCTCGGACATCATGTGCATTGAAACAGGCATTACAATGCTGTCTACATAGACCTGCATTAGAGACATTGTTACATTCTGCACCTGCTTGTATATTGAAATATGTACTAGCTCAGTATGCAAAGGTAATTATTCTAGTTAGGCAAATATAACAATAATACACTATTTCAAATGAAACAGTGCTCCAGTAATCAGTAATTATTGATTTCGTTTAAATATGATGTAGCAGTTACTTAAGTAGTAAACTTCTTTTGCTGAAATATTCATTTATTTATTATTTTTAAAGAGTTCTACCAGGTGGGACTGTTTTTCAAATTGCTAATAAAGAATATTTGAGAGTAAAAACTAAAAGTGAAAACTATTTGATTAACAGTTAATTGTAATTATTTTTAATATGCAAGATCAATCAGTTTCAACTGTGTAATATAAATTTTTATGTATTCCTAGTAAACAGGTCCATCATCCAAATTGTCATCTTCTTCTTCATAATCTTCCCCGTTATCAAAATAGTTATTTGCATAGTCAGTACCATCATCTAGTTCATATTCTTGCTCATGTTCATCTTCCAGCTCCTCTTCTTCATCTACGTTTTCGTTGTTTAATTCTTTTTTTTTGCCGTCTATCCCCTCATCTGTTTCCAGAGTCTCTTTTTTTTCAAGCGTTTGTAATCTCTTTGCTATCTCTTCGGGATCATCGAGTTTTCTTTTCCTCGGAACAGTACGCGGACGTTTTGCTTGAGGCCGTAATTCGGTAGGCATGTTAACCCACACGCAATCCAATAACTTATTCTGCTTCGCATCAAGTGCTAACATTTTGTACTTATCAGAATATCGCTCTACACCGTCAGTCTCTGTTTTGACTTTAACAAATGCCGGTGATTCGTGTAGATATTCAATGAACTGATCTTTGACAATGAGCATATAGTCAGTGGCGGCATCACATATAAGAGGTAGTGGTTTTTTCTCAAGTTTTGGAAACAGTGGTGGCGGCACAAGTGTTGGAGGAGCAGTGTCGCCGCGTGTCACACCTAAGGCTTGTATTTGCTCAGTAGTTAATGATAGACCGCTACCCCCACGTCCTCGTCCTCTACCTGCCATTGTAACTGTAATCGATTTTTTGATCAGAAAACAATCTGGCGATAATTAATCTATATAGAGTAACTCCAGATAGTACCTACATAACTACTCATTTGTTATTGTTTTGAATCGGATGTTTTTTCGTTTAATTCTTTCATAAAACAGGTAATAGAGACGTAGCTCATACAGCCAAAGTTTAAAAAAATCGTGGCTTTATTTATTTTTCAATACGTAAAATTCAACAGTTTGAGAATTATTGATAATTTGAAATTGATTATGGCGTGAAATAAGAATAAACTGGAGATGACATGAATTAAGCCTATGTATATTGCCTTCATCATTTGAAGAACGTGAACCAATTGCCTTATATTAATTATATTAATATACAATTATTCATTCGTAATGAGGTTCATCATTTATTTGAACAAAATATACGTGCGAATCATTCTCTTGCAGGCTAAATCCAAGAAATGTGTATGTTTTTCTTATTAGGGTCTTTTGCAAGTACCATTTCCATTTCATGGAGTTTCATAATTTCTGAAAATTTCTGAAAAACTGTTCAGTTCAGAAATTATTAAACAAGTTAAAATAAAGGTATATTTATTGGAAGTAGATGATTTATATTCGTTTTATTTTTTCAGATTCTACCCAACGATGCAAGAGCGAGAAGGCTTTTTGTTACAACAGGAGCATTGAAAAGAATACAAGAAATTGAAACAGTGCCCGGAACGTCCCTGAAGGAGTATATTAATATCATAAACAGTTGCTTCCCTGAAGAAATAGTAAGGTAAAACACTACCTACTAAAACAAAATTTGTCCTACTCAAATCTCAACTGTAGGCTCATTTATTTTCAGATATTATACTCCCGGCTACACAGATTCTTTGCTGGATAGAGTTGAAGCGTATACGCCACAAGTATGGAATAAACTCTTATGTATATATTTTCGATAGACACTGGTGATTTTCATGTATTAACATGTAACTTTCTTTTGTTGAATAGATACCAGAACTTTTTACTGATCGAGTGCCGAGTGATTGCCAAAGCGAAATGAGTATAGAGAAAAGAAATTAGTTTATTTTTCTTATATGTTGTTAAATACAATTTATTAATACTGTTTCAATTTTCATTCTTTGTACATAGTCCAAACAATTTTTTGTAGTTGTACATTTCTTCCACCAATCTTAGATTCTTCTATTACCATTGATTGAGTCAATACTCTGTAACTGCAATAGGATTATGGTTAAATTTGTACACAGATCGATTTATCTCAGGTAAAAGTCTTGCCCGATTTATGAGGGTATTATCCAATTCGCTACGAGTGTGTGCTTACAGTCAATCTAGCGTTAAGTAGTTACCGGAGCACAAAGACATCACAACGTGAATATCACCACCCGGTCGGTGACATACGGTCTAAGGGCCCATTTTTGTACTGCTAGTCTACACTTCAAACTAGAACGCAGGACAGCTACGCGATAGAAACACTCAGAATGCGATTGTACATTACGTCAATATAAACCAATTTATATCAATTACCAATCGCAATCCGGTTGTTTAACACTCAGAGAACGCTGTTTTCCACTATTTTTAACTTATTTTGTAAAGTTATGGATAGTGTCTAAAATAGAAGCGTAGGTACTAAGTGTTTCTTCAGTCGGCTACGTTAGACGCGCCAATATATATAGTCGGATTTTTTATTAGACGAAGTAAACTGACGTTTACTGTGTTGTCAGTTTTTGATGAAATAAAAATAGTGTTGTGAAAAAGTGAACAATTGAAAAAACTCCTGAATTAATGAAATTGCCTCGATTGTCTAGTGAATAGTTAGTGTGCCGAACTGCCGATATCGGGCACGGGGTTCGAATTTTAGCCGTGCTTTGTACATACCAACGAGTTTTCGACGAAACATTATGTTCCTATGGTATCTACCTGTACTGAATACCGATTGTTTTAAACATTAAGAAAAACATTGCGAGGAAGCTTGTAAGACTGTCCTATTTCCAATGCATCATATAGTTGAAACTATAGATGTATAAAATATAACAATTATAGGTACATAGGTAATGAAAATAAAAAAAACTGATTGTAGTTACATACTACTAGTAACATATTATTATATTGGATCACTTTAATACAATTTTATTGTAAAATATAAATAATATTCTTTTATAGTTTGAAATTAATGATTAACTCTTCACACTCATTGTTCATTTATGTGATTGAACGAGAACTGAACGCATCACTATTACTTTAAATATAGCAACATTATTTCACAAAGTGACATTAGCTACTGTCAGCTGGCTTCGTCTAATTAAAAATCCGACTATAGACGAGCAGATTCATGTGTCTCGTGATGACGAGAAAAGATAGCATTATCTTTAAAAATCGGAACCCGTTTCGACCGTAGGGATTACTTTCTCTCCAAACGTTTCTTGCGTCACTACCCCTATTTTACTTTGGTAAGAATAATAGATCTGCATGGTTATCAGTGTTCTATTTTTTAACTATAAATATATAATAGATACATATATATTAAATATTAGTTGAGCCAGCAAAAGTTGTTTTGCCATTAAATTTTTGGGTTTTTAGGAAAGAGAAATAACCTAGATACCGACTGCAGCGCTATCTGCGGAGTTGATTTGTGAATCTAAACTATCCAGGGCGCCACCCAAACGCACAGAAATTCATTCAAATCGGTTCAGGCGGAGTTCAGTGACATACACACGTACAGTAGAATTATATATAGGTATAAAGATAGTTATAATTACGAGCGTAAATTTAGTATATATAATTATTTTATTTAGACCTACAAACTTGAAGAAAAAAAAAGAATTCATAAGCTCTTAAATAGGAACTAGATATAACACTGCATCCCTCCTTGTTACCTTATAGCATCAGACTAAAAAAGCTACCTTTGACGAAGTTACTTCAAGATGTGTTCCTTATAGTTTATATATACTCACTTAAAGTCATTTTCAGCCAACAGATTTAACATGCGTACACCCAACGCTTCGATCTCGTGAAAATTCTGGTTTTGAAGGAATTTTATGTCGTGTCGTATTAAATTCGTCTTGAGTAATTCTAATTCATTTGCATTTAAACCCTGTGATTTACAAAAAGAGAAAACGAATTATTGTGGAAGCTATTGGCCATTACACACAATCGCCAGGGAGGAATTTAAACTGGCTACATACTTGTAAGCATTTTAAATAGCAGTATTTCAGACCTATATGAGGCAGGTACGTTATTATAAGTCACAATAAAGAATTGACGCATGTGATGTATTATTAATTGGATGAGAAAAACTATTAGCACTTTTAGATTTACATAAAACAATAATTTTAGTTTGATATATACAATTACTCGACTCGACAGACGTTCTCATGTGGTGCACATGTCTTAAAATAGAAAATTTCACTTTTTTGAATAATTTGGACTGGTGATGAAAATATTTATAGTTATTACCTATAATAAGGTAGGTATACTTAAATGCACTTGAACACATATACTTTGTTGCTTATTGCCACTTGATAGTCGAGAAGACATACGTATCTAATAGTATACTAGTGGTTACAAGCTACCTGGATTTTACAAGAAGTGTATCCAATAGTTTCGAGTTCAGTCAGTAATATGTAATGCATGTTTAAATGATGAAGGTATACTACCAAATGTCCACCACAAACTGAATAACTGTACATGATAATTGTGGACAGGAAACTAGCTGTTATCTTACTGTCGTTATCTACCGGTTATGGTAAGTTTTCAATACTAAAGTGATAAAATAATACAAGTTATATTTTATAATTGTTTCACTTTGTACCTACTACTATGTGGAAAAAGTACACGGAAAAGATCTATAATACACATTAAGTTTGATAATCAGCCAAATTTATTTTATGCCATCTTCAAAATACCGTGGCGACTTTGTCAAAGATTGTTAAATTTGCCATGACCCGACTTAAAAGGTACCTTTGTCAAAACTTTATGTTCTATAACATTTGCAATGAACTACTTTTGAACATTTGATTGGCGACATCTTGATTATTTTGATTTGACAACCCAGATTTGAAAGAATTGTCATTTTTGGCGGTTACATTTTTCATCTGCTAAATTTGTGGTAACTATGTACCTGCTCCGGAAGTTTAGTGTAAATAAATAAGTGGATTTTACTTTCTTAGTAGTTTTTTTATTATCAAAGTTATGGTAATTCGTTCTATAAAGCAATTTAGTCTTATTAAATCACTATTGGCAAAACCAAGCAAACAAGTTTTACTGATGTGAATGAACTTTGCCATTTTTTTTGGAGGCTAGGGCTGTCTCGAAATATTATAATATCTACTTTTAATGTTACTTAATTTCAGATCCAAATTATCATTTTATTATTTATATGAAATTTGTTTAGATTTATGGATGGATAGGCATGTGTTACTCTTTCAAGCAAAGACTACTGAACGGATTTTGCTCAAACATAGATAAATATATCCTATACATTTTTCTGATCTGTAAAATAGTATCTTATTAAGAGCTACGAGTAGTAAGTGATCATAAACGCTATCAAGGCAAAATAATTTGCTAGTTGAGAATAAGATAAGATTTTAGTATATCTTTACTGTGACCAAGCTGTGGCAATGACAACACTGACATTTTATAGTAATTCCATTTATTTCATTCAAAATTTGGGTATGGCAATCTGGACTTAATAATATTTAAGAAAACAATAGATACCTATTTGATTACATTACAATTATGCATAAAATACACTATCAAGCTGATTGATTGCTTTTTATATTCTCATAGATTTTTTAAGAAAAACCTTTCCAAACTTTTTTTATCCGCCAAAAAGTGACAAAGTTGCCAGGTTTCTCGGTATGCTCTTTCATAAACCATACTTTCGCAAACAAATAATCCAATACTCATAACATTATTAAACGTTTTTGCGAATTCTCCACTATATCTTCTACCGAATGAAAACAGGTGGAAAAGTTGGAGTTCAGAAGCAATAAGAAGTCGGCTGGTGCCACAAATATTGGTAGCGTATCGGTATGAAGGTGGTTGCGCGTTGATACATTTTTAACCGAATGTATATTTGAATTTACTATTTCTAGGCCTTAAAGCAGTTCTTTATTATGTATAACTCCCCAGTATCTGAAAAAAAAAGGAAAACAAAATTACTTAAAAGTATTATTTGATTAAACTACATGAGTTTCTTAGCGTTTTGGTCAGCTTAAATTATCTTCAAAAGAATTCTAGATATATGCTTGTCTTTTAAAATATCATCACATATTATTTCAAACAATTAGGTATTTTATTTAAAAAAAAAAATCTTTTACCATTGTTTATTTTCCACATTCTTTATAGTACATAGATACATAGAATCTGGAAATAAAAATAAAAAATTAGAATGAAAATAAATTAAACTGGGTATTTTAGTTTTGATATTTGTGTTTCAGTTATTACCATACCATTTTTTCTCCACGATTTCGTCAGCCAGGGATAACTTAGTACTCATCATTTCAGTATTTCAGATACATAAATACTCAATTAAAATAATAACTTAAAATAAAATTACCTTTTAAATATACAAAAATTTGAGTTCAAAAGCAATAAGAGGTCGGCTGGTGCCATAAATATTGGTACTGTATCAGTATGAAGGTGGTTTTGCATGATGATACTTTTTTTTACTGAAATTATATTTGAATTTACTACTTCTAGGCCATAAAGTAGTTCTTTATTATGTAGTAGCCCTCCAGTATCTGAAAAAAAAAGGCGAAAACAAAATTACATAAAAGTATTAATTGATTAAGCTACACGAGTTTCTTAGCGTTTGGTCAGCTTAAATTATCTTCAAAAGAATTCTAGATATATGCTTGTCTTTTAAAGTATCATCACATATTATTTCAAATAACTTAGGTATTTTATTTAAAAAAAATGTTTTACCATTGTTTATTTTCCACATTCTTTATTATCATACATGGAATCTAGAAATAAAAAATAAAAAATTAGAATGAAAATAAATTAAACTGGGTATTTTAGTTTTGATATTGTGTTTCAGTTATTACCATACCATTTTTTCTCCACGATTTCGTCAGCCAGGGATAACTTAGTACTCATCATTTCAGTATTTCAGATACATAAATACTCAATTAAAATAATAACTTAAAATAAAATTACCTTTTAAATATATATCGCAATCTGTTTAATCATGAAGATGGAACCATACTGCTGCATTGTCAAGTTTTGATATCTGAAAGGAAAATTCATAATAGGTATAGAATTTTTATACATCACAACAATCACAAAAGTTTGAAAATTTGCCTGCCATGTAGTCTATATTTAGAACAGTGCATTACTTAGTGATCTTAAAATTAAATTACTGCCCATAAACAGTGTATCGTAATTAGTGGTCATAAACAGCAGTAATGTAGCTCATGTACTTCTCTCACTTAAGTGATTTTCAAGAAAAGAATCATGCTTGAGACAATTTTTTAATTTAATTTAATCAGAAAAATACCCAGCTTTAAAGTTTAAGTTCAAGCTTACGAGTGATTATAACTTTATTTATTTTTATTTAACACAATTTTACAGTCCATTCAGTTGTGTAGAAGTCTAGTGACACTTAATAATTTACGCTTCAAAAAATTGGGACATAGAATGGTCCCTGTGAGTACAATTTTTATATTCAGGCAATTATTTTTGTTTTCAAACTATAGATTCATAATCATGTTTAAACATATTCTGTAACTGAAAAGTCAACAAGCTGCAGGAATCAAAATTTTCATAAACTTAATAGCTGAGGTAAATGCTATTTGAAGTATTGATCACAATCAATATCCTTAATTTTTATTTAATATTATTTAGATACTTGGTTAATTGCTCACCATTCACAATGACTTAAGAACTGCCATAACTCATCACTTGTATTACAACCTACAACAAAAAAAAAAAAAGAGTTACAAAACACTTTCAAAGATTTTTAAAAGTTCATTGTTCGTTTTTATCAGATCCAAAATTCAACAGTAATATTCTGGTATATGCTTGTTTGTAAATAGCATCATTATTATTATTATCCTACCATGTTTTATTCTAAAAAATAATAATTTGATAGTCTGCAATGACACATAACTTAGATTTTATTGCTTTCTTTACGATGGTTTAGAGATTTGGAGATTTTTAGATAGTTAAAATATAAAAGCTGATATAAGCTGCGGCTTTAATTGGGATTATTGAAATATCAGGCAAATATATTGATGTCCATAAACATGATCTTGTTTCAAAAAGTCACGCCTAAACAATTGTTATGATTTTTTAGTTAGTTATTGAATAACATTATTCAAATGAAATTAAGACACAAAGTTGGGCGGTCACCAGAAACACTACAAACTTAGGTGGAACGTAAGGGCGTTATCACTATTTTACGTAATTTTAGTTAAAAACTGTATAATTAAGTTAAGGTTTTTTTAGGATGGAAGGGGGACCGAAGGCCTTTCCAGTTTCACCAGACAGGAAAGTTATGGTATGATTCATTATTAAATTGATTTAACTCACCACATCTCCCTTAGTTACTATTGAGCAGAAGTTGGTAACTTTGGTTGGCAACCTACAAATACAAAATATACTTATTGTTAATAAATTTTAATAACAACTAAAAAAAATACTTTGTTCTCTTGAATATAAATCAGAAATGATCGATCAACAGTATTTCAGATAGGGGCGATACTATACGTCATCATTTAAATTATGTCTTTCAAGTCTGTTCTGTAAAGTCAAGTTGAGTTCCAAGAACGATGCACCACTTTAGCAACTTTTAAAATATAGAACTTTAGACCATCAGTTCAATTATAAATTTCAATTTCTCAAATTAACTTATAAATTGCGACAATAGGACTGTTTTAAATGGTGGTTGTAAAATATTATATTCATAAATACAAAACTAATTGATGTAAAATTATTAATTAAAACAATATACATCTAAATAGTATCTGCAATATAAATAGGTTGAGATTAATTGAGTGACACTTAGGTGAGTAAATAAAATACTTCTTTGGTCATGTTGTTTTGACAGATATATGTGTTGCTCAATAGGACCAGTGCTCTTGTATCTTAATTAAATACATAAAAAAAAATTGTTATATATATATAAAAAAAAAATCTCTATGCGTTTCTAAATTATTCATCTGATTATGTTGACTCTCCCAAGGAAAATAAGTATGTATATAAGGGGAAGTATGAAAGCAGCGCTAGTGATAGAAAAATAAAGAGTTGAGAATATCGAGGTGTTATGCAGAGGATGGCCAAAAAGACTGGGTATGAAACTAGAAGATGTGATGCGAAGAGTGTTACATGCAGTGTGAGACGGGTGTGAGTGTAGATGACGTGTGCTGACGCTGCGCCGACTCACATAGTGAAGTGTGGCCAAGGACAAGGATTTTGTCTTCCATGGTGAAGGAATAACTTCCTCTAATAAAATCAAACCCGCAAAAATTATAATTTGCGTAATTACTAATAGTAAGGTGTTTTGTGATTAAAGCCCGGTAACAACTTAACACCACATGGGCCGTGAGCTCGTCCCACCTATCTTATCAATAAGATCCAAGGAAAATAAATGCCTGTCAGAGTAAAATAGGTTTCCCGCGACTAGTTCTGAAAAATCAATAAAAAAATGATTTCATAAAACTACTGATAGCAGATATGACAAAGTTTCACTAGTCTAATTTATAAAATACAATACAAACTATATTTACCTTTATATTATCGTAGTGGAAATTTGCTCGAGTAGATGACATTGATTTGCAGAAGATTATCTGGAAAATACTTTCTTTATAAATCTAATTATTATAGATTGATCTTGGGCATCCCAGTTTTATTGAGGAATCAGTTATTACCATACCATATTTTCCCCACGATTTCGTGAGCCAGGGATAACTTAGTAATCATCACGTTTTTTGGACTTTTTATAGCTATCGTTCCTGATTTCCTTTTTGCATGTTGTATAATCGATTGAATAGAAGTTTTATTATTATTGAAACTTCTCTGGTAATTACTAGCGTCCAAATAATCAAAATCTTGTTACTATGAGAATGAACACATTGTTACTGCACTCAATTTTACATGAGACTAAAATATCTATTGTGAAGAAAACACGGGAGAGAAACAATGAAAAAGGACACTCATCATCATCATCATCATCAGGCTGTATCTCTCCACTGCTGGATGTAGGCCTCTCCCATAGTCCGCCACAATCGAACGATCGAACGACGATGTCGGGTTTGGACGGGAAGCGGATGCGGCCGGTGCCGGTTCTGGTCGATGTTCGTGCGTTATGTTCGTTTTAACGAGTTAGTATTTTAATATAATGCGGCCTCAAAAAAAGGACACTAATCCTATCCTATTCTACTGTGTTACAAAAAAACAACTCACCAGTATAACTTTTTAAGCACCATTCAGCCACCACGCACCACACACCACATCAGATTATGTAGACCTACAATAGTATAATATATTCCGTTAAATTATAATTATATTATTGTATTTTGTGATTATAGCATACAAATATATTTTTAATCAGAAAAATCAAACAGCATTGGTCATCAGACTGGGGCGATAAAAATCATCATGTGTTGAGCGAATGTTATTTTTTCATTACTTTGTAATGTACGAAATGTATCGATCCACGAGCAGTTAGAATAGCCTTTTGTGAATGGATAGAGGTTTTTAATGAATTTATTTAAAACAACTTTTAATTATGTGGTATCATCATTAATACAAAAACGAGTCCACCTACACTTCAAAAATATTTAACAATAATAGATTAAGCAGGAATCAAACACCTAAGTATTTAATCCTAATACTAAGTAAAGTCCACTAACTACTTACTAAATGAACAACTAATTAAATTTAGATAAGGTTTATTGTCAAAGTTGAATGAACTCACCTTTTATTTCTTGACTCCAGTTCAATACGATGTTGGTCTGTGGAATAATATTATAATAATTGCTTAAATGATAATATTAAAAATGAAAATTACATTGGTCTAATTCAAAATCAGAAATGATCGGTCAACATTATTTCAGATAGGGGCGATACTATTAGTCATCATTTTTTAAAAGAAACCACCAAAGAATATTAGTTTCGAAGCTCTATGTTTCAATTGAGAATGTTATATTTTCGACTCGAAAATCTAAGATAAAGTTTACCTTACCCTGAATTTTCATGGCTAGTTTTCAGTTCTAGTATTTCTCTGCCTTTACTTATTTCCAATTTCATAATTTTGGCCTGAAAAATAGTATTTGAAATTATAATTTTTTTCATTGGAAATTATATTAAAATTATAAATGATAAAGTATAAAATGTCAGTGAAGATCAATCATCAAAGTTTCAGCTAGGGGCGATACAATCAGTCATCATTCAATTTTGGAAGAAAATACAATTAATTTTTATCACCAAACTTACTTCAGTTTACTGTTGTTATTCTTATTATTATGATTCCATGTGAACACCTGTAACAAATTTGGAAAGCAATTAATAGTTATCTTAGAGCATAAGCAATTAAACTTTTTTAAAGTTTTAGTATATTTATTTTTAAAGTATGTCACACTCAACCCTTAGATGTGCAGCTATGTTAAAAGCACATCTTACACAGAGTGTGATAATGTTCCTATCCAGAGTCACACATGCTAGTGGTGTCTGAACATGCATCGGCTTTGGTAGGGTCTTCACACCAACATTATTCCTATTATCAAACCAGACATCATATTGTGGCATGAAAGAAAGGATATGAATAATTCTTCAAACTTCAAATGTCTGCAGTTGTAACATTCCTTAATGGTTTCCATGGGGTTCAGTTGGGCTTAGTTTTATGTATATCAATTGGTTGACTCAATATAATTAATACACACACACACACCATATAATTAAAATGAAATTAATCTTGAAATAAAAAAAAAACCGTGACATTGTGCAGTTTTAAAGAAGCTAAACAGACCACATCTAAAATGAATTATGGTTGGTTGTTTTAAACTTGCATGGACAAACTATAGGTATAATAGACTTGAATAAAACTTAATTTTTTTCATCATTGTTTTTAAAATAAAATCATTATATTACTTGAAAATTTAACAATAAATAAAACTTTGTTTTCATTATACATTATGTTATGTTTTGATGCATGAGTTAAACTTACCATATTGTTTATTTGTTAGGAACCCAAACATTTATCTGCAACAACATATTAATTCTTAATAAAGTATTTTGTACAGTTAATATGTTTTAGGAAAGCTACTTTTAAAATCAGCAATGTGGTGTTTTTGTAATCATTTGTTCATACGAACGAGACTATTTTATTTGTTCATCATGGTATATTAACATTGAATTTTAACTCTAGTGATAAAAATTTATGTGGTATAACCTTATCATATCAATTGCTAAAAAACTTACATATTTATGTTTTCGTTTTGTTTCGTAGGTTATGACAACCTTGTATGTTTACAAATTTGTATGGTATACATGTTTTTTCTACAACAGTTATTCTACTGTATATAAATAAATTGGTAATTCAATACAACTTACATAATTTCTGTTGACTTCATTTGGATGGTTCTTTGGGTTGCAGTTTGTAGGATTGGCACTACGAACAAAACAAGACTAATATTCATCTTGGCAGTGAGCGTTTTAACATAAAATTCGTAACAAAACTAATTTTGTCACACTCAACCCTTAGATGTACAGCTATATTAGAAGCACATCTTACACAGAGTGTGATTATGTTCCTATCCAGAGTCACGCATGCCAGTAATATCTGTGATACATGCATCGGCTTTGGTAGGGTCTTTAAAACCGATATATAAAAAAATATAGCAGTAGCCAAAATGAATATTTTTAAAAACCAGTTGACAACTGAGGCCAACATCAGCCTTTACCAATGTAGGTTAGGGGTAATCACGAAAGCATGTAAGAGTAATTTTAGCAAACAAATATTGGTTTCTATAGTGTGGAGAGGAAATTGTGTAATCTACATTATTACCATTGAAATTTAGAGACTATGAAACTTATATCTCAAAGTGGGTCGCGCATTTACGTTGTGGATGTCTATGGGCTCCAGTAACCACTTCACACCAGGTGGGCTGTTAGCTCGTCCACCCATCTAAGAAAAAAAAAAAAAAAAGTTTTACACACATTGATAGCTGTCAACAAATGTTACTTACATTTAAGAATATTGCTTTACAATGTTGATGTAAGATGTTGATCTGTAAAAATAAAATACTCAATAAAGGCATTTGATCTGATATTGTTCTAGTTAGTTTGAAGTTTCAAAAATGTTAGATCCTCAATATAGAATGAACATTCACAAAATTAAATTTTAAATGAGAACTATTTTTGGGTAATCAGTTTCTTTTCTGATTATACTTACTCGAGTGTTTTTCCCCAGTGTTAGTAGAAGCGAATGTATACATTTTGTTCTGTAACAATTTACAATTGATTAAGTATTTAGGAATACTTGTATCCTACATTTAAAAGAGTGCTGTTATTCAGTAATGTGGTGTTTTATAATCATATTTTGTTCATACGAACGAGACTATATTTAATAGATCATCACAGTAATCGTTTACAGAATTAATAAAAACTAATGATTAAAGTTATTACTCACTTGTAATACTGGACTGCCACTATTAACTGAAACAAAAAGAAAATTTAGTAAAAATAAAATACCACTGCTGCATTATGGTAACAAAACTCACCTACTACTGCATGGTTAGGACAGTACACAAGGATGTAACAATAACACAATAAATGAAGCTAAAAAGTAATTCTTTATTCTCTTCTTAAAATCTGTCTTAGTCACATAACCTGTCGCAGACACAAAAACAATTACTTCTTAGCTGGTTTTTTGGTCGCCTTCTTGGTGCGCACTTTTTTCGCAGCCGCTTTAGGGATATTTTTCTTGCCGAAGGTACCAGCACGCGCAGCCTTCACCTTCAAGCTCTTGAATACGGCAGTCCTGGCACGGTTCCTCTTAACTCGTGCAGCTGTTAACTTGAACCTATCGTAATCTGTCATTTGTGCGCGCTTCTCTTTGTTCGCTAACTTCTGGGCCCATTGACTTTCTGTCCATTTTTCATTGAGTTTAGCATCTGTCCACGCTTTCCTCACAAGACGAGTAGGGGCTGTGAACGCGTATTTGAGGCGGAATTTTGTGAGATGGAGTTGGTTTAAGCGGATCTGTTGCCTAGGTACTCCACTGCCGGGTCCATCAACCAGTGCACGAGTTTGGTCAATAACGTCTACCACGCTCACTAACTTTCCCTTTAAGGGACCGTCGGCTACCAGGGCGACACGCCCTGGTTCTACGTACCGTGCAAAAGGCATGACGTTCTGAAACAATTACATAAATTGTTACTTACATTATTAATTCAAACTTGTGCACTCAAACACTATCAACAAAAAATCACGTAAACATTTTCTGTACTTTTCGGTGGATTGTAGAAATATATTATACATTCAAAAGCCACCCAATATTTATTTCTTTATTTAGTATTTAATTATCGAAATGAGTTTTATACAAGCATGATTTAAACAGATTATAATAATTTCTAACCTTACAACGTCTTAACACAAACAATGTACTCTCAAAAAGAATTTCCGGTGAGTTGTGTCATGATGTGTCAAATTGACAGTAATAGTAGTTTTATTTTCCAACTGAAAAGGCAAAAGCGTCATACCGTACCGCCTAATCTTTTATGTATAATATGAAACATGGCATGAAATCTACGAATAAGATTTATTATTTATTCGTAGCATGAAATGAAATGAGATCAGATGAGATGATTTGGGATGAAATATAATCTCAGTAAAATAGTGGTCATATAATGAGACTTCTTCAGTTGACGTTTTGGAGAATCCCGAGAAGTTACGTCCAGCGGCTTTGTTTCATTTTCCCATATTTGTGCACTTTCACAGATAATAAGCAATTAATAAACCACCGTTATTATGCATTTAAACCTGAAGAAACTCTAAACAGGCAAAATAAAACAAATCACACAACTTCACTCTTCGCGTTCCCGCCAAAAAGTCTGTCAAATTGCATTACTGACGTTTTCTCTGAAGGGTATGGAAATGCTCAGACGAGAGAAAAAACCTTTTATTGATGTGCCTTTGGAAAACATACAGCATTGTATTATGAAGAAGCAGTGTGTACTTAGCTTAAATTCCTTGTCTATGTCCAACCATAGACAGTCAATTTAGTTCCATCTTTAGCCGCTAGGTGCTGCCAGCAAGTATAAAGGAAGCGCAGCCATCTTTGATCTTCATAGCGTTGTGTACTTTCGTACTGCGAAGTCGCAAATCCACAAATATTTATTCGACTTCTTATTAATTGCAAAAAATATTTATTTTGTGTTTCTATGAGTGTTATTTTGCAATCATTACGAGTATTATTTACCAATCCTATCATCGGACGCCATGAATCACGCGTCATCTGTTGGAGGTGATGTTGAGTCAAGCTCCATAATTTCCGAGAGGGAAGATGTCCAGGCGAGACGCNTGCGCACGAATACGCAAACCCACAAGTGTAGGACGACATTTGCGAATGATTATGCAAAGTTTTCGCTGCATTCGTGGTTTTCCAAGCTGTGTCGGTTTTTTAACAGACATCAAAGCGCGCGAACCTCGAACCTTCGCGTAGTCTCCCACACATTCGCTTGCCCAGTTGCGCCGACGATTGCGAAGGTAACGGACGTATAGTATACGCCATTTTCATAGTTCGTGACGTCTACTGTGTAGCGTATCTTCATCAAAAGAAATCCCATAAAAACAGCATGGCTGTTAATGATGTCTGGAAAAGAATCAAAAACTCTTTTTCTCTTCAATGTTCTATTGACGAATTAAAAAGGAGGAAAAATTCGTGAGACATTCGTAAACAAGTGTAGGAGGAAGCGCAAACGGGTTCGCAAATTGAGTATGCGAAGCTATTTGCACAGCCGCTAGGTTTGCGAATGAATGTTTGACGGCCCTTCACATGCGCGCAAACATTCGTACAATGTACGAATATTTGCGCGCATGTCAGTGGCCGGCATTATACATTTTCTCTGAGACCATAGTGTTTTTTTTTTTGGTAGAAATTTTCCTTGTTAGGAAAGGCAAGGGGATCTAAGCCCATACAGCCTTGTCTGTTCTATATATTTTCTGAAATAAATTTTCAAAAAAGTCGAAGCCAGGTCTTATATGATATATATTAATATAATATATCCCGAAATAAAAATGTCATTAAGGCCGAAGCCAAGTCCTTTATAATTTATTCCTGAAATAAAAGTCTTATCATATTTTCCAATCATGACGCTACTCTTCATAGACCTTTTTTGTATACTAGTGTTGAGCTACAGATCACACTTCTTAATAGGGATGTACCCACTAACATTTTCCAGAATCCAGTGTTGAAATATTAGTGTTGAAATAGAATTAATACAACCACTGCTCTGCATTAACGCCGTAATGCGAATGTTCTACATTAGTGTTGAATTTATGATGACTTTTAATAATTGACAAGAAATTTAATTTATTATTTAAATTGCACAGTTACACATTTAAAGTTGACTCTATTGTGTTAATGGGATCAATTACTATTTTCTAGTACCATATCACTATATATTTTTTAATTGAATTAAAAAAAAACTTTTTAAATTGTCTAATCTTCTAACTATCTAATCCTGGCTAAATTATACTTTGGGAAATGTCTCTGGCTTCACGTATTCGTCTGATTTTATGAATAAGTTTTTAAGGGTAATTACTTATGGCTTTCGGGAACAGCTATCATAAGTTTTACACAATGTATATTTTTGAAATCGTCTCTGCCCTCTGATTTTTAAAATGTTCAACTTTATTAATTAATTTTTAGTAAAAGTTTCAGAGTTTATTACGGATTGGTAGATTTGATTTCGGTTACCTTAAAAAACCTAGATCATAGGTATCATAGATATCCTTTAAATACTGTACAGATGTTCAAAAAGATCTTAGTCACGCTCAACTTTTGTTTATTGTTTGTAGGTTGCTAGGTAACAAATACAATCTACATTTTAGGTAAACAAGTTTTTATGCTGGTTATAAATTAAACCAAAATGAAACTGAAGTATTGTAAAACGTTTTTAGAAGCCCAGGTAAATAGTTTAGAATTTAAATTAAGTTATTTTAACTTAAGCGCCGAGTTATGGAGTAATGATTAGTGTTTCGTCACTTATTGAGCTATGGACTGTAAGTGTAAAGTGTATGGATGTAAGAAGTCAGCGTTTTCTAAATATATGTATTTTTATTGCACAAGTGGCTGAACAAGTTTTCAGTCTACGTGATTTAGATGGTTACCAGACGCATTTACATTAGAGTGTGAATGCCGCCATCCACTTATTATGCCGAAGAACCGCTAATTCTTGCACCAAACGTTTCCTTACATTTGTCGCTAGGGGCGCTGTTCCAACTGCATACAAATTTAAGTTAACTTTTATGGCTCCTCTTCACAATCGGTCATGATGGGCGATTATAGAAACTCACGATAGTGTAGAGGGCATAAATGTGTGTGATCGGCCATCATCGCGTGTGATGACGCGTGTGATGACGCACAATCGGTGTTGTGTCGGTAGATGATTGGATTGATTGTGTGAGCGTCCACACTCCACACCATCGCCGATTAGTCAGGATGTAGTTGTCAATTGTGTCGACTACAAAAGTATGGTTGCGTGGACCTTGTTTTGTTCCGATTGATAGTCACCACCCACCACCTTCTCTTCCTCCATCTTGTTTATTGTTATCGGTAGGCAGCGGCTTGGCTCTACTGAAGTCCATGGGCGACGGACAGTCAGTAAATGAACGTTCATGATTGTGTGGAGAGTTGCCAGATCATGGCGGCGATGATGGACGATCATTTGTTGGCCCATCATGGCCGATTGTGAAGAGGAGCCATTACGCTATCGAGAACGTTAAAAAACTCGCACTTAGTTCGAGTTGTTAGTGTAGATGCCCAAATCCAGTATAGAGCGCACCCAGTTGTGGTATCTATCGTAAATAAATGGCAAGAAGTGTATGATAAGAACCGAATGCGGTTCTTTAATTTATAAAATCCTCGACAGGACTCATTTCAATTTATAATTTGTTCACAGAATGTCGAGAATCCAATAGCAGATATATGCTGGTCTCCTAACAGTGTTAAATTGGCGGTGGCCACGTGTGAGCGTTTAATATTGGTNGCGCACCCAGTTGTGGTATCTATCGTAAATAAATGGCAAGAAGTGTATGATAAGAACCGAATGCGGTTCTTTAATTTATAAAATCCTCGACAGGACTCATTTCAATTTATAATTTGTTCACAGAATGTCGAGAATCCAATAGCAGATATATGCTGGTCTCCTAACAGTGTTAAATTGGCGGTGGCCACGTGTGAGCGTTTAATATTGGTTTTTGACCGTGATGGCGTACGCAGAGACAAGTTTTCCACGAAGCCTGCTGATCCGGCAGCTGGAAAAAAGTCTTACGTTATCACTGGTAAAACGATTTGTTCTTACTATTAATAATACTATTATCATTTACTATTAATGTCCAGAACATCTATACTAATATTATAAAGAGGAAAGATTTGTTTGTTTGTTTGTTTCGAATAGGCTCCGAAACTACTGGACCGATTTGAAAAATTCTTTTTCCATTAGAAGCCGACATTGTCCCAGATGAACATAGGCTACATTTAAAAAAAAAAAATTTTTTTTTTTTGTTTCATGTGTGTTTTAATGTTTCCGAAGCGAAGCGAGGGCGGGTCGCTAGTAAATGTAAAATTTGAATTAGTTATGAAGTAAAATAGGTATTTTATGATTTGGGATTATCACGTTGCTTATTCGTGTTAAGCATAAAGAAATTGGTGGTTAATACGCCTTGGTGGTATGTGTATTTTGCGGAGATCCCCAAAAAAATCCCCGGCGCAGAAATCAGAATCGATGCTCGACGATTACACTGAAAAGAGCACCTACAGGTGTCGTGCTTTTCTCCTTTTCTTCTTGACTTTTTTCTCTATTGAGTAAAAATCAGTTGACTAGTGATTAATGTTGAGATATGAGTTCTAAGGTCTCAGTATAATTACAACGGCTGCCCCACCCTTCAAACCAAAACGAATTATTGCTTCACGGCATAAATAAGTAGGAGTGGTACCTACCCGTGCGGACTCACAAGAGGTCCTACCACCAGTAAAATTCATTCATATTGCCCGGAAAACACCGGATAGCTTAGAGAGACTATTCGTGACAGGGAAGATCGAGGGAAAGAGACCGCGCGGGCGCAGTCCGACAAGGTGGTTCGACCAAGTCCGCACCACACTAGAGATCCCATTCCACAACGTCCTTCATGCGGTCAATGATTGGGAGGCGCTGGCGGAATATTACAAGGAGTAAAACCTGTCGAAATATAATGGTCACTACCTTCAGCAGTGAGGAAAAGACGCGAGAAGGAGGAGTTGAACTAAAAGAAATTAGCAAATTAGACACCTTTATAAATCGTACTGACTTTTCAGCGTTAAGAAAATATAATAAAGATAGAAAACAATGATACGCGAATAGCAAATCTGCTTTTTAATTAATTAGTTAAATTTAATCATATTACATTTTGTATAGGTATATCGTTCAGCGAAAATTCCGAACTGTTAGGAGTTGCACAGAGCGATAACATGGTGTTTGTTTATCGAGTGGGAGCCGACTGGAGTGGAAAGAAAGTGATTTGTAACAAGTTTCCACTTACCGGAGTCCCTATGCAGCTACTGCGCGCTGAGAACGGATTTATCACTGGTACAAGCGATGGGAAAATTAGGTGATTTTGGAAGCAGTTCATTTTTGCATTTTCATCAACGCAGCGTTAACTTTCTACACACGGAAGGAAATTAAATTTTATAATTTGGATATATTAAAGTCGATGTGTGTGTGTTCCCTATAGACATGAAAGTGGTTGGACCGATTTCGTTGATTTTTTTAGGAAATTTTGAGATCTGTGAAGTTTCGTAGCTAAAAAATCAAACCTACATCAAAGATCGGTTACCAAAACGGGCAGTGTTAGACTAGTTAATAATAAAAAGTAAACCTTTTTGGGAAGTCAACTATAACTCTTGTGCCGAGATACGAAAAAAATGAGTCTTGAAATTTTTTTTAGTCGTAAGTGTGAATTAAGTAACGGTCAAAGTGAAACGGGTATTAGTATCAAGAGTGGCTCAGTAAAACTGGCTAAGTGGAAAATAATGTTAAGGAAATTTTGTCGTAAATCGAAATAATTACTTAGTCTGGCCATAAATACTGTTACAAAGGAAAAAAAATTCTATTGCAAATAACATATATTACTTTTACAATGTGTTAGTTTAATACATAAATATAAAACAATTTAAAGTATAAAAAGCTTATTCGAAGTGGTCTCCATTTGCTGCAATACAGTCCTTTAAACGTTGAGGCCCTTCGATCAATAATATTGATTATTGAACATGGTGTTGTTAAGGGGCTTCACTACCTTCGCAAGAATGGTATCTTGATACACTTGTGCCGATGTTTTGATACCTTTTTCACAAAAGTATGGCTCAGTGACTCCTTCACCCTAATTCCCAGCTAATACCCCACCAAACCATCACTGAAGTCAGATTGTGCCCACGTTGCACTCTGTCGACTAATTGGGAAGCTTCCTTAGAGCTTTGAGCATAAATATGGTCATATTGTTTGTTAAAATGTTGCTCAATTGTAAAAATTTTCTCATCCGTAAACAAACATTTTTTATGACCTCCCTTTGCGTACCGCTTCAGTAGTTGTTTCGATTTTACCACCCTATTCTCTTTTAAATTATCAGTTAAGAAATGACCAGTACGTCTCTTATAGGCTGCAAGTCCGAAGTCATCTTTTCAAATACGCGACATGGTTCTAGGTGCTATCTTCATCTCCCGAGATAAAATCTTTTGCTTTCGGACAGGATTTCTTCGAATTCTTTCCCTTACTGCTTTGACCACCTTTTTCGTACGAACACTACTTACGTGAACGGCCAGATCTTTTTCTGTCACAAACAGAGGAGGTCTCATTGCACCTATTAATAGCCCGGTATACAAACCTTTTACTAATACCAAGCGTATGGAGAGTTTTAAAAATTGCATTTGGCTCCATACCTACTTTGTGTAATGCAATCACAGTGATTGGGTTCTCTTTATCACCCCACTCCATTTTAATATCGCAGTACATTGTACAATGTATTGGCGCCAAAATGAGAAAACTCAATGAGCAATCATATAAAAATGACAGATTCCAAATTCAAATGTAATATTTTGTATAGTTTTAATTGTAACAGTATTTCTGGCCAGACTAAGTATATAGTTACCTATCGTTGTAGATAAAACTAGTCAGGTGGCAAATAGAAAAGGTGTAATAAGGAGTTTGTATTTGATTTATGCTTTTTTGTAGTTGTCAATGTTGTTCTATAATACATATCTTATTAATATAAACATAACATTCTTTACTAGATCACTTGATTGTAAAAGTAACAAGAGTTCTGGTTTGTGGAATGTCGGTGCTTGCTGCGTGTCGTTAGCTCGTAGTGCGGAAAGCATGGTGGCTTCTGGACATGCTGATGGCACACTTTATGTCAATGGCCGATTGCTGCTGCGTTACGCACTACCGCCCACTGCTCTTGTACTACTACAACACAACGTAGGTATACTCTAAATAAGAATTTCCATTAAACTAACCATGTCCAAGTGGCGTAGCGAGATTAACACCCACCCGAGTCTCAATACCTTTTTAGCGTCCCCGTTTTTATTTTTAGTGTTCCTTTTTTTGCTTTTTATTTACGAATTAACATTTATTATATTACACTAGCACGAAATTTAAAAATATTTTCCAGAAATTAATTATAATAAAAATAATCCAGCATTTTTTGTGTTGCGGGCCATTTGGCGCCCCTTTGTGAGTAGCGTCCGGGGTATGATGCCCCCTCCTTGCTCCCACCTCTCGCTACATCACTACGTCTAACTATTTAAAATCATGTAGTTTTTTTGTTCAATTAGAAAAAAATAATCAGATTACAGTAATGTTCATTTAATGTTAAGCAGCTAACGATATTTATATCACGTACCATCCGGCTTTGGAATGAGCTCCCCTCCACGGTGTTTCCCTAGCGCTAAGACTTGTCCTTCTTCAAACGAGGCTTGTGGATAGTACTTAACGGTAAGCAGCGGCTTGGCTCTGCCCTTGGCATTGATGAAGTCCGTGGGCGACGGTAATCATTCACCATCAGGTGGGCCGTATGCTCGTCTGCTTACAAGGGGAGTAAAAAAAATTACATATTACATTATCAGTAAGTACCTTATTTATGAAGTTGGTGATATCCGGCCACGTTTCATTGTCACTATCACTGAGTATTTGAAAAATATAAATTCTTTGCTAGAAATTACAATGCGAATGCCCCCTTTGTCATCTATGCCGCTATACACTGCGCAGAAAACAGGAGGGGAAATCAGTCCAAACAAAAATTCTTCGTAAAGGTCACAGAAGAGGAGGCCCCCTTTGAGATACAATTCTATTAGACACTCACACCTGGAATGAACCATTTAGTCCAGTGAACAACATTGCTATAGGCCACATGAGTCTCTAAGTTGACTCTTAAAACTTATTAATTTTATTAACAGCTAATCGTGGGGTCGTGTGACGGTCGTTTGTCTGTGTATGAGGCGCAGCGCGGTGCTTTGTTGCGTAGTGTCGAGCCAGATTTGCCTCCGGACGTGAAAGATATCATAGCTGCGGCACCGAGTCCATCAGGACAGGTGATAATTTGATTATTTTATAAACCTTTTCAACTTATGTAAAAGAAAATTTCGAGTGTTGTGTGTATTAGATAACGTTTTCATAGTTTATTATTTATTTTATGCTTCACTTTTTTCAAAGAATACCTGATAATTTTAGTAAACTATCAGAGTGACCCAGTCGTTTTTAATAATAAATATCACATGATCATAGTAGAATCACCATGGAACCAACTAGGATTGTTCCAATATTTGTATCAGTGCATTGACTGATGATGAATACTTTCGCTATCCATGGGGCTGACGGGACTCGTACAAAAACCGGTCATTTTCAACATCGTGAGGAGGTTGCTCTATAGGCCTTATTTGCAATCTATTTTTTGAGTGGTGTTTTGTAGTTCGAAATGTCGTATTAGTAGTCTTCAAAACTTTAAATTAATAAAAGTGTGTGTGTCCGCTCCGACGCACGACTGGAGTTTACTGGATATAAAAAATTAAACGAAACAATACGAGAAATAGTTCTATATTACGACAACACGATACACTACAGATTATTAACAAATTAACGAGACACAAAACAAACGACTAACAAATATATGAAAATACAATAATGAGAGAAACGCGCGATCAGTACGAGGCTTTGTGGCGGACTGCCGGCGCAGCAGCCCGGCGTCACCTGCGATAACGCGGCCGCGCGTTGGCTCCTGATTGGCGCGCGCACGCATCACGCAATCAGGAGCCAATCAGGCGCATAACGCATTTCGTGTGACATGCTAGTACGATTTTGATTGGCGCGCGCACGCATCACGCAATCAGGAGCCAATCAGGCGCATAACGCATTTCGTGTGACATGCTAGTACGATTTTGGTCCCCATAATTTTCATACCCCGGGCCTATATATGTAAATCGATTCTAAAGGAGTAAACTCCAAAAATTTTGCAAAAATAATTAAAAAATCTTGGCAAAAATATTTTATTTTAGACTATTGCGTTTGGTGTCTTTAATGGATGTCTAGTGGGAGAGTTGAAGGAATCCGGATCAGTCGATTTATCAATGCTTCAAATACCGAACCTGTACGCCACTAGAGCGCTCGCTTGGAGTAGTGACGGCACTAAATTGGCGATAGCTTCACAAACTGGAGCTCTTATAGTGCTCGAGGCTGTTTTAAGGTAATTAAGATTTCCCTCATGGACCTATCGAAAACCTCAACTAAAACAAAATCGTTTAGTAATCAGTAAACGTTCATTATATCTTCTCCTTCTTTAGTTGTATTTCACTACAAAATAAGATACCTTTATGAAATCCGTTTAAATTAGATCAAGATAATATGACCACAACTGATACTTAACAGCTTGTCTAGTACGTTAATTTAAAAGAAATTCTTTCCACACTGAAATCTTTTGCAATGAATAAGGTGAGATTTTATTTAATAATTAGACGTTGGGTGTGGCGTGACACAGTGGAGGTGCAGCACGTGAGCTCGAGACAGTTGTTATTAACAAGACTAGCTAACGATGCTCTTCCGCTCACAGTTCTCACAAACCACGCTTCGGATATATTCGGCGTCCGTTTCATTGGTAATTTTCTATATATATATATTATGAATATTTAAACCCCGATGTGTCGTCTGTGTATGTTCTGTATAGACTCCGTATCGGCTGGATCGATTTCGAGGAAAGCTCTAGAAAATCTTCAGAATGGCCTAGCGAGTGATCCCGTGTAGTTGCGATTGGATCAATGTGCAATCAAAGATCGGTTAGAACGGCTGGCCGGTGTTGGCTAGTTATTTTTTAGAGAAAATGAATTTATAAGATCGTTGAGCCTATTTTAATACACGATTATTAGTTTAAAATCCATCTTTCTATATAAAGAAATCTTTTAATGATTTTTTTACTAACTTTGACGCTGCTTCGTTNCGAGTGATCCCGTGTAGTTGCGATTGGATCAATGTGCAATCAAAGATCGGTTAGAACGGCTGGCCGGTGTTGGCTAGTTATTTTTTAGAGAAAATGAATTTATAAGATCGTTGAGCCTATTTTAATACACGATTATTAGTTTAAAATCCATCTTTCTATATAAAGAAATCTTTTAATGATTTTTTTACTAACTTTGACGCTGCTTCGTTCGGGTAACTTGCAAGTTGCACATGTGTGTACATATCTATCAAGGCTAAAGAATGATACAATACTTTGACTCCATGTTTCCAATTAAATTGTAATAATAATTTTATTATTCTACTTAACTTGACTTGCTATTTAAATGCGTATTCTTTTCGAATTTAGTCAACTAGGATTTATTGTAATATGCAACTTCATAAGATCGTTGACACTGATGGTAACATTATCGAATAAATTGTTTTAAAAATATTATTGGGCAACCCTGCCGTTGCGACGTAGTAGACCAATCCTGTTGTACTTATCATTTATTTATAAATATGTAGATAGCTCACAGCCCAACTGATGTTAAGTGATTCCCGGATCCTACAGAAATTTTGTCCCCTCTTGAGCGATGGGAACGGAAACAATTGTATTATATAATTTCTGTCATACCCAGAATGAATTATTGATTTACAGTAGAAATTATACTGGTACCTACACGTGTGGAAAGGGAAATGTAGAAAAAAAAATCGTGTGAGGTCTGTGCCAGTGGTTTAGCACAAGTACCCTATTTTTGCTTTGGGCTGTCGTCACAAGGTTAGGGCTGCCTTAATTATCGGTGATTTTTATCTGAAGATAAACATAATATTTAAAAAAATGAAAAATGAAAATGTGTTCCAATATTCCATCCATCCATTTGCGATTATTCCTGTTATGCTAATTCCATGCAAGGCATGGAAAGATATATCACAAACAAAAAACTATTGCGTACTTTAAGTTTGATGATATGTTGTCACAGGGAATGACTGGTATGCGGTGTGCAGGACTAGCAACACGTTGATCTTATGCGATATAGCTCGTGGACTCACCAGTGAGGTAAGATTCTATAATTATACAGGGTGTGAATGAATTCCTTCTGAAAATTAAGGATAACCGTTGATTCTAAAGAAATATAACTAAAGTAAAGTAAACTAAAGTAAACTCGATAATAATTTTTATAGAAATTTATGAAATTCGTGATCGAATAACTGTAATTTATAATTTAAATGCAATTCTAGATAAATTGGTTGAATTACTTTAAAAACATTTACATATAACATGTAAATAATTTAAGCTAATACAAAGATCTCCTGACGCTTGAAGTCTATGATCGTACGGGCATCGCAGGATGTGATTGAAGTGGCTTACCTTCCAGTTTTGGTCACGTTAAGTGGCGGAATTACGAAACAAAAAATAAATAGTATCTAGGCTTTGCTTAACTTAATATTGCGTCTGATTTAGGTTGAATTAGTACGTTAATTTCATTATTGCCTCGAAAACTGTCCCCTGGCGGGTTTATTTACTGAATCCAGTAAGATTATAAACAGAAGCTATAATAGTTTGATCGTGGCTATTTTTTTTAACTGGAATGCCTTTAATAGTTATTTTATAGCAAGATTCGTTTTTGAAAATTGATGATGTTTGTGTTAAACATTGCGAGTATTTTATTAGTACAAATGATTTACCTAGTTACATACCCTCTCACATAATCTTAAGCGGTTATGGTAGCTAATATATAATAGTATAATAACAGGGCTACCATACAACTTGAGATATTAGGTCGAAGTCCAGTTGCATTTAAAGCTGGTCATCCTGCTCTTCAAACAACAATTCGTTTACCACCACAAAACCGTGCTTATTGTTCAGTAGTTTACATCAGCAGCATGGCCAGAGTGCGCATTTTACTGTGATTCGTTTTATGCCAAATTTATTATTATTTTTTTTGAATTTATTTGTAGATACTATGGACGGGTAGCGGAGAACGTATTTATGCAGCTGTCGGTGGAGCATGTCTGATATATCGCGCCGGTGAACTGAGTGTTGTCGAATACGGACTTGATAAAGTTCTACATACGGTAAATGCGTATTTACTAAACTGTACTATATACTTTTTGGAAGTACCAATATTAACCGTTTATTGTTCTCGTTTACATTTTAATCCGAAATAGCTTGAAACACACCTATAAACAAACAAACCTATATCTAAACACTAATTTGAAAGTTTGTAAAATGAGTTAACGCCTTTCTATAATTTTTTTCTGATTACGTGCCTGGTGCCTTACGTGCGTGATTTTACCAGTGATCCAATGTTCATGCTCGTTTGCATTTTTTCTTAATTTTTTACTGACATATTTAGTAAGATGTTAGTACTAAGTAAATTCGTTCCACTGTTATGACTTTTATTTATATATATGAATTGAATTATATAAATGAATTGCTGTTCGTTAGTCTCGCTAAAACTCTAGAACGGCTGGACCCATTTGACTAATTTTGGTCTTGAATTATTTGTGGAAGTCCAGAGAAGGGTTAAAAAGGTAGACAAATATGAAAATGCTCGGAATTAAATAAAAAATAACAATTTTGTTTTCCCTTTAATTTGTCCCCCGTCGGACGGATTCCTTTTGTTTGTTTTAAGTTTATTTTATACAAAAGTTTAAGTCTTTTATTTGTCGAGTGAGGCACTACGAAGTCTGCCGGGTCAGCTAGTCTATTATATATTCATTTCTTCGTACGTCCGTAGGTTCGTACAGAACGTGTGAACCCTCACGTGATCAGCGTGCGGATCAATGAAGCTAGTTTGACGAAAGGGGACTGCAAATACTTGGCATATTTGCTAGATAGACAAACTATTGCTGTTGTAGATTTGAGCACAGGTAATAACGATCATACTATGAGCTAGACAGATTTGTCATTAACATTTTATTTGTTTTATTCGGTGTTGAACTTGATAACTTGAATTTTAATTTTATTTGGCGTGTATGGGGGAACGGGGTCACGGCCCACTTGGTCTAAAGTGGTAATTAGAGCCCATAGTCGTCATACCGTGAATAGGACGTCAGCATTGAGACATAAAGTTGAAATTTTAATCATATTGTATAATATCTATTATATCCTTCAAGCCAGATATTATTGATTCGCGGCAGACATGTGAGCAGGCATTGTTTCAATTGTATTATGTAACGGTTGTCCCAGCCTTCATATCAGACCGCATGGCTTCTTCGTGACAAAAATTGATATGATCCAGGAAGATTGACTGTAATTCAAACTACCAGAATATTATATTATACCTGTAGCAGGTATATTTATAATGACGTAAGTCATGCATTCAATATAACTGTAAGTGTGTCTTAAAAAATAAGCCGGTATTGAACCCACTTTTGTGTGTTTCNACGGTTGTCCCAGCCTTCATATCAGACCGCATGGCTTCTTCGTGACAAAAATTGATATGATCCAGGAAGATTGACTGTAATTCAAACTACCAGAATATTATATTATACCTGTAGCAGGTATATTTATAATGACGTAAGTCATGCATTCAATATAACTGTAAGTGTGTCTTAAAAAATAAGCCGGTATTGAACCCACTTTCGTGTGTTTCACTACATGGTGGCAGCGGTGGGTTCACTACAATACCGACATAGCTTATTCTGTTAAGATCGATATTATTATGAAGCGTGGCTTGGTGCATACTTGGTTTCTGTACCAGGTGCTCAGTTGGGTCAGTGGTGGCACGAGGCTCGCGTGGATTGGCTCGAGCTAAACGAGACCGCGCAGCTGTTGCTGCTCCGTGACACGAGGAGAAGACTTGCGCTACTGCGGTTACCGTCTGGTGATAAGGTTCTTAACATATCTTATCGTTCTGCGAATCTAGCATAACCCCTCGAAGTTCATAGAATAGGAAGAAAAAATATCTATAAGCGTGATATTAAATTATCGGACATCTTCGGAAGTCGAAGTAACAATTTTAATGGAGTAATGCTTAGAAATTCCTTAAAACCAAAACCTTTAGGAAACTGAATATTTAGGCCATAAAATAGACAGATCAATGATACAGATAGATACGTAGGATATTTATTCTATTTGGTACTCGATTGTTATGAACAAAATATAAGATGACGGAGTCAAGTGTAAAATTATTATGAACTCAAATTATGTGTATTTAATTGAATATTTCGTAAATAAAAAGAAAAAAAGTATTGAATCAAGCCGCTTTTATTGAATCAATAGGCAGAAAGATATCAGCTGCCGTATTGAAATTAATCATATTATAGTAATTCAATTTTAGGATGATCACAAATGTTATTTTTAAAGGTACCTTAATATTATTTTAGTTTTTTAAGTCTAAAGCAGGGCAAGCGTATGTCCAGCCGTGAAAGTCTGTGGGTAGATAAAAAGCTAGCTTTTTCCAAATCTATGGTGTTTCGTGACTCGATCGTGTGGATTTAAAAGTTTCTTAAAAATATATGTATAATTATTGTAGGAAATTATTGCGAGTGGCGTAAGTTTCGTCCAGTGGATTGAAAATAGCGATGCAGTCGTGGCTCAAACGCCTACTCATCTTCTTGTGTGGTATGTGTGTTTAATTTGATATGTGAAACTAGTTAGTATTAAATTTAATAAAATTAACAAATAAGGTCTGGCCTAAAGATAATGACACTCTTATTGCTCTACAACGTACATATTTTACATTTATATCTATCATTATTTTTGTTACCATGAAACGTTAGGTGGTCTGGTCTTTCAGTTACATGGGAATAACGGCTAACCTGACTCTTAAAATGAAACGCATGTATTTGCAAACTGTCCGTATTATTTATGTACATCTATGATCAGCATATCTATGGTTCCCGCCATGTACATAGGAATGGCATTCTATATACGAAAAATCTTATCGGCAACTACTTCTTAATATTTCTTCAAGGTACACTAACATTATATTAGACGCCTGCAGCTCTAACACCAGGAGCAGATATAGGGACTCTGATAGCCGTAGTTGAAGTCCTCGAAGAGTTGATGTGAAACTTAACCCATAACATCAATCTGCTGAGTTTCGAAGAACTTCTTAGCTGGTTGCGATTCGTATCTGGCAGTAGATGCATTTGTGAAGCAGTTGCTCTTGGGCTGTTAGGCCTCTTGTGGAGACGCTCGAGGATCTGTTAGCAAATTCCACCTGTCCTGATGAAGCTAGAAAGGCCTCGGGGAAACCAGAAATCCTTTCATTTGAAAAAAAAACCCTTCAAGGTTCAAAAAAAACACCTTCGAATCTTTTGATATAATTTTCTAATTTATTTAGTTGATTATGCTCTAATCTCGATCATGCCTACATTAATATATTAAGATTAAATTTCTATATATTTTTTTTGTTTTTTAAATTCGTAGTATAATCACGTTTCAACTTCTTTGTTTTCCTACCTAAGCTGATGGTCTTGATATACTATTTTGGCGTAACCGGGCGAGTAGGTGAGTTCATGGGGCTCAAACCTGACGTTGTTGCTAACACGAACCCAGCGCCGTGTTTCGCAGAATCTATCACCGGATCGAAAACGCGACCCACTGAGAAGACCCAGTGGGCTGTGTCTATGGGTTAATTTACTTGTCGAGCCCTTTATCGCAAGCGTTCGACCAGTACGATGACCGGTGCTTGGGGCACCTAAAAGCACCGTTAGTGGATCGGGAGGATTCGAGATGTCGTGTTTTGGGCGACGTCGACTGTTTACCATTCGTTTCGCAGGATCGAGCAACTAATTTTAGGGAGTCATTAAGTATGTGCCCTTATATTAGGTATAGCGTGTCGGAGTCGGCCAGCGTGGAGATGATTGAATGCGGGGGCGGGCGCGCGGTGCGTGCGACCGGGCGCCGCGTGCTGCTCGACGGAGCACACGTGCCTTGCGTATACCTAGACGAACACAGACTTACTTTTAGTACGTAACTACAACTGAATATGCAATTTCGAAAAGGGCAAATGTCGCATATTTTGTCAAATACGTTTTTTCATATACATGTAGCTTTGAGGCTTACCTACACCCATTTTATAATAATTCCAGTAATTTTAATTGATAATTAACACTAAAATATATCTCAAAAGGTAATATTTTAAATTTTACACTGCTTTAGAAAATAATCAGTTTTTTTCATTTCCTGAACATTTTATATTTTCAAAGATGTGCTCTTTTCCAAATTGCATATTCAACTATAATATTCTGTTATCTATAAGTGCTTGTAAGAGCAGGACTTTTTGGCGGGAACGCGAGGAGTGAAGTAGTGTGATTTGTTTTCTATTTAGTGTTTTTTCAGGTTTAAATGTGTAATAACGATGGTTTATTAATTGTTTAATGTCTGTGAAAGTGCAGAAATGTGGGAAAAAGGAAACAAAGCCCCTAGACGTATCTTCTCGGGATCCTCCAAAAAGGTCACTGAAAAAATCTTAGTAAATGATCACCATTTTACTAAGATTATATTTCATCCCATATCATCTCATTTCATTTCATTTCACTCCATATTATAATTTTTCATAAAAATAAGATTTTATAAATAAGATAATATAAATTAAAATAAGACATGACTTAAAGGTCTTAGCTACCAGGTCATAAAATCCCTTCAAAAGTAGTAGCAGTAGTAGTAGTGCTGCTTCACTAACTGTATTGGGTAGGCACTGACACAAAGGATGGGTAACACAGTGAGTATGAATATGTACTGTCCGGAGTTCCCAAGATTATCGAAGTCTCTACTAACGTGTTTTGAACAACAATGATGGCCTAAAATCACAAGCGACAGCGATTTTGTTGAATTGTAAGGCGGTTGTCCAAGTAGTGGCAGATAAGTGAGTCGCCACAAGCTTTAGAATAGTGGAATTCAAGGTCAATCGGTTGACTGTTGGGGATCTAAACAATCAAAGACGAAACCAGCCGCTGATTGCTGAAAACGATGCCGATGTCGTAAAAGTAGTTTTAATTATGAGCTCACCTTAATTAATTGGTTATTTTTTATTAGATTGGACTTCTCAAGCGTTCGGCCGTTTATTATCCAAAATTAATGTTTTTTTTGTTATAAAAGTGACATTAATTTCTATTCTTGATTTGGTATACATTAAGTTTTGTTTCAGATAACGCTTTGCGAAGTGGAGATTTAATGGGTTGTGCCAAGTATCTAGACGGCGTAACGAACAGTGCAGACGTCGCACCGCTCTGGAGGCAGCTGGCCGAACGAGCTCTGCAAAATGATGATATACAGGTCAGATCATATTATATTATCGAGAGTGTTTAGCGGTAACCAGTGTGCTGTGGCATAGCCTTTTAGGATCAAGTCAGTTGCCGGTTGCCCTCTTAATGCATGACTGACTCGGTGGTGCCAACCGGTAGCGCCCTTGACTGTTGGACCGTAGATTCGATTCCTAAATAGAGCAAACATTTGTGTAATTAACCGTTTTATTTGCTTTTTATTTGAGTATTTAATCATATCTATATGTGTACATATTTACCTAAAGGTATAAAAAGTCGGTATATTAATCACCGGTACTCATAATACAGGGTACCCTAGTTTGGGGTTAGATGACCGACCGTGTGTAACCTGTTCTCGGTTATCATTACTATTTATTCTAATTAAATATTATTAATATTTATTCTAACTATACTGAGACCTTAGAACTCATATCTCAAGGTGAATGACGGACTTTGCGTTATAGATGTCTATGGGCTCCGATAACTACTTCAAACCAGGTGGGCTGTGGGCTTGTTCATCCATCGATGTAACAAAAAATTAATCTAATTTGAACTTTTTATCTAGTTAGCTGCAAAGTGTTATCGAGAAATAGGCGATGAATCCAGAACATTTTATTTGGAGAAGATTATAGAAGCTGCTGCGGCTGAAGGCGATGGAGACGTCACTGCAGGTAATACTTTTGTCCTTATTAAAGATTTGGCAATAAATAATTCATTTCTTAATTACATAAGTATGAGGCTATGTGGTGTCCAAGAAGGTTTTGTTGTTTTTTTCATTTTTTTTTGTTTATGTTTGGAATAAATGTTTATTATTATTATTAATGGTACCTCGTGTCTCAAGGTGTGGATGGTGGTATTTACTTTGTGAATGCACTTTAGTAGAATGCAGTAGTAGTAGAACAAAGGAATAAAAAAAAATATTTTTCTTCTAAATTTAAAAAAAACGAAAGAGATAATGTAATGCTTTACTCAATTTATAATTTATTTTTAGTTTTATTCATTGATAAACCGAAATCCAACGACAATAACCAAAACCTCCAGATTTCAAATTATAAATGTATAGTCTCTGAGAAGATAACAAAATTCACTAGTTCGCAATCTATTGATTGTAAAATTGTAACTTTTCGAAACTTTATCAAAATCCAAATGTATTTCAATCGTTAAAGCTTATAGCATAGATTCTTTAATTAAATACAGATTTAACTTGCACACTATGTATTTGTATAGACTATATCCTGAACATATTATATAATTATTGTCTATAGGTCTGAGCAGCGCAGAAGTTAGGGCACGATTAGCAATATTCAATGGGGACCTAGCGACGGCCGAAGCCTGGTATGCGAGACGATCCGGTCACCCTGAACGCGCCATCGCTATGTATAAGCAGTTCAACAGGCTCGTGTCTCAATATTTACTAACAAACACTAAAACATTGATCGAAAAAAAAAACTCTTACATATATTGTAATATAAACTCTGTTCTTTAGTTTTTACTTGTTTTCCATACCCATGTTACATAATATCGAGGGGCCAGTTTGTGAAAGGCCAATTGATTTAAGTTATGTTCGATGTTATTAGTTGAATTTCAATTAACTTACCTCCATTCAAATAGCTGAAGAAGTATTGTTGTTATGATATCTTTTCCAAATTTTAAATTTTTTAAATGGATATTCTGTAAAGTTGCAAAATGTCGCTTAAACAAAATAGCCATTTACCCCTCGATATGTAAATAGCTGCAAACCCTTCGTAAGGATCTATCTAAATTTTTTATTTCTGAAAACATATAATTAAATATTTCTGGATCGTGTGATTTTTATAATTTGACTAATTTAATTATCTGTAAAAAAGGTGGACTGACGCTATTGCTCTCGCCGAGAAGGCCGATCGCGCTTCAGTTGTTAATTTGAAGCAACAGTACATGGATTATTTAACCTCAACTGGTATGAATTTCCGTCATTTGAGATGGGTTTTTTTCTCCCACCTATTATCTAATTCACTAATATGTAAAATATATCAGGTCACTATAGCTTCATTTTATCTTAACAACCTAGTAGCAAATGCATAGATTTACATAATAGGAAACAATGTTTTATTAATTGAATTTATTGAGAATTCCCTATTTTGCGAAATTTCAGTTTAAAATGCTTGTTTATCAATTAAATTTCAACAACACAATAAATAGAAGAATCTGTAAAAAAATCCCTCATTATGTTACATTATCATATTATTCCTCTAATAAATTTTATTACGCTTCAAATAATTTCGAATTCACTTATGACGCGGCAAATTTCGTTTATTCTAGGAATGTAGTCCCTGGAAATCAGTTTTCAGTATTTGTCGATTTCTAGTTAGTTGATTAAAATACAGGTCGTTTGGGAGAGGCCGGGGCTACCCTGGCAGCTGCAGGAGATGTACAGGGCGCAGTGAGACTGTGGTCGCGGGGAGGAAGGGCTCGGAGAGCTGCCTCGCTCCTGTTACAGCATCCACAGCTACTGAGAGATAATGAGTTACTAGACTCTGTGCACACACAACTCATACAGGTACCAATTAGTAACATATATTTTTTGAATATTGTTATGTATTTAAATATATCTAAATACAGTGTAAGTATCGGGCAGAAGTCGCTGTGACTACAACTATGAAATATCTGTACTGATTGAAACTATTCGCGCTTCCCCTTTTTTTTATTTATTGCTTCGGTGGGTGGAAGAGCTCACGGCCCACCTCATAGACATCTACAGCATAAATGCCGCCACCCATCTTGAGATATGAGTCTAAGGTCTCAGTATAGTTACAACGGCTACTTACCCTTCAAACCGAAACGCATTACAGCTTCACGGCAGAAATAGGTAGGTGGTGGTACTTACCAGTGCGGACTCATAAGAGGTCCTACCGCCTGTAATTACGCAAATTATAATTAATAATAATAATCTATATAGTAATGAAAAATTAATATTATTTTGATGTCTTTTAAATGTAAATCCTTTAGGAGGAATGGTGGGAAATGGCCGGTGAATTATCTGAGAGACGAGGCGATGTCCGTTTGGCTGTAGATTATTACGCTAAAGGAAATAATTTTGCCAGAGCCGTTCAACTTGCCAGAGAGGTAAATTCACGTTCAACGAATCAACAATAAAGTGAAAGCAGCATACAAATAAACCTAATCTGAGTTTGTTTGTTTATCTATGCTAATATAATACGTACATATATAATTCGACTGATTACCTTATTAATTGTATTACCTAGATGTAGGTACAAGCTCACAGCCTAGCTTAAGTGGTTAACGGAGCCCGTAGACAACGCCAATGCTGCCATCCAACTTTTGACATGAGGTCGTTGTCTCAATTGTATTTTGTGGATATGTACTGGATAATTGCTGTCTGACTCTTCAAATTGAAACGCATGAATACTTAGCGGTAATTTTGGTGGTACATGCTTATAATAAGCCGTGCGACGTTAATTGAAAATGGTTTTAATGATCTATTTAGATAAGATTGAGGTGATAGTTTTTAAAAAAAAAAAAATCATATTCCCCGTGTATGCAGACAAGCATACGGCCCACCTGATGGTGAGTGGTTACCGTCGCCCGTGGACCTCACCAGTACTAGGGGCAGAGCCAAACCGCTGCCTACAATAACGGTATGGTACGTGGCAAAAACAATGCCTAGAACGGATTGTGTCGGCTTAATTCACGATTTGCACCTAATCAATCTATGACGCCAACGTTTCACAGTCCTAATTATAATGTTAGATTTTTTTTTATTGCTTAGATGTGTGGACACGCTTACAGTCAACCTGGTATTAAATGGTTACTGGAGCCCATAGACATCTACGACGTAAATGCGCCACCCACCTTGAGATATCAGTTCTAAGGTCTCAAGTAGTTACAACGGCTGCCCCGCCCTTCAACCCGAAACGCATTACTGCTTCACGGCAGAAATAGGCAGGGTGGTGGTACCTACCCGAGCGGACTCACAAGAGGTCCTACCACCAGCAAACTACTTTGCACTGTTTATAAATTAGCGGTGTTTCGTGTACAGTCTTGTCCGGGTGAAGTGACGCATTTGGAAGGGCAGTGGGGCGCGTGGCTAGTGTCGTCCCGCCAGGCCGGCGCCGCCGTGCCGCACCTCATCGAGGCGGGGGACACTCGCGCTGCGCTCGCGGCGGCTATCAAGGCGCACCATTACAGAAAAGCTCTTCAGATTGTGCAGGTAGCTATGTTTGTCTCAATCTAGAACTTGATGTGAGGCGGGTAAATAGGAATTTATATTACATTACCGTTCTGTCCTGACTTTCCATTGCTGGCCTTGGCCTTTCCAGTCTTGGTAATAGACTATTTAGATTACTATTGGCGACAATAGCGTTAATCGTATTTAATTTAATTTTTTATCATTTTCATTTTAGGCCATAGATGATAAGGAATCTATAAAAGAACAATGCGAGCAGCTCGGTGATCATTTAATATCTACACAGGTTAGTATAAAGCTGAGTGATGTATGTGTGGTATAAATACATGTCGTGATTCACATAAGCGCCAACGATTTTTCTGAGGAAGGAATGGGAGGCAGCAGAGAAGTTTCTCACTTCGTGCGGTATGGCGGAGCGTTGCGTTCGAGCATACAACGGGGTCGGTCGCTTCGCGGACGGCCTGAGGCTTGCGGCTTCACAACTGACGGAGGAACAAACGCGAGACATTTATATACCGCTGGCCGAGGAGCTGAGAAAAGACGGACAACTTAGAAAAGCCGAGCAAATTTATATAGGTCTAGGAGAGGCTGATGAAGCTATTTCAATGTACAAGGTGGGTAGTGCTTAAATCTATCTCAACGATATCTTTGCACAAGGTGAACTGAAGTATCACGATTAAGTAATGATAGATAGGTATACTACATGACTACAGCCGGGAAAAATGTGTGAAGCGCACAAAACTGTCTCATTTCGTTGTCTGTGCGTTCTTCGTTCGCTCTGATTTCCTCATTTGTTAAATATATTATGATACGTTTTTCCGTAGAGTACTGGTAAAGTTTGGACAGTTTTATGTGTAATTAAAATTATTTTTATCGTTTCATCTCGCGTTTATTATTTTCATTTTATTATTGAAGTTATACTTCTTTAGGCGCGTTATGAAAAATTCATGAGAGTGAATTTTACGATGCGCGCGCACCGTGACACAAAATTAACAGAAATGAAGTTGCTCACTAAATCGCTCATTACAATACGACCGACGTAACTTGGCGAGTCTGAATATAGCCGCAGGTGAACTTTCGCGCATGTACACTCGTAAAAAAAGTGTTATCAGCATTCATTTTTTAGCAATATAAATGACAAAATTATTATTTAATATAATTCATACTAAATATTATTAAATTATTAACGTTAAATATTTATTATTAATTATTTAATATTTGAAAAAAAGAAATAAATTTAATAAAAATAAAGTTACTTCTTACGCGCGTACATAAGTACACGAACCCTTTTTATTTTCCAACGTTTCGAACACTTCACAGTTTTCGTGATCACGGGTGTGCGTAACTATAAAACAATAAACGCGAAATTAAACCATACAAATAAAGTAATTTTATTCATATTTACTACTCACGAGAATCGTAGGAAATAATAGAGTTTTTGTGACTGATTCATTGGAAACATTTGATACAATAGCAGTTAAATCGTTACGTTTTGAAATACCAGAAGTTCGCGAATACTCGCAAATAATAAATATCTGTTTCAATTACATACTATTCTGTCATTTGGTTTTTCATTTGCTGTATTAACAGGAGGCGTCTCAATACGAGTCAATGTTGCGTCTGGTCGCGATACACCGATCCACTTTGTTAGAGGCGACGCGTCGACACGTTGCCCAAGCGTTACACGCCTCGGGAGATTTACGTGCGGCTGAAAACTATTATATACAAGCCGGTAATTGATCTTAATTTATCAAAAAATATGCTATCGGGTAACCTGGGTACCCTCGGGTAAACTGGATAAAAAGATCGCATGTCTTTTGAGTGCGGATACATAGCAAGATCTTGGGCACAATTTCTACACGATTTTATCTTCTAAGACTTCGAAATTTATGGCATCAGCGTTTTATAATAAAGAGTAGGGTAGGAAATTAGTATTATGTAAAATATCGTCAAGGACGCAGTATCCGGTAAATATTTTCCCAGTTTTTCAAATTCTTTAAAGATAATCAGAGAATCACAGAGATAATGTTCTGTCCGGCTATTTATCAGAAAATATTGGTACCTATCGTAAATAGTACCAGTATCTTCATTTCTTTTGCTACGTATCTTATTCTTAATACCTTACTTCGTATTTTGCAACATCTTGCGTATTTATGCCATAGCAAATCTGCGTTTCGATTTGAAGGATAGGTAGGATAACAATTAATACAGTTTAATTGAGATTTCGATTTCCATTTGTTAGGGGCGTGACATTGACTTCTTATCTAATTCCTGTGCGAATTTTGTGGTATAAAGTTATCTCTAAAAGTTAAAAATTTTATATTTAATAGGTGACTGGAAAAGTGCCATACAGATGTATCGTTCGGCCGCACAGTGGGAGGGTGCTGAGCGTGTTGCTAGAGCACACGCTCCTGTTAATGTACAACAGCAGGTAAGCTTTGTAGAGAGCTTTCGTTATGTAGTGACACATTAGTACTTTTACGCGCTAGGGTTCAGGATAAATAAAATTCCACCGAAGTAAAACTTAAAAACTGTATTCAACACTTAGAACACAATTAACACGAGTATTTTAAAACACACAACATCATTTTAAAACTCACAACAAACACTTTAAAACTCTCAATTCCCTTGTTCCGCTTCGCATCAGGTGATCTGTTCGCTGTTTCGCTTCAAGTAGTTCCGATTACTGACTGACTGCGTGCCATCTCTACGACGCTTTTATAGCCGATACCTCATTCCTAGAATTATCGAGAATATTTCACACATCTCTAGTATTGTGTTTCCGCTATCTGACAATAGATGGCGTTGTGCTTCTCGAGCGTTCTAGGTGCTACTAGATCCTTCGATATTAGTTCGACTATTCGGCGATAGATGCGTTATTCTTACCGGCGTAACAGTACCATAATCATGGCATATCTTTACCAATTTTTACCAATTATTTTTAAAGGACTAATCTACAGCGATACAATTAAAGTTAAAATCGTGTTAAAATATTGAGAAAAGATGAACACATTTTTTTTAACATGATTCACTTTGATGTAAGGTGGCGCTACAATGGGCCGCTGTTTTGGGTGGATTGGCTGGTGCACGACTTCTGGCTGCAAGAGGATTGGCTGCTTTAGGAGCACGATGGGCCCTACAGGCACAAAGGTAAACGAATTTGTATTAAATTCGATGAGTTTAATAATGCAACGGCTCCATTATCCATCTTCCAGGTTCTAATCAGGCAAGGTCGACGGCACCTTGTATTACCTTGTATTATCATTAGAAATCCACCCGTTAGCCAATTTTGATAATTGGACAACATTTAGAAGTGGGTGACAGATACAAAGATTTTCATTAATTCTTGCTGTTATAAAACAATTTGATACTTTAATCAATGAATTCTAAATTCTAAAATTCTAATGAATTTTTATTATTAGTAGCGAAACCAAGTAGTTACTTTTGCGAAAAAATATATGAAAAATATTTTACACATTTATGTACGTATGGTAAGTTAAGAATGTATGTATGCTACTATGGCAATAATAATTTCTGAAGTACCAACAAAAATTGTCCAAATATAACAAAGGTCACGACGAATAAACATAGTGAGTGACGTACATTTGTAAGTTCGAAGACAATATAAATATCTGTGACAGTTTTGAAACAGTAAATATTAGTTTGCGTCTGAAAATAAAGTAACTTTTGTAATGTAGATGGGATATAGCAATAGAATTGAGCGAACTCGGAGGTGGTATCACTCGGCGTGAAGTGGCTCGACACGAAGCGGCCGCGCTGGCGGAGGAGCATCCTGAGGAGGCTGAAGCAGCCTTCCTTCGCGCGTCGGCTCCCGACCACGCCGTGCGCATGTGGCTGTCGAAGGAACAACACCAGAGGGCGCTGATCTTAGCCGAGCAGCATGCGCCGCATATGGTAAGTAGAAGCGTTTTGGCTCTGTGGCATTGCTTACTGGTGGTAGGACCTCTTATGAGTCCGCACGGGTAGGTACCACAGCCCTGCCTATTTCTGCTGTGAAGCAGTAATGCGTTTCGGTTTCAAGGGTGGTGCAGCCGTTCGAACTATAGTTGAGACCTTAGACCTTATCTTAAGGTGGGTGGCGCATTTACGTCGTAGATGTCTATGGGCTCCAGTAACTACTTAACACCAGGTGGGCTGTGAGCTCGTCCAACCATCTAAGCAATAAAAAAAAACTCACTATCAGGGGAGTTGTATGCTTGTCTGCTCACAACGGAAATTATAAAGAAATGAATGCTCAATAACTCACTTCAAAGAAGAAGGAGTTTCTTTATGTGTATTGTATCAGATTTTTTCGTAGGCGAATAAAATTTAATGTTTTTTTTTTTTTGGAAGCTGGTGCTTATATGGTCCCATTTAAGTAAATTCTGACAATTAGTTTTTTAGTTATCCTTAATAATGTATATTTCATGAATGCCGGCTACATTGATGATATTATCATTTTTTAGCCGTATTTTTTGTGTGTTCACTAACTTCTTCGTTGTTTGTGTACATGTTATATTTTTATTTATTTTTTGTTCAAAATAAGTATAAGCACGGAGTGATCCGATTATTAAGATTATTTGATGTATTCAACGGACATCACATCAATTTTTTTTTAATTACAATAAAATTATTAAACAAGCTTTATGGTCTACAAATTATTAAATAAGCTTTATGGTCTACAAATTATTAAACAAGCTTTATGGTCTACAAATTATTAAACAAGCTTTATGGTCTACAAATTATTAAACAAGCTTTATGGTCTACAAATTATTAAACAAGCTTTATGGTCTACAAATTATTAAACAAGCTTTATGGTCTACAAATTATTAAACAAGCTTTATGGTCTACAAATTATTAAACAAGCTTTATGGTCTACGTTTCGTATATTTTTGTCAACGTGCATTTGTATAAAATTTACAAATGCTTTTTTAAACTGCTACTACATATTTAAACTCGTGCATTGTAAATGTTTGAAGGTCGAAGAAGTACTAGTTGAAGGCGCTAGAGCAGCCGCAGAGAGAGGCGATTTACAGCAGTTCGAAGTACTCATGATCCGAGCTAATAGGCCGAGAGAGGTCGTCCAGCACTACAAGGATCTAGGTTATTTACTCGCTTCTGTTTTTAAAACCATAGCTTAGATTATTTCGATTGATTGTGGACTGGATCTATTTTTTATAATACAGTTTTGGCTTCACTGTTATTACACTATTGTGGCGCATTCTAAACCCGTAGGATTTGGAATGCGCCGGGCATTGAACCTGGAGACCGTAGTCAGAGTTACTAATGGTTGTTCTATTTTATTGTCACAGAGTTATGGGAAGAGGCTGCCCGTGTGTCTCGTGAGTATTTGCCGTCTAGCGGCGACGAGGAAGACGTGCCACCGGCCGTCCCAGCTCTGCTGACGCAAGCCGCGGCTCACGCCGACGCCGGCGAGTGGTGGGAAGCCGTGCAGGTATCGTATACTCAGTGTCTACAGGTTAAATTCAGTGGTGGCTGAGGCAATGCGGTGCCTGATTTTCGCAATTTCATAAAATTAATTCAATAATCTGATGGCAGTACTGTGTATATTGTGTATATGTTCACACAGTACTATGTATATACACAGTAATTTAGATCAGATGTTTATAATATTAACATCCTTGAATCGTATTTCTTAATGTGATATTTCGGATTAAAAATAAATCGTCAAATTGGTATAAATAGTCAAGAAGTAAAAGATATTGGGCCTCTCAGAGCCAGGTTAGATTCATAGACGGAATCGAGTTATTTCGGCAGCAATCGTACAGCTCTGGCCTTGAATGATGGAGGAGTTTTAGTAATGTATTTTGTGATGTTTATTGACTCCGATGTCCACTCAGCACTTAGTACATCTCTTTTGGTTATGTAATACAGCTCCTCTTTGCATCGATAATCCTCAATGATGAGGGTCGTGGCCTCCTCTAATAACTTTCTTCTGGATTATACTGCGCCACTTCCGTTATCCTCGGCTGTGGGCTAGCAGTGTGGATTGAAGTGAAGTGTGGAGCGTATCTGGTCCAACCAGCGCATTGGACTTCTGCCTCTGGGTCTTCTTCCGCAGCATACCTTGCCTGTTACAAGCGGTTTCTCTAAATTGTCACTTCTATTTCTGGCAATGTGTCTAGAAAGGTGGTGTGTAATTATAGCAATTTATTTTTTTATAATTTTTTATTTTTTATATTGCTTAGATGGGGTCACCTGGTGTTAAGTGGTTACTGGAGTCCATAGACATCTACAACGTAAATGCGCCACCCACCTTGAGATATCAGTTCTAAGGTCTTAGTATAGTTACAACGGCTGCCCCACCCTTCTAACTGAAACGCATTACTGCTTCACGGCAGAAATAGGCAGGGTGGTGGTACTTACCCGCGCAGACTCACATGAGGTCCTACCACCAGCACAAACAGCTGTTTGTTCGTAGACGTTGTGTGCGGCGAGTAGTGCCGCGGGCCAGCGGGCGCCGCGGCTCGCCGAGCGGGCCGTGCTGCGTGCGGCTCGCCTCGCGCGCGACCGCCTGCAGCACCCCGCACGCGCGCACGCCGCTAACTTGCTCGCTCAACGGTTCGTCCGACTTAAGCTATCCACTAATATTTTCAATATTACATCTATTAAATTAGTACTAGTGGCCCCGCAGTAGTCGAGGTTCGACTATAATTAATTGAAATTATAAGTTTAAACGTTATTATGGTTCTATTGCCAAACACTATTATAATTCGATAATATAATCACAGCATTCGCCAAAAATGCACTACAGATCAATAATATTAAAGACAAACAATATTAATCTATTTTCAATTCGACCACAGACTTTAAACAATTACAAAAGCTTCCCAATTGACAGTAAACAAAGAGTATATTTTTATGTATGTGTTGTGTCAAATACATGGTAGTGTGTGTAATGTTTTCTTTATTGATTTAAAGTATATTTTATGCATTATTTTAAATAAATATTAGCATTGTGCACTCCTTCACTGTATTCTCTATAAAAGTGAGAAATTTCATACTTCTCCGTCCGCGCAATTTTCGTAAAAAGGAGTACAAAGTTTTTGCTTCACGTATTAATATATAGATTACAACTATTAAAGTCGCTGAACAATCGAAATTCAAATATAAAAAAAAAAAAATTGCTTAGATGGGTGGATGAGCTCACAGCCCACCGATGTTGAGTGGTAACTGGAGCTCATAGACACCTACAACGTAAATGCACCACCCACCTCAAGTATAGTTACAACCGTCGACATAACAAAATTTACGTCCATTTAGTATATAATGTAAAATACATTTTTTCTTTTGTTGTGCTATCGAAGTTTTTCTTGTCTAGGTAAAAGTAAACTGTTTCCTGATTATTTTAATTATGAAAGCAATGGCTCATTGTCAAAGTAAAACAAAAACTTTTAACCACCATATTGATAAGCTCAGTAACCGAGGGACTATGTTGTCAGTTGTTACTGGCAGACGGCGTTCGTAACAACAATGAAAATGTCTGTTCCACTAGATTTGCCTCCATCGGTCAAACTGATATCGGAGAACAACTCCGAGCAGCTCTACTCGAAGGATATGCGGACGACGACGTCGCCGGTATGCATGAACTCTCTAGATTAGTTTCTAATAGATGATTATCACTTGAAGTTTTAGGGATTTGAAAGCCTATAGCCCACTTTTTTATTTTTTTTATTGCGTAGATCGGTGAACGAGCTCACAGCCCACCTTGTGTTAAGTGGTTACCGGAGCCCATAGACATGTACAACGTAAATGCGCCACCCAGCTTGAGATATAAGTTCTAAGGTCTCAGTATAGTTACAACGGCTGCCCCACCCTTCAAACCGAAACGCATTACTACTTTACGGCAGAAATAGGCAGCGTGGTGGTACCTACCGGTGCGGACTCACAAGAGGTCCTATCACCAGTAAAAATTGAAGTTTTAGGGACTTGAAAGCCTATAGTTCAAATTAGGAGTCAAGTTCTGTTTGGTTGATAGATGATGGGCGGATGGAGGAGAGCGAGTCGGTGGAGCAGGAGCAACAGGAGGTGTCGGAACGTCTGGCCCGCGCAGGTCAGTGGCCGCGGTGCCTAGCGCACGCCGCCACCGCCGGCCGTGCCCCGCACTACGCGCTCAGATATGCCGCGCATCTCTTCAAGGCCCACCCTGTATGTTGTTTTTTTTTCCTACCTATTCTAGTAGCCTCGAGGAGCTGTTTTAGATTAACTGTGTAGTAGGTAAGCTCACGGGGCTCAAACCGGGTGTGTTGTTAACACTGGTCCTAGCAAGAGCAGGCTTCGGAGAATCTACCACAGGATCGGAAAGGCGACCCACTGAGAAGATCCGGCAAGAAACTCAGTCGGTATTGTCTATAGGTTAATTTACTCGTCGAGCCCTTCCTCGCAAGCGACGGTTTCGACGAGAACGGTGACCGGTGCTTGAGGTACCTAAAAGCACCGTTAATGCATCGGGAGGATCCGTAATGACGTGGTGCTCTACGACAGCTCTTCTACTCTGTCCAATTGAGTTTTTACTTTGATTCACTATAATATAAACGCCATGAAAGGCAATAGGTTGTTTTAATAATTTATTGGTACAGATGTTTTTCACGGCTTAGCCAATGTAAAGTAGCTTACCGTATGTATATGAATACAAAAATTACTCAATCTTGAGACCTTGAGGTCGAAGTATCGGTTGAACTGTATAACAGCTTTCATTCTCTTTAATTTGAAATGCGTGAAAGCTTTGTGATAGAAATAGGTAGGATAGTGGTACCTATCCACGCGAGCTACACGATCTGTTTTGTAATTACGCATATTAAAAAAATAGTAATTTTTGTAGGTTTAATTTTTAATGAACTATGATTTTTCTTTATCATGGAATGTGTTCAAGCATACGTCATACGGTTTATTAACGAAAAATATACACAGTACGTGTTATTTGTTAGGTCACGAATGCTTCGGGCTTTTTATGATGGGGAATAAAATGGCACTATTTTTGGTTTATTAAAACATATCAGTCGTTTGATTTTTGTGGCCAGATTAAGCCATAAAATAAGTTTTAATTATGTCTTCGCGCAAAAATCGAAAAACTTACTACAATATATTAGTAGTTAAAGACTGCGGATTACATTAAAAATTATCATGTTTATAATAATCAGTTTATTCTCTTATTTTATTATTATTTCTTCTTTTAATCTAAGTTACTGTTTCTATTAATAAAACTAAAACTTGCCAATGGCTGCCGACGAACAGAGAGGAAACAATAATACTGAAATGTTTTGTATTTGTCTATTTATATATATATTTTAGATTTTATAACGTTGCATTTGAATACATTGAGTGTTGTATTAACCGTTTTTTGTAGCGAATGGAAGGAATCGATATTGAAAGTGAAGACGTCCCAGAAGCTTTATCTCAAGTGTTGGAGACTTTGCGTCACTATCTGAGCCGCGAGGACTCTGAAGGCGGAGCGGTCGTGTCCGGTAGCGACGCGGGCCTAGCTCGAGCGGTCTGCAGCGAGGTCCTAGTGCGGGCTTCTACTGCACCTAAGGCCTTCGCCGCGCTTACTGACGCAGCTGACGTTATGCTGACGGCCGGCGCTGACGATAGAGCTTTGCAGGTTAACTTTGTAGAAAAATTAAATTTATTCATTACTAGCTGTACCCGTCCGCTTCGCTGGGCATTTAAAATTAACATTATTATTTCTCGCCCCCACAAAGATTTTCATCATTAACGCCTCTGCAACTGGTATAGGGAGTCCAACACTCATAAAAATATTAGCCTATCCATTAAGTACATGTATTTTCTACATGGATACCAGGATTCAATTTAATCTGATGCATGGTTCAGTAGTTATAACGGAACATCCGTAAAAACCACTGCAGAATTATATATTAGTATAGATTACCCCCACTAGTTTTGTTTTAATGCTTCGTTTGTTTTAATTATCGTGAAACGACTTGAATTGGTATCACCATCATGCTTATTTCAGCTGCAAATGCGTTCCCGTTCAAACTATTGGATTGTTTTAGACAAAGCAATTTATATTTAGATCTCATGGCTCAAGGTGGGCAGTGTTTTCAATATTAAAGTGTGTATGACACCTATCATGTGGTCAATATCTATTTATCAGCTCAAAAAATCGTATTCTAATTTAGTTATGAGTCTGTCTCGATGGTTTTGTATAATGGCTCTCATATATTTAAAGCCGGAAGTCATGTGCACACGACACGATGTTATGTAAACAAGTGCTAAATACCTATTCATTTAAAAATCGAGCATCTAGCCTAGGTTACTGGACTTTTGATGCAATAAATATTCCAGGCAGTCACGTTACTCATGGCGCTTCATTTGCCGCAAATAGCTGGTAAAGCTGCGCGGGCTTTGCCACGGTACACGGAAATAATTGTGGCTGATGTCGGTAAGTATAGCATTGTATAGTTATATTACGAAATTTAGCCCCATATTAAAAATGATGGTGTCATTTTTCTTCTTCATTCGTCCATGTCTCTGTTGTTTGTGTATGTTGGTGAAACACTGAACTTGATAATTAGTTCTTGGTACAGTGGATGTCGTGAAGGTCCTTTTTTTGTGTGTTTTTAGTTTTTGTAAATAATTAACTAGTAAATACTCGTACTACACCTGTTTACTAATATGCACGGTGCTACGAAGCTTGTAGTGCTCGATTTTTTGTTTAAATTGTAAAGAAGACTGTTTATACAAAAAACAATACGCTATTTGTAATGAAGCCATTAACAATTGTAGAGTGTTTTAACAATCCACTATTTCGTGTTTATTTCACGCCGCTTTGATTTTTTATTTCGTCTGCAGTAGGGAGAGCTTAGTATGGTCTACAATTTTTCGCGTAGAACTGCGTAGCTCTTTAAATAACGTAGCTCAGTTGCTCTATTAAATTTAAGAATATCATTAAGTATTAATTAAGTTTAGTGGTAAATTTTACTTAGAACTTATATCTCAAGGTGGGTGGCGCATTTACGTTGTAGAATTCTATGGGCTCCAGTGACCACTTAACACCAGGTGGGCTCTGAGCTCGTCCACCCATCTAAGCACCAAAAAAAAAATTTAGCAGTTTTATAATTTAAATTTTAAGCCAGAGACAGAATTCGTAGTTGCGTAGTACTACTACATTATTCGTAGCGCTACAGAAAAAATCGTAGCGAATGATACGATATTCGTAGCGGCATCCTTCTTCATTTACTCATGATACTATAGTATTTTTTTTACTTAGTATTTATAGAACTTTTCTTAAATAAAACAACTTCTTCCTCTGTTTTCCGTCGAAGTTTCAGTTTTCACTTATACTGATTTACACACGTTCTTCATTTAGCGTTCTACGCTTGTGGGACGGCGGTACGTACTGAAGGCAGTGCGGGGGCTCGAGAAGCCTTCGTGCTGTTGAATCGCTGTCTGGATCTCGCTGAGGCTGCTGACGAGGATTCTGCTCATTTACTTGATTATACGGATTTTGGTAATTGATCATGAAAACATTTTATGCATAGTTTTAAATGTTGTAAATTTTATTAATATTTCAAAACGTAATGTAAATTTAAATGATAATGTGCATATATTTTATTGTAAAGCTTATAAAATTTCTACAATAGGCTAAGTCTAATTATTTATTATGGATTATGTTGTTTTTTGTAGGAAATCTTGAGTTCTCAAGGTAATAGCATTCATGATGAATCTATGGATTCCGATAGTCACTTAAAACTAAGGGTCTTTTTATAGCCTTATCAGGTAGACAAGAATACGACCCATCTGATGGTAATTGATGACCGCCAAGCGGTCGTCTGCGGTACCAGCGGTACAGCCAAGTCGCTGGCTGCTTCTTAGGGCTGTGAGTGAGTTCAACCATCTATACAATAAATAAAAATAATGTTTGTATTGTTTCTCAGAATGTACAGACTGGTCACGGCAGCCGCTTCTGTTGGAACGCGGTTGTGTGAGCGGCGGAGCGCTGGAAGATGTGAGAGAATGGGTCCTCGCAGTTTCTATGGACCAATCCGTTGAACAGGTACCTCAGCTTACTGTGTTTATATTTTACTAGCGGCAAGATCCGGCTCCGCTCGGGTCTTTAACAAAAATTTCAACGATATTTGACGTTGTTTTATTTTTTTCAATAAAATAACTTATTGCGGCATAACTACAATAGTTAGACATATGCTGTCGCGACACTTTTTGTAATTAATAATGTGTTCTACAAAGTCGTAGTACATTATTTTATTCTATCATCAATAGTTTTCGCAGGGCACGCGATGTAAAGAATATTTTAGGTAATTTTTTTACACCTTGGGTTACATTATTGAAGTTTTAGTTAGGACCCCTAATTTTTTTCAAAAAAGATTAAAGCATTTGTCACTCGGGAATAGTGTAGCTTCCAAACAGAGAAAGAATTTTTCAAATCGGTTTAGTAGTTTCGGAGCCTATTCAATACAAACAAACAAACAAATCTTTCCTCTTTATTATATTAGTATAGATTAATTTTGTGGTGTGTAATAATGTATACTCTACTGACTAGATTTAAAATTTTCTTATAGTCAGAACTTGAGCTTTCGAATGGAATGTGATAGCGGCTGCCCCACCTTATAAACTGGAACGCATGATAGTTTTGTGGTAGAACCAGGCATGGTCGTTGGTACCAACTTAAACATTCAGTATGGGCTGTCACTAGCATTAGCAAATATATGTTTCTAAACCGGTAAATAATTTTTAATCTTGCGATGTCGTCGTAGCCTAGAGGATAAGATGTGCGGTGTATTCGTAACTAGCGATGCACCGGTGCTCGAATACCGCCGGCAAGGACCAATTTTTCTAATTAAATACGTACCTAACAAATGTAAAAATCAATTTTCGCTGTCCCCTTTTTATATTGCCTTTGTAGGCAGCCGCTCATGGACTTCAGCAATGCCAGGGGCAGAGCCAAGCCCCTGCCTACTATTAAGTACTCCGCAAGCCTCGTTTGAAGAAGGACATGTTATAGCGCACGGAAAACACCGTGGAGGGATTATTAATGACTAGCCGTACTCGCCCGCTTCGCTGGGCATTTAAAATTAACATTATTATTATATTAGGGAGTCCAACACGCATATAAATATTAGCCTATCGATTAAGTACATGTATTTTCTACATGGATACCAAGTTTCAAATCAATCGGATGCATGGTTCTTCAGTAGTTATTATAACGGAACACCCGTAAAAACCACTGTAGATTTATACATTAGAGAGAGAGAGAGAGAGAGAGAATACACTTTATTGCACACCAACACAATTTACATTTAAAAAAAACAGTCAAAAAGCACGTATGTACAATAGGCGTTCTTATCGCTAAAAGCGATCTCTTCCAGACAACCGTTTAATTTACAGAAATTATTATTAGAAATTATATATTAGTATAGATTATTATGATTGTAATCAGACGTTGCCGGTGGACAGTAGAGGATTGTATGCGTCGAGCGTGGCGGAGACGGAGCAGTGCTGCGTCGTCACCGGGTACCCGCTCGGCACTAGACTCGTCACATTTACCAACGGTAAAGAGTTATCTATATCGACGCTTGAAAGGCAAACGTGACTAAGCGACAATGCGTGAACTTTACGGTAGACTAATTTAAAAGAAAGAAATAAGCAGTGCCTTTGTACATAATTTTCCTATTATTCTGTACTGTGTCTTGTTTTCTGTGTGTACATAAATAAATAAATAAATAAATAAATTAAAGTTGAAATACCTGAAAACTAAATTTATTTTAACGAATCCAGCTGTAGTAGAATATAGCTAGCTGTAGGATTGAAATGATTTTAATAGACCTAGAAATATTTTTTTTTGCGCATCGAGTATGGTTTTATTGCCTATCATTTATGTAAAAATCAGTTATTGTCGCTTAGTCACTTTTGCCTTTCAAGCGTCGATATGTAAACGCAGTGGAGGAAACCCTTAAATGCGATTTTAAGTTTATCAGATCAAAAATTTACTTGCGAAAAGTATTCAATTCAATCACATTGTTCATTGGTAAAAACGCTAAATTACACTTTTTCAATTAGACAAAACATATTAAAATTTTACAATTTAATTTGTCTTTTTTTGGCATTTTTTTATTGCTTAGATGGGTGGACAAGCTCACAGCCCACCTGGTGTTACGTGGTTACCGGAGTCCGTAGATATCTACAACGTAAATGCGCCACCCACCTTGAGATATGAGTTCTAAGGTCTCAGTATAGTTACAACGGCTGCCTCGCCCTTCAAACCGAAACGCATTACTGCTTCACGGCAGAAATAGGCAGGATGGTGGTATTTGCCCGTGCGGACTCACAAGAGTTCCTACCACCAGTAAAGGGGTATTTTGGGCATTTCTTTTATCTTATATTTTTATCTCAAGTGTTGTTTTAAATATGGTCAACAGGTAGGTGCGCGAACCGCGAGTCGTGGTCGCGTGTGTCGAGCGCGGCGCGTGGAGGCGGCCCGGCCTCCGTGCTGCTGCGGCACGTGACGCGCTGGTGCGGTCCCGCCGACTACACGCAGCTATGAACTGGTTGTCCAACACAAAGGTTTTTTTTAAAGGGATTTTATGACCTGGTAACTGAGTCCTTTAAGTCATGTCTTATTTTAATTTATATTCTTATTTTTATGAAAAATGATAACATGGAGTGAAATGAAATGAAGATGATTACTAATTTGAGACATTAATCAACTGGGATGAAATTAAATGAAACGGGATGAGATGAGATGGGATGAATATAATCTCAGTAAAATGGTGGTCGTTTACTGAGACCTTTTTAGTGGGTTTTTTGTAGGATCCCGAGAAGTTACGTCTGGCGTCTTTGTTTCATTTTACCACATTTGTGCACTTTAACAGATATTAAACAGTTAATAAACATTTAAGCCTGAAGAAACATTGAATAGACAAAATAAAACAAAACACACGACTTGACTCCTCGCGTTCCCGCCAAATGTCACCGAGGTTTGAGGAGAAGCCTCAGCGACAGGCAACGGCTTGGCTATGCTCTTGGCATTTCTAACACGCATGAGCAACGGTAATCGACGGCAATTTTTGCTCGTCGATCAACAAAGGAAATAAATTGTACTAAACTTACATATGGACACATGGATCATATATGTATATGATATTGTATGAAATCTCATTTCAAATTATGCATATAGCAACAAATAATTGTTTTTAATCAATTTACATATTTGCTAGTTGTTGCTGTATATCTTTGCTATTAGCAATTAAACAAGTAATGAAATTAAATAAATTATAGTATTTATTTCTATAGTATAGTCAATTGTTGTGTGATTGTATCAAAATACATAGTTAATAATGTATAGAGGGAATTATTATAGTTTATTTGATACTTTAAGGTTTAAAACTTAATAAATATCTTTTAGTTGAAATGTTTTGTTATTATTTGTTGATTTACGACTTATACAATCTCGGGATTATTATTCTTATCAAACTTCATCTTTTCATTTACTATTTGATCCAAGGAAGGTTTAGAAAAAAAAACACCATATATTTCGCTATCGTAAACTCTTTTTATCACATTTATTTAAATAATATTCTTTGACACATTTCTTACGACTAAAAGTTTTGATTACATTGCTTTCCACAATTAACATTGAAATGCTATTTGTTGGAACTGTCCATGAAAATATCTGTTGAAACCGATTTTAGAGTTGCTTGTAATTGTATTTCTTACATTTCGCATTAAATGTGTAACTGTTTACATAATGATGAAACAGGCTGTGTCAATTTCAAGCATTTCAATGTCAATTCGAGAATGCACTGAAAAAAATTCAGATGGGCTAAGAAGGAATAATCGTCTAAAGTTTAAAGTAAGAAAGTTACATATACACAATATGATATCCGATACGTTATCACATTGATTATTTATTCGTACTTTAAGTTACGGTATTATTAGATAATCAAGATGGACCGTATGCACTCTTACCGACATCGGATATGTGTTCGTAGAGAAAAGAGGGGCCCACTGGTATCTTTGTCGAGGCACGTAAAGATATTTTCGCTTATGTAAGAGCATTCATCATTATTCTAAAATATCAAGATAATAAGCGTATATTGTTTATCGATTCCGACATGTCGGATTCGTTTGTATTACATTTTATATACCGTCAATATGTTAGTAAATATTTACTTATAAATATATATATGTTTTGTGAAATTAATATATATACATATATATAAAGAATTGTAAATAGTACATTCGTTACATATTTTAGAAATATGAATTTTTAAATACTTTTGAAATATATGAATAATACCTGTTTTAAATGATAAAAAAATCTCTCTCTTCGGAAATGTACAACCTCGTTTTGAATGAAAAAGTGTAATAAATCGAATCGAGCGTCGCCTCGGAGTAAGCTCTACGATGCTCGGTGCAGTGCGTGATAATATTGTCGAAGGAGCTGAGAGCTCAAAGCTACATAGTGGAAGATCACACACATAGAAAATATTACAAATTTCCCGCTAGGATATGTAGTTAGTTTCTAACACCAATAATCGAAATATATTATAATATTAATAATAATGTAANAGTGTAATAAATCGAATCGAGCGTCGCCTCGGAGTAAGCTCTACGATGCTCGGTGCAGTGCGTGATAATATTGTCGAAGGAGCTGAGAGCTCAAAGCTACATAGTGGAAGATCACACACATAGAAAATATTACAAATTTCCCGCTAGGATATGTAGTTAGTTTCTAACACCAATAATCGAAATATATTATAATATTAATAATAATGTAAACATTGAAATACCTAAATATAAATTTGTATGTTTCTAACTAAAAGAGCTCTAGGCCGGTTGTGACGTGGCGGCCGCTGTTTCACTCGGAGAGAACATTCTCTCTACGGCTCACTATCTCTCGTTGCTACGTACGTTAATGACAAGAAATTACATAATATTTATTTTTAAATGTAAAATTCACTACAATGTACCATATTGGCTATAACATCTACATATATATGGCAGATTTTGAAATCGTATAATCTATTTAAGATACAGTATGCTGCTTCAGAGCTGTGTTTGACCTTAGAGGTAAGACTAGTTAATTCCTATCACGAGGTTTGTGCGTAGAAATATGAAAAATAAAGTTCTTATTTAATTTTATAAGTATAGGATTCACAATATTAATGGAGTGATAGTATATAAAAAGGGATGGGTTCATTTGAGAACTTCACTAAAGCACAACCTTTGAAGAATAGTATCTATATGCACTTACTGACTACAGTAACTTTAGAAGTATATTTAAAGATCATAAGGCAAAGTTTAAAGTGGGGTTATTTGATTATGTCATTTACAAGAGAGTAGGTATAAATAGTTAATGAAATCTTACATTTTCTAAGACGGTAAGTTAAATGCATTTAATTTATATGACGTGTTTTACATGCTACAAAATCTTAATCGAAAGTCGTAGAAAAGTGATAGTCTCAAGGTCTAATGTATCTTGTTTACACTAAAACTATTGATTGATAAATTTAAATATTTTATACTCTATGAGAAACACTTATTTCAAGTTTGGTACGATCACACTACAATGTAATATGTTTTTTTTTTTGAACTACACACATAATCTCTTACACTATTTGCAATGTTTTCTACAGAGTTATACAACATTTCGAAGGACTTTTCAAGGGCACATCAATTTTCAAAGTTAAAGATATATGTCGGTTTTTTCTACTGCCATCTACTACAATTTTTTGTAAATGTTTGTAATTGAAGAGGGTCTAAAAAGTGACAGATTTTTAAAAAGGTACGCCCTAAGAGAAACGTTTTAATTATTATATAAGCATTTAGGGATCTGTCGAAGAAGACAATACGTAATTCATATATACGATTACATTTTTAATATATTTAGCAATTCCTGAAATATTTACACATATTATGTATTTTTCGATCCACATAGGGCAGCAGTGGGATCGGCGAAATAAGCAATGCGGTTTTGCGGTATTTTATCAATCGTATGACATAGCACGAGCGTTCAAATTTGTGGTCAAATTGAAACGTGTGGTGATATTTGTTCATCATTTCTGACAATAGAAGACATATGTCGCTTTGTTCGTTTTATTTAGGTTCCTAGGCTTATACTAGGTTAGGTTACATCGATTGTTCATTATTTGTTCATCGACATCTTATCTCATAATTGTCGATAACATGTATAGTGTAATAGAATGAAATAAAATTTGAGGAAATCAAATTAAAGTAGACCTATTTATCTGTCGCGATTTGTGCTAGGTTTTGTAATTATTTCAATGCATTAAGATCTTTTGGAAGGGGGAGGGTGATGGGAGAGATGTGCTCCGCACTAAATGCTTCACTCTCCCCCTTTGCCTTTTCATGGGTTCTGTCTCATGCGAGGTTTGGACGCGGGTTGTTGGGCGACAGGAGGTTTTAGTCAGTTCGACTCCGATATGCCCCGCCCTCCATCCCCAGGGGAGGGCGGAAGTCCGGCGATTTCCTCATGACCAAAAAAAAAAAAAAAAGATCTTTTGGAAGGCATTGGGGAAGGTCTATGTTCAGCAGTGGGCAGATAAAGGCTGATGATGATGATGATTAAGATCTAGTGTAACTTGAGTTCGATTGTTAAGTGATATGTAATACGATTGATAAGTGGTATACAGGTTTGTAGGCCGTCGTGGGTGCGCTAGTAGTCATCGCGGCGCTCCGGCGACGGCTCCCTGGATCAGTCTGGCGACTCGTCAGCGGCGAAGGACGTGGCCGGGAATAGTGGGTACCAGCCATAAGTGCGCTGTGGCAGCGTCAACTTATCTAAGCATATCTCTGCACCGCCCAGTGCCAGGTTGTGCTCGAATCCGCCGCAACGCTGCCACAGCATCACCACCAGAGTACGACCAAGAGCCTCGCTCGCCTGTACGCGTTCAAATCGAGACATGTTCAATAAAAATGCAAAATAGACTGAAACGCAATACATTTCTGTTGTATAATTTTGTGCACTCTCAACATTATGCTGACGTATGTGATTTTTTAGTTTTGAACTTATAGCACGCATGCTTCACGATCGTTCGAGACTGGGCACATATACTTCATATCAGTTTTTCTTAAAATTTATTATTAACATGAATAGTAAATTGAATTTTACCAAGAATTGCAAATGGAAAATATATTTGTAGACTGCGACGCTTGTCGATTTATCAGGGTAAGCAGGTAAATAGTCGTGACAATGTTTAATGGTAGTTTTGTCGTATACGGGTTGATTATTTAATCATGCACCAGTTATTAAATAGTTACTGAACTACATAAATACTAATTATGTAAATACCTCCCTGGGCCACGAGGTTGAAGTCTTAGTTGCATGAAAAAAAGCGGCTATTCTACCGCAATATACGATTTGCAACAGACATTTAAAGGATAGTAGTTAAGGACATTTCAAGTCTCATGATTCGCTCTTTCATTTCAAATGCTGCTTTTATCGTTACCTGAAAACTGTATTTTTTTTCGTAACATTATTTTCCTTACTTGATATTTTAGGGTTTGCTTAAAGTGAGGTTCGGTCGTACGTCTGATGACGCGTGTTTTGCGTTTATGTAGCCATTTGTCGCCGTCTCGCAGATAGCATTTAACATACGAGTCTGGAACCTCACCGTTCACGCCATACACTCGCCTCGCATGAGATACCTAAAAATTAGGTGTGTTTTATTAAATTCTGATTGCTAAGATGCGTGGACAGGCTCATGGCCTAACTGGTGTGAATTAGGTGTGTTTTATTAAATTCTGATTGCTAAGATGCGTGGACAGGCTCATGGCCCAACTGGTGTGAAGTGGTCATCGCAGTTCAGTCATTAACAACGTAAATGTCGTCATCCACCTTGAGGCATGAGTTCTAACTCTCAGGTTTCAGTACAGCTGCTGTCCGATTCACACCGAAACGCGTTAGGTACTGCTTCACGACAGAAATAGGTAGAGTGGTGGTAGCTACCCTTACGTGCTCAAAAGACGCTCTATCACCAGTAACGATGCGAATTATAGTTTTTGCGTATTTGATTTTTATTACACGATATAACACACACCTTCACTATAGAAGTAATTCGTGAATATTTGTCAAGTACATATTTAGTCAGAAATTTGGAAGCTACGGCATTCGAACACCGGTACAGTCGCATCGCTATATACGAATGCACCAGGCGTCTCATCCCGCATGCCACTACGACTTCTAACTCGACCGTGTTGTGTTATTTAGATTGAAATCCAAATAAAATGCAATGTATTGTATTTTTTTTATATTGCTTGGATGGATGGACGAGCTCACATCCGACCTGGTCTTAGGTGGTTACTGGATTCCATAGACATCTACAACGTAAATGCGTCACCCACCTTGAGATATAAGTTCTAAGGTCTCAAGTATAGTTACAACGGCTGCTCCACCCCTCAAACCGAAACGCATTACTGCTTCACGGCAGAAATAGGCAGGGTGGTGGTACTTACCCGTGTGAACTCACAAGAGGTCCTATCACTACTAAAAATAGGTAGTATAGATTCAAACCTCGAGTTCCAGTTGTCCCTTGATCATAATGATGCTGATATTCATTTCTGCGTGTAGAGGAGGCAAGTGTGCGTTTCGTGGAGGTAGCTGTCCCGGGCCGAGCGGCACGACGTCTTCGTCGTCGGCGAGCGCGTCGCAAGCCGCAGCCGCTGGCACCGCCGCCCACATGCTGCCCTTGCGGCCCGTCGCCGTGCCTGCGCGCCGCCACTGATCACACCACTACCCGCCCGCGCGTGCCACGCGACCGTACCGTGCGTGCGCATGGACGGTCGGGTGCCACCGCGCCATAGTATGACCATTCAAACACATCCATCGAATACGAAACAATCGACTCAATCGAACATTTAAAATGATCAAAACAAAAGATACATATAATAAAATAAGCACGTCAAACAGCTCGTGCTAATGTTGTACAGTTTTCGTTTACACAAAATATCGAATCGGTTCCTTTCCTAAACACACAGATGGAAGAGAAAGCGTAATAACTTGTGCAGCCAAGAGGAATCGAATTTCTAATAGAATTGTTTGAAGCGGTCTTCGACTCGTTATGGTGAGCATTCCGTGTCATGAGCAGCCATTTATTGATCGATAAAAATTGCATTCGGTGGACGGGTGTCGTAACAGAATTCATGCCACCGCAGGCTCCGTCGAGCCGCGTGCGTTCGCTGCGGCATGCGCGACCGCCGTCTTATCTTTACATACAATCATGTACATTTCCTACACCGATATTTTAAACAAAACTTACTCGATAACTACGGCCTAAGTAATAGGGTAATAATTATTTACAATAACTAATAGAATGCGCATCGTAACAATGAGTGATACATTGGCAGAGGTAATGAAATCCATACATCCTATGCGACATAATGCCATCGACATGAACGTAGTACGGGCAGCCGAACAGACGGTACATACAGAGACAGATGAAGTGAGCGTGATCGCCCGCGGCCGGGCATGCGTCAGGACAGTACAGAACAGACAGTGAGGTGATGAGAAGCGTCGGGCGCAGCCACATTCAACGGTGCGTGCGCGCGGCCGCCGCGCAAGCGAATTATGACCCATGCTACTACGAGCTCGCGCGGCGACAGTGGCGCACGACTGATGACGGAGACAGTTCCGACAGAGCCTCGCCGTCATCAGTCGCGCCGCTGTCGACGTGCGGAGACTGGCGGCCGTCGGACGTCACAAGGGAACGCGTACACCGACACCGCACACGAACCAACCCTGTAAGGGGAGCACGCGCGGGCGCGGGCACGGACGAGTCGCTTACCGAGGCGCTAACGGTCCGTCGCTGCTGACCAAAACAAGCACAACACAGTACAATCAGTACTACCCTCAATGTTCGCATTATTTAGTGGATGCTGTGGTAAATTGTGAGGAGCGCCGGGGTGGCACATGGTTTATCATTGCACAGTTGGTGGAAAACTAAGTGTTCACACGAGCTTGAGTTGAGGTCGCTCTAGTCATAGTTTCAGGGGATCGTGATTATTGTAAAAATTAAAAAAAAAAGACGAACAGCAACACAGATTCTATTTTCTTGGTCCTGTAGAGCAACAGGTTTGGTTTTAACACATTTATAACACAAATATGAAAGTATATAAATATTTGTTATTTCTTGTTTGCGTGCTTAATTAACTTAAATGTTCAAAAATTTTAATAGCATTTTTATGCTGACCATTAGTAGTTTTACTCAAATACATCACGTTGACTCTATAGGCCTTCGATTAGGGTTTCTTCAGTGTTCATTCAGGTAAAAAGTGCTGTTAACTAAAGGTCTTGAAAGCAGAGCGAGACTTACGCCTGGCGGTGGAGCCAGAGAGGGAGAGGGTACGGCCCAGCTCTCCCTTGACGGCGCGGAGTGAGCGCAGGATGTCGTCCGGGTCACGGCGTACGCACGACGACCGGCGACGCTCGTTGCGACGCGGCACCACTTCGCCAACGCCGTCTTCGAACACAACCAAATCACTTTATTTATTAGATTCGCCTGAATTGCTAGCACACATTTCATTAAACACTAAATTTAGTGCTTGTACGGTCAACTAGAACAATATCTTTGCATTATTAACATGTTCGCGTGAGTAACGTCTTACAAAGTCGTGTTTTTAAAGTTATGAAATGGCGCAACGTCATATGACGGCCTCTAGATTATCATATTTATTTTGTTCGAACGTCTTTGGACGTCTATTTTATGGACAAATTCCTATTCGATTTTCATAGCCTACACTGCCGCGTTCCCTAAAAAAAAATCATCATAAGATGTACGTATTACGGCGGGACGCTTTTAGACGCTGCTAAACTTTGTATGGGAAAAAGGTGCACCACAGTAGCAATATTCAGAAATGAGGTTGCTCACGCGAACGTGTTAGTTACAAAAATAACATATTAAACGAATTAAAACGATCCCAGCTTAAGGTGTATAGTTTTTTAACGATGTCGATGTAAGGTATAGTTCGATGATGCTATCGCGACTGAAGGACTAACTCCTTTTTGAAGCTTCGTGGTCGGCCGGCGGCGTCTCTGCCGCTCTGCATGCCCACGAGGAGAACAAATAGGGATGTGCGCGTTATAATATTTTATTACAATCCAATTACTCGTATGTCTCGCACCTATAACGAACTGACAAAGTCGTTAACTGAATTGGATACTTTTACATATAAATTAGCGATGTTTATAAAAATTATCGAGGGCATCCTCCATGTTAATAGTAGATTAGGTAGTGTAATTGTTTAATGTTTAATGTGATTTCCTTTGTGATTGTGATTTATTGTTATTTCCTTGCATTGCAAGTTGGATTGGTTTTTGTTAACTTGCTGTCTTGTCCTATAGTTGTAATGAATATTGTGTACTTGGTACATTTGTCCTGATTAGTTGTGAGCACATGGCTTATGTTCTAAATTTTTTACTTGATGTTATTTATTGTGTATCTTTTCTTTTTTAGCTTGCCATGTGTATTTTGTAGGCAGACGAGCATACGGCCCACCTGATGGTGAGTGGTTACCGTCGCCCATGGACTTCAGCAATGCCAGGGGCAGAGCCAAGCCGCTGCCTACCGCTTAATACTCTTCTCTTAATACTCTTAAAGTTCAGTCTATTATATTTTTAATTACAAGTTAATATTTTGTTATTTATAATTCCTTCTGTAATTCTATTAATCTTATATTGCCGTAGATAAGCGCACAAGCTGACTTTCCATTGGAATCATATGGTTACCGGACTGGAATCCATATACGGCGCAAACGTCAATAACGCAACCTGCTTTGATCGAACGAGGTCGCAGTATAATTATATTATATCACAGACGTTGTTCTATCCGCCAAACTACGTGTGTGCCAGAATTAGGCAAAACGGTAGTAATTAGCAGCGCTGAACTACAATGCTCATCGCTACCAGCAGAAATACGAATGCATTCATTGATTTGTATTGTTTAAAAAAAATCGCGAACGCGTTTTAGTTCCGTATTAACTAAGCATCGGTACCTGATGGAGGATTTTAAATTCGGCATAGTCGTTATACATACAGAAAGCGAAAATTTCCGCGGATTACCTTTTTCTTGTTGTTGGAAAGAAGAGCGACGCGAGCCAGGCAAAGATCGAGAAAAGTCTTTTCCGAGCTGGTAGACTTCTACTTCCAATGTTTCGGATTGAGAAGATCCTCGACGAGAGCCGGCTACCCAAGCGTGGTCGGGATGCAGAAGGGACGCACATTCCCCGATTGAGTCAACATCATCTAGAAGGTAAAAAAATTAAAAAGTATATTTTGATTATATAAATGTCACAGACAAAAAATTAAATTTCAGATTGCATTAGCTTGGCCATGTGTAAAAGATAGAAGAGGATTTTTTAAATTTTTTTTTATTGCTTAGGTGGGTGGACTAGCTCACAGCCCACGTGGTGTTAAGTGGTTACTGTGGTTACTGGAGCCCATAGACATCTACAACGTAAATGCGCCACACACCTTGAGAGAAGTTCTAAGGTCTCAGTATAGTTACAACGGCTGCCCCACCCTTCAAACCGAAACGCATTACTGCTTCACGGCAGAAATAGGCAGGGTGGTGGTACCTGCCCGTGCGGACTCACAAGAGGTCCTACCACCAGTAGAGCGTAGATGCGTTAAGGAGAGCGTATGTAGGTCTCTTTCTACTTCAATAACATAAGAAAAAGATATCTGAGCTCACGTAGTAATTAGTAGACAACATTTATAACAATATAATTAAGATAGAACAACACTAAGGCACAAAAAATTTGTTAGCCACTATACAGACGCTTAATATTTAGTTTGATTAATTTGCAAACGGCTAAATTTAAACGTAATACCAGAAATCGATCGTTGCGATGCGAAGTCACCACGGCGCAGAGCCCGGGCGCCTGTTAGCGAGCCTCGCGGTGACGCATTAGCGGACCGAGTCCCGCGCTCCTCCAGCGTCCACCAGACTGCGCGCTCCTCTGCAAACGCTTTCTCCAGCTCCATCTGAGACACAACGAAATTGTATTTGAAATTGTATTTATAACTAGCTGACCCGGCAGACTTCGTAGTGCCTCAATCGATAAATAAAAGACCTAAACTTTTGTATAAAATTAAATTTAAAAGAAACAAAAGGAATCCGTCCGACGGGGGACTCGTCAAAGGAAAAACAAAATTGTTATTTTAATTTAATTCCCAGCATTTTCATATTTATCTACCTTTTAAACTTTCTCTGGACTTTCATAAATAATTCAAGACCAAAATTAGCCAAATCGGTCCAGCCGTTCTCGAGTTTTAGGGAGACTAACGAACAGCAATTCATTTTTATATATATAGATAATAGCTGGGAACAAATCACGCACGGTCATCCAGTCCTTACTTAAGATTCCCTGTGTTATGTGTACTAGAGACTGACATAGATAGTTATATACGTTTTTAAATAAATAAATATATAGATAATAAACACTCAGACACAGAGCAAACAAACCTGTTTCATTACACGAATATTTGCCTGATGTGGGAATCGAACCCATGACCTTCGGCGCAACAGTCCAAGACGCTAATTACTGAACCACTGAGTCAATCAAATCCAGAAATTTGTCCAGAAAACATTCACACAACAGCTATCGATTAAAAACGTATCATTCGAGTTCCTATTTCGTTGATTTGATTTTGTCTTCTAGATTTCTGGTGTTTGGGTTTTTCAATCATTAAGCGTTCAATATCTCCTTTTAGCCTTTATGGTATCACGACTGAGGTACAGTAATTGGTTGTTCCACAAACATATGGCATCACTTTTAATAACTATATTTATATAGTTAATAACTATATTTATATAGTTATTAATTCTATTACTTACCATATTGGACTGAATTATCTGTAATAATTTCTTTCAAATACTGGCTATTTGAGTTTCAAAAATAATGGGAAAAGAGATATTGTTCTGCAAATGAGTTGACTAGAGCAAATAATTTCATCATTTTACGTAAACGACAAATCAACTTACGGTGCACTCTCCAATCAAAACAGGATCTATTCCAGGGCAAGCATCCCAGAGAGTTAGCTCGAGGGCTCTTCCAGCCAGTAAATCTGCTGTTAATCCTCCGAAGCCCAGTGTAGCGTTCCACACGGGGCTGCATGATGCTGAAGCTGGATCGGTTTCCACTGGAGGACAACTTTCTCTGGAATTGTCATAAAAAACCATGTTTGATTGATTGACTTGTTTATTAGGTTATGACGGATGGTTGCAAATAGATAAGAACTTTTTCAAACTCCCTACTAAATACTTTAAACTATAATTAAACTTCCATCATATATATCGTAGCTATACATTTTTCCTTAGATAAATGAATTTCCTAATGAATATTGGTATACTGCAGTGTTGTCTGTCCGCCCCTACGGCTCGTCTACATTTTCTATATTTTGCTCACGAAGCAATTTAATCATAAAAATATTATATAACAATCATCTCAAAACTTTCGTACCGCAGAAGAAGGTAAATTTTATTATAACACACACTCGAGCTTATTTTAATTTAAAATTCCATAGAAAATGTGAGATGTAATTAAAATTCAAAAATAATAACAAAAGAATGGAAAGTTTTTAAACCCGCTGAATTTGTTTCGTGGGTTCATATAATGTATGGTTATTTTCGAACCGTTGTTATTATAATGGAGATTTCAACTTTGTATCTCAAGGCAAATGGTGTCTTCTGTAATCAGTCTATGGTTTCAAGTAGTCAGTGAACATTAGGTTAGCCGTGAGATCTCGTCTGCCCATTAAAGCTAATATAAATATAAAACATTACATACAGTGAGGGCAATAGTCGTATTCTAGCAAAAGCTTCTGGTTCGTCGCCGTATCCCAAAGTGTAGTCTCGTGGCGGCAGGTCGTCGGCTGCAATGAGTACGACCACTAGCTTTCGGATTTCACTCTCGAACCAGACTTGCAGTTGAGCGCGTGCCGGTGGACGCTCACGAGCCCTCTCCGCGCGGTCTTGTTCCTACGCCGAGACAACAATACTTAAACCCATAAATATCTAAAGAATCGCCAAAAAGTTTCTCTACTACGCAGCAAAAACCATACTATCTGATTCAAGTCATTGAGATTTAGACAAATCAAAATTTATCTAACCAAGCCAATTCAGTTCAGAAGTAAAAGTAGAGCAGCTGTTGCTTGGTAAACAACCTAGTTTCGTCTCTACTGACTAGGGTGGTTTATCATAGCCATTTTAAATACGAACATAACTCTTTCATTTACAAATGCATTCTATATTGTTCAAAAACGCGGAAATGTTTTTATAGTTCGTCAAGAGTCATGCAGCAATCATAAATTCAACATTATAAATTTGCATCAGCAAGGACATAATATGTTTTCATACATTTTGTGCAATTTCAGTTATAACTGACTCTATACAATGTTTGTAACGTAAAATTTTTAAATTTTTGTCTTGCATATTTTAAAGTCGGTTAAAAATAACATGCGTCGGGCCGAGGCATTTCTAAATCATAAATTAATCGAAATTCGGATGCTCTCATCCAGCATGCAGTAAGCTGTATCATGCTGATACCGTTAACACAAGCTGCATGTACCTACACACCTACTCGGACGGTTGCTTGTCGAAACTTTAATCTTCATCTACAAAAAACAAGTCCTAATGAAGTCTCGAAATTATTAAATCTATCTTCAAGAAATTATTTTAGCTAAAGCTTAAGAGGCGCCAGGGTTTCTAAAGGTACGTTTTGAGTTATTGTGGGTAATCTAAGTTTGTGTTGTAAGGATTAAAGAAGGCTATGAAACGCAGACCCGCAGGTAGACTAAAAGTGTTAACATAACAATCATTTTAACTTATTCTATACTATTTAAATCAAGGTTGTTAGAAACGAAAGCATAAAGTGTCTCACTACGCAGTCAAAAACCCTTGCAAAATTTTACAATATTTGAGAATATCTATTCTTTGTGGACTTACTTTTATGATCTCATTTTAAATCAGTTTCATAATTGTACCTAAATCAGAGAACAAGGAGACGCGATATAATTATTCTCATCGATGATAATGACACGAGTCGCGCAGCATATAGCGATATGAATTTTTGCTTTCAACGGCATTCGTTGCATTCAAACATCGAGATAAAATAATTGAAATCTGTAAGCTTATTACATACACGTATAACAAACAACATAAAACAGTAATTACATGGTTTTTATTTGTTTTATTTAATCGCATTATGTGTGTTTTCAAGTTCACGTAACAAATAAGGCTTGATGTCTCCAAACGGTGCGTTTTACTAAATCAATCTGCACGTTACGCTGACGCTGTGCAACTTCATGCATTTCTGAATGTTTATTTTGATTAATGAATAATATTAACTACGGCAAAACGAGCTGAGCTGAGTTATGTACACTGAGTCTCTGTGTCGTGTCATATCACATGAAGCGTCGGTGCTCGCCTGTTGCTCAAGGTGTTCCAGTGCAATGTATCGTGCGACCATCACTTCAAGCCCCTAACTAGTCGCTGTAGCCCTTTCTCCAACAGTGCGGCATCACACTACGCTAACTGAACAGCAACAATCGGTAACATACAGTCGATGCGCAATACATGAGGCGGGGTACAAACGTTGGTTTCGACGGTGAATCTCCGACGTAGTTACTTCTACCGCAGCCCTCACTTCCAAATACATCTCATTGTCACACAAGCTTCTTTGTCTCGCCACGATTTTCGTTTATTTATTCAGAAACGTACATTCTCCGGTGATTTGTGATAAGTGATTTGTCGGTGCCGTTTTATTTTTGTGAATTCAGTATGTTTTATATCTGTATTCATTAGCTAAGCTGAAAGCGTCGGCGGGACTAGCTTTACTACTCAGTTAATCGTACTTTCGTTAGACACTGAACACTAATCATCTGTACCGTATTAGATAGGGTCCAACCCTTAATCTACCATAGAACACTAATGCTGCGGTTAGCCTCTCTCTACACTTACTGATAGTTATGTGATTCATGCTTATTTGTCTTTTTGGCTGAACGTGCCCTAACTGCGTCCAGCGCCGATGGCGATTTTACGAATTTGGTCGGGTGAAAGAAAAAAATAAAAATCTGAAAATAAGTAGGTAGCATTTTTTCACACACTTCACTTAGGATATTCATCATATAAACGATAACGTATAACGATTATATAGACAACAAATAAAATTGCGTAGGTATATACCTAATATATGTATATTTCTAGTATTCGAACAGTGACCCTCTCTCTTTCTCTCTCTATCTCTCTCTCTTTCTAAACAGTAAAGTTTAACAAAATTAATTACATCTACGGTCATAAATAGAATCACTATTATCTTACAATTAGTCTAACGTGGAAGATGTTCGAATGGTTAGTGCTACAGTTATCACAGCAGGTCAGAAGAGACCAGAGAACGGCTGCAACTTGCGCCTCCTTCACACCAAAATACACATAAAGTACCTACTTACGTAACGATCAACAGCCACAATATTACATTTCAATGTAGACAGAGTAGTGAAGAAGCATAGAGCTGCAGTGATCGGGCGACTTCAAGTCTAGTCTCGCTCACTTAAGTGAGCAACAGAGAAATTATTACACCAGTAGGCACCATCACTGCTTCGTCACACAATAAAGAGGTGTGTACTCAATTTCGATATAATTGATACAAAAATGCTACTTAATACAATTATCTTAAATTCGATCAGTAACTATATTTAAATCACCTCTTTATTCTGTATTTTACATGAAGTATCTTCTAGCGAGAAATGAATTAAATTAAATTAATGGTTAAGAGATCATCTTTTCGACTGATATTATATAGCTTTCCTATCAAGGCTGGGGCTCGTATTCGAACTAGAGAGTTCATTTTGACTTTATATAAGTCACACATTAATTATGTTTTAAAACATGTAATTAAAAATAAACAATTTTGCATTTGTATTCCGAAAACATCATAGGAAGTACCACGTATGGAACGCGGAACAACTGGCGTACAGTGATGTAATAACTGCACGCGTATAAGTTTGCAACATAAGCATTCAAATAATGCTTACTTATCCCTACAAATACAAACAATTCTGAAAGTTGGATTAAATATCCTTATCGAAAAGATGGTCAATCAACAAGAAAGTTACACAGGGATTTTAGTTAATCACAACTAGGTTTAACAATGAATGATCCGAGAAGCACAGAGGAGTAGGCACTGAGTGACAGTCTCTACAAGATTCTGAAAGAGCGAGCGCACGGCTCAATGTCTCATGGATTCACAACACATATATTCATACGATTAAAGCCTAGTTAGGTATTATACCGGGGTTTTCGGCAATTTCCGTCGAGTCGGCGACGATGGAGATTTGTCGGTTTCAGGTTCTGTGAATTAAAACAATATTCATATTACTTCACATACATTAGTTCGGTCCCTCATAAAACTTCTCTAGAACGTTTGTTATTTTATAAGATACGATTCTTACGATTTTTTTGTTTACCCCATACAGTACCTACCACAGAAGAAGCAGAAGAAAGTTCAAAAAATGATGTGCGGTAACTAATACATAGTTCAAGAGGAAAGTAGCCTGTGAAAAGAAAAATAAAAAAGAGAAGAATTATAAGACAGTGCAGAAAGTGAGAAAGTAAAACAAGTGAAAGGTACAGTTTGTCCATATGCTTATTATTACATTTTATAGTATAGACTACTTTAATTTTATTATTCGGTACATTGTATCAAAAAAAAATATGAAGGCAGTTAGAAGTAGAAGAGTAAGTAGCCCTAAATATAATAAAATTTGTTGTATGTTATTTTCGAAATACATCAAACATATATTGCGTTGCCTTGCGTAATGCCTTAAAACACAATGCCTTGTCTGTACATAAATCCCTACAAAACGTTTGAACAGGTAAGCGGTTACTTAAGAATGGCAACATGTGATCTTATGAAAACCTTTGTACTGTTTTACTTGATCGTTTGAATAAACTTTTTACTGGTGGTAGGACCTCTTGTGAGTCCGCGCGAGTGGATACCACCACCCTGCCTATTTCTGCCGTGAAGCAGTAATGCGTTTCGGTTTGAAGGGTGGGGCACCCGTTGTAACTATACTTGAGACCTTAGAACTTATATCTCAAGGTGGGTGGCGCTTTTACGTTGTAGATGGCTATGGGCTCTAGTAACCACTTAACACCAGGTGGGCTGTGAGCTCGTTCACCCATCGAAGCAATAAATAAAAAAAAAAAATTTTAGCTAGTTTACTTGTACCATGTGACAACAACTTTCGTCTTTTATACTTTTAAGCAAGACAGGACGTGTAGACGGATTCTTCGTGTTTCGATGTGCATACCGTATAATGCGTGATGGTGTAACGTCGGCTGAGTAGTCAGCGGCGGATCGTCCAGCTGCGGGGCGGGCTCCACCAGAACCTCCACGCTGTCACCGCCGCGCTCCAACACCGCGCAAACTTCCTCGAAGCTACGCTCAGTCAGTGGAACTCCGTCCCATTCCAATACCTGCACGACATAAACGATGACAAGTATACACTTCTTTGACAGATAACACACTTGAAACTACTTAGTTATTGTAAATAGTTGATGTGTGATAAGTCGTCATGGCCTAACGGATAAGACGTCCGGTGCATTCGTGTTGAGCGATGCACCGGTGTTCGGATGTCAGGCTGGTACCAATTTTTCTAATGAAATACGTACTCAACAAATGTTCACGATTGACTTCCACGGCGAAGGAATAACATCGTGTAATAAAAATCAAACCCGCAAAATTATAATTTGCGTAATTACTGGTGGTAGGACCTCTTGCGAGTCCGCGCGGGTGGGTACCACCACCCTGCCTATTTCTGCCGTGAAGCAGTAATGCGTTTCGGTCTGAAGGGTAGGGCAGCCGTTGTAACTATACTTGAGACCTTAGAACTTATATCTCAAGGTGGGTGTCACATTTACGTTGTGGGTGTTTATGGGCTCCGGTAACCACTTAACACCAGGTGAGCTGTGAGCTCGTCACACATCTAAGCAATAAATAAAAAATGTGGCCTGCATTTAATAAGAAACAGTATTCCATGTAATGATAAACAACAGTGAGTATTTACCTTTTTAGTTAATGTTAAAATGTGAAATTATTGCGAAACAATAATTCTTAAGAAGAAAATGAATTCAATTAAATCAATTCGGCATTGTCTATTCAGTTCATTACCTAAGCGGTTTGAATAGTATTATCAGATAATTAATACCAATAATTTTATGGTGCACTTTAATCTCCCAACAGTCAGAGATCTCTTGGCTTCTCTGGATATGAATATGGTATAAAAACAACTGTTGTCATATTATAGGATTATGCTTATGATGATTAGTTGCTTCTAATATTTTATGTCTTCTTTTCAAGTCTCTGTTGTATCGTACATTCAATAAATACCCTAGGGGTGTGGATACAAATGTATATAATTTTTATATTAATAAGAATTTAGTGGTTAAGTTTTTAAGAAAATAACACAACGAATAAGTCGCGTGAGGATCTTAAGAACGTTTGCGTTTGCTAGGTGCGCATGCCGTCGCGTATGAGAAAAATGTGGTTTAAAATGTGGACATTTTCAGTTTTATTATAAAATCTATACTAATATTATAAAGAGGAAAGATTTGTTTGTTTGTTTGTTTCGAATAGGCTCCGAAACTACTGGACCGATTTGAAAAATTCTTTTTCCATTAGAAGCCGACATTGTCCCTGATGAACATAGGCTACTTTTTTAATTTTTTTTTGGTTTCATGTGTGTTTTAATGTTTCCGAAGCGAAGCGAGGACGGGTCGCTAGTAATAGATAAAGTACAATATTACTATATGCTCTGTAATGAAAAAATGTGGTATAAATTTTCCCCCTGTGATGATATCAACCTTTTTTGATAAATTGAAAAGCGGCTACCTTGTCGCCTTGCTGTAGGCCCGCGAGGTCGGCAGGGCTCCCCGGGACTGTCCACACTATGACGGCCTCGCGGCGTCCGCTCGCGTCTGGCTTGCCGCCGACTACGCGCATCCCAAAACCCCGTGCTGTAATTGTTCACGCATGATAAATTACCCTTTTTTGACTGTTATTAATTACGCTGTCACAACGATTTTGTCATGGTCAAATGCGCATTAATTTTGTAAAAATTATAGGCTGTGACTTATGTGGTATAGAATCTCGTTTTTGAGTGAGATATTTTTCATGAGAGTTTAGTGGAACGCTTACATCTATGTCCCTTGTCATTGGGATCGCGGCGCAGGCTGACGCGTCGCGGTGTGCGATCGTCGACGTCGTGGATGACGATTTTTATAGCTTCTGCGTCGACGGACATCTGCCTAGCAGCGGCTGCAGCCGCGGCTGACACGACTGAAGAATCGACGGTCGGCTCAGGACAGCGGCCCGCCAGAGACGCCATTGCACTTAATGCACCCGTACGCTGCTGTAGCGCAGCTATATCTGGTCTATATTCGAAGATATCACAGTTAAATAATAATTCTTTTACAACTCTTTGGTGCACATGAGGGTACGACATCTTAAATTAATCGTCGTATATAGATTAGTATTTCATTTCTTTACAAAATAATTCAAATTTATTTAATAGCAAGATCATTTTTATTCAAATCTCCGATCTCATGTTTTTATGCATGCTATAAGTTTCGATGAGAATTTCTATTTCTAAGAGAATCCTATTGAGTATTGCCATTCTGTACTGCGTGCTTAATTAATGAAATTTATACTATTTTCCCAATTTCGGAACTATTTTTATGTAATATTAATTATCTACTACTTACCAAAAATATCTTTTAATTTGTTGTTTTAAGAAAATAAAAAAAGTTATACATTATTTATAATGAAACCTGTTAATTAATAGTAAATCCTTTGTTTTCAATTTATAGCAATACAGTCATTCATTTAATAATATATCTTGTTGGTTTATAAAATATTATTATACCATCTTTGTAATAATAAAACATCATTAAAACAGTTTTATTAAAATTTACATATTTAAGGCACACTCTGAGTCTTGCGCACGCATTTGGATCGGAGATTAACATGGTAAGTCCATTTCAAAGCATTGAGCTTGAGATTCGGAAAATTACAGCTGCGGAGCTGGCTTCTAATTCTAACATTGACATCAAAGATCATCCAGAAGTATCAAAATGTGATATACTCGTAGAAGACAATATCAGTCGCTCGTTGGTTTATTACTAATAATGAGGTCCATTATTATCTTATACTTTTATACTTATTATATTATGCTTATATAACTTATAGCTAGAGATGAAATATATATTTTTTTTGTATCAAATACAAAACGCGATTAAGCAATCATCCATATCCACTGCCACACAACCTTGCTTAAGGAAGCACAAGTTTCCAGCGGCACGGAACATTTGATCTGGATCAAAGATTTTGTCTTAAAAAATTGACTTTAATTTGTAGAGTTTTCGTCAATGAACAAGTGACTTCGAAAGCTTGTCTTTTGTATCAGCGTATCTGCTGGTAGTCTACGGAGTGACTGTAGATAAAGGATAAAGAAAAAAAAAGGATTGTGTGCTTTTATGAAACGGTAAAAGTGAAACTTTTTTCACATTATAGACATTTAACTCTGACAAACAACATGTGCATTAAACACTGACAAAAACAAAATAGCGTGGAGCACTGGTACAAATGAGTAATAGTCGATACACTACACGGTCATCTGCTGCGAACTATAGGTGCCGCCGTATTGGCCTTGGCTGCTCTGACGAGTGCCTTTAACTTTATCCCTACTCCGCGGTCGATCGTCACGCGACATGCAACACACAGACGAAAAAGTTTATATATATTTTTTCAGCAACTCACAGCTGACTGCCGCGGCGTCTAATCGGTCTATCCTCGTCGACACTCAGTCCCGATATTTGCGGAGGTGAGTCATCTTCCGTGCGATAGGAGCTCCTACGTGATCCCGCTCCCGCCACCACATCTACTGCTGACGCTCTATTTTAAATAAATACCGTTATAAAATAAAATAGAAACTGCTTAAAAGATTTATTGTCCGAATTTTTCATTATTTAATTTGAAAAATGCTATGTGTTATTACTATATTCATGCCAATTTGCGTTTTTAATAAATTCAATCAACGGTCAGCATATTTATGACAGATTGGTGACAGAAAATCTGCTGTTAAAATGTAAATATCGTCACTCATTTCGAGACACGAGGTTAAAATACCCAAAACTATTGTTTATCGGCTTTCCCACCATTCACACGAAACGCAAGATGCTTTGCGGTAGTAAAACGCAGTTACTTACCCCCGCGGCCTTACAATAGGCCTGGTAAGGCAACAAATTAAATTCATCAGTATCTAATCAACAACATCAACATTTTACAAGTACAAATTGTGATGTTTTTGTTCTCATTTGCACACATGCACACTTCCTGTTTGGACAGATTATTTCATGATGATAATCTATTTGGCTATTATTCGGAAGACATGGGTATGCGGATTCTGACCGCTTCGAGCTTACAATCATGAGTAAGTACTATTTAGTAGTTTATTTCAATCTATTTTCCCTTTTTAAATTTCGCCAATCCTACATTAAATAATCCCGTTTATTTTCTACAATTGATCGACTGACATGAGGCGCTACCAGCTCTAATGTCTGTGTGCGTTGTTATTGACCCCAAATTTTACACTCCTATATAGCACGTATCTATTTTGTTATATCAAATATGTATATGTTTTATCAAATAAGGTTTATATTACGTTTCATTATTGATTCACCTCCCGATACAAGAGGAAGAAACAGTAGGCAAATTACTACAGAGGTAAAATTGTCACCTTCTAGACATAGGAGGTGGTGCAGCTAAAACAGGCTGGTGCACGGGAGAGTGTTGGTCTTCGTCCACAGAGCGCTGTCGAGGGGCTCGCACGGAGCGTCTGCGCACTGGGGTAGCTGCGCTGGGACGCCGGGACTCGGACGCCGCTGGGGTAGCGCTCCCGCCGCCCTTCAACTGCCGGCGCGGGCAGCCTCGTTACAATACCGTTCTCACAAGCAAAACGCTTAAACTAAAACGCGGACCCGCATCATTCGCCACTACTCCCTGAGGTGTCACAAGATTAAGAATACTTTTCTCGACGCCTAATGTATCTTTTGTTTCACTTAACTTTTCATGTAGATCGTTTGTGTCAAAAAGTGCGATCGGCGTCCTTATTTTATTTTAAGCGTCCTGTCTAAAGTATGGTATGTGAGTGTATGTAATATTTCGTGTCTTTAAAGTAATTGCGTACCTTCACGCCTGTCGTTCGTAGTGGGCAGAAACGGGTTTGAGTGACAATTACCCTGGGCGTTGACTGTCACATAAAAATTTTCGATATTTTAATTCAAGAAAAAATATAGAAGAGGAAAGTTAATAGAGCTCCCGATAATAAAATCATTACTTGGTAAAATTAGAGACAGACAAAAAAACTTTAAAGTATCCTTTGACATACATTCATTTCGAATTTGAATGCATGAATTAGAAATATCAATTAAAGCCAAAGGTGTAAATTTCTGTTATAAATTTCAGTTTCGTTGATTTGTTCAAGTTATTTACGAAGACAGACACGAAAAAAGCAAGACACCTACATTCTAATCATCTCTAATCTAAAAATCGCATAAGAAATTAATAAAAGAGAAAGACACAGGTGGTGTACGAAGTAGCACTTTATCCCGAGGCAAACATTACTTTTTCCAATTCCTTGAGTGAGGCCGGTGACACGTCAGAGTGCCGACGTAGTTCTGGGGAGCGCGGCGGTGCGAGGCCGGACCCAGAGCCTCCGCTGCCGAGGCGAGCTTCTGAATGTCGTCGCTGCAGTGCGTCCAGTACCGGCACATCCAACAGAGAATCTGTGCTGTCCTGCGCGGCCGGTGGGAGTCGCGGGGCTGCCTTTCGACGACACACTGAGCACCTCCATGAGTTCTGGGCGCATTTTGAAAATCGTTTGATAACAAAGAACTGAATTATTTGAATACTGTGTGTGAGTTTTTAACTGAAAACACAAGGATCCGGCATGAGCTCCAACAAATTACTCTTAAATGATTCTTATTTGGCAACTAGTCGCAACCAGCCGGGTGGCGTGTTGTGGCTACGAGACTGTTCCGTAGATTTCTTAAGGACCAATGTTATTCGTGTTAGTAAATATGTAGATCTCTAATATGTGTTCCTAAAGGAGTTACGTGGTGAACGAAAAAAATTAAGCTCGTCCAATTTATAAACTAGCGTAAAAGCAGGCTCATTGTGAAATATAATAATGATGAGATTTCAAATAAACCCTTGTTGGCAGTTGTCGGCATCGTCAAATTAATACATTGCTAAAATCTAGGTTCACAGGCTTAACGTTAGCTACTCGATTCTCGATTGGTCAGGGCAATTAATTCTATACTAATTACTAAAATGTTAGTGGACCGTTTGTGCCAGTTTTCTAAACTAGATAAATTATTTTATAGATACTTATACAGTATAACCGCGACGTAAAGACGATGGGTGGACGAGCTCACAGCCCACCTGGTGTTAAGTGGTTACTGGAGCCCATAGACATCTACAACGTAAATGCGCCACCTACCTTGAGATATAAGTTTTAAGGTCTCAAGTATAGTTACAACGGCTGCCCCACCTTTCAAACCGAAACGCATTGCTGCTTCACGGCAGAAATAGGCAGGGTGGTGGTACCTACCCGCGCGGACTCACAAGAGGTCCTACCATCAGCAAAATGCTTATTGTAACATAAAATTAATTGCCTTTCACTTTGTAGTGTTTTGAGCCCGAAGAAGCTTACAAGATGTAACGATAAGTACGGACAATTTTACCACGGAATATTAAATTAAAAAACTTCACTAAGCCGTCGCTACGATCAGACGATCACAAATAAATATTGGAAAACCATTTAAGCTTCATTCACTTTACTTAGTTCTCAATATAAAATAGCTTGTTATAAAATATATGTACTTTGAAATACTTTTCAGCAATATATGACACGGTGACGGTGGTAGTGCTCATAGCTGATTTAATTTTAAGATGTACCGAAGTCCATGGACATCGAAATTCGAGTGCCGCTGGTTACATTGTGGCATGAGATTGACTGACTTAATATCTTTACTGTTTACCAATCTATGCCCTTGAAATAAATACCAATCTATGCGTGAAATAAGCAGACACTAGAGAGTAGGTACCTAAGGTAGAAAAATGAGTGAAGATAAAAATCGATTTACGTATAAATATTACTAGTTCATAAAGGTGCTATAAATAGATAAGGTCATATAAATATCAAATTTTGTGACCATTTAAAATTATTATATGTCCAATTCTCAATATCCCTCGCAAAATAAGGGCTAAGAAACTTAGTTTTCAAAATTGAAACTTTAGCATGTAACTCCACGGGGAAGTTAATTAAATTTACATAGCTCTCGCTTGAACAGCGAATATATTTTATAAATATTAACTTCTACATTGAAAAGTTACTCCTATTGTAAATAGCAACTTTATTGTTTACAACTTTTAGTTATTGTTTTAGTTTTAATTCATCTCATAGTAAAATGAAGCTCTATGATTTTTTTGTGTTTACTTTCTTAAGCAAAAGTACATAGTTATTTAAATTTTGATTTTTCACCGATTAGTGATTAATTTATTTAGATTTACGTTACTGATTGTAGAATGCATTATGAGTGCACATGGGTAAGTGCAGCGATGCGTTTTTAAAGACAAAACAGATATAATACATTAAGATAATTATAATTATGATGTCTTAAGTTATCGCATCTTTTATTTATCCTTCTAGACTAATAAAAGAGTGTCGAGCCGATCGTGCATTTAATTGTTTAATACAGTAATGATACCGCTTCATCGTCACTAGCCGGCTTCGAATATGACGAGCAGTCCTCGCAAACGCGATGCTGGCATCCGTTGCAGACATGAAACACCTCACCAGGCTTCAGTGCCTTCAAGCAGACACGACATGCACCGGCACGAGATGGAGCTTTGCCGGGTTCGCTGTTTAAATGGAAAAGATCATTAAAAAAAGAGAACAAAAACATTTTTTTTTATTGCTTAGATGGGTGGACGAGCTCACAGCCCATCTACAACCCATAGACATCTACAACATAAATGCGCCACCCACCTGAGATATAAGTTCTAAGGTCTCAAGTATAGTTACAACGGCTGCCCCACCCTTCGAACCGAAACGCATTACTGCTTCACGGCAGAAATAGGCAGGGTGGTGGTACCTACCCGCGCGGACTCACAAGAGGTCCTACCACCAGTAAGCATTGGTAAATCTTAATGGATTGACAAACGGATACTTTTTTGTGATCTGCAAATAGTATAAAATATGATTCCAAACAAGTAAACGTTACAGAAAATTTAAATTAGCATAATGATTGTATCTCGAATAATGAAGATGAAATATGAAAAAATTAAAATGTATTTATTGTTTTTATAAAATATTATATGATTACGAAAATATTCTGTATTGAACGAGATTAAAAATCATGAGAAATATATTAAAATTTCGTGGAATGCGTATCTCAAAATTTGTTGAAAAAAATTAAATCACAGAGTATTCTATTTTTATTATGTGTAAACATCTCTATATATTTATTATTTTTCTATTGTTTAGTAGTAGTGAAGCTTGGACAATCTTCGCAATAAAGTGAAAAAATCTAAACAAACAATCGGTACGTTCGTTGATGATACTTTGCCAAAAAATTTGTCAGATGCGCGAAAGTATATACTATGAACACACCAATAAATCATTGTTAATGATAAGGCGAATATTATAATTAATTGTCTATACTAATATTATAAAGAGGAAAGATTTGTTTGTTTGTTTGTATTGAACAGGCTCCGAAACTACTGAACCGATTTGAAAAATTGTTTCACTGTTTCGAAACTACACTATTCCCGAGTGACATAGGCTATATAATTTTTTTTTTTAATTAGGGATCCTCACTATAACTCCAATAATGTAACCCAATATTAAATATAAAATATTCCTTACATCGCGTGCCCTGAAAACTATTGATGATAGAATAAAATAATGTACTACGACTTTGTAGAACACATTATTATTTACAAAAAGTGTCGTGACAGCGTATGTCTAACTATTATAGTTGTGCCGCAATAAGTGTAAAAATAAAACAAGTTCAAATAGCGTTGAATTTTTTGTTAAAAACCCGAGCGGAGCTGGAGCGGGCCGCTAGTTTATTATATTTGGAAGTAATGAATGGTTACCGCTCGGTTTTAGGTTGCGCGGCGGGCGGCGGCTGGCCTGGTGGTGGGGTCGGCGCTGGTTCGACCGCATTTTCCGTCACTCCTTGTTTTGGGCCTAGTTTTGTTACTGTAAAAACAAATAAATGTCAAATTGAGAACAAAAAATACGTAAATTAAAATATAAATTTTATGTTTGTATACATTTATGTTGCTTTATGTTTATGCCAAATGAAAAAGAGGGCTCATTATGCTTTTGAATAACTTTATTCAATATTTATGTTCTCAATAAAATTTAATTTTTAGTTCAATTACGCCGGACTCTTTGACAGAGTAGACTCTTGAATAGACTTAATTGACCAAAGATTTTCGATTGTAAGCAGACTTAGTTGTTTTTGAGAAAACTGACATAGACTCTTTCCATAGCGTCGTTGTCGATTAATTCGGGTTAATATAGACTTTATTCTTTGAAACCATCCAGTTCATTTGAACGGCGGTATGTTCATATTATACTGCTTTTTTTGCCTGTGTGAACCAACTCTAGACCCACTTATTGTTAAGCTATTACCAGAAACAAGAGACATCAGAACATAAATACCGTGCCCCACATAGAGACATGAGGTCGAAGTCTCAAATGTCTTGTATAACGGCTATTCGACCTATCAAACCGTAAAGTATGCCTGCTTCGGAGCAAAATTAAGCTGGATGGTGGTACCTACCCGTGCGGGCTTNTGCCTGTGTGAACCAACTCTAGACCCACTTATTGTTAAGCTATTACCAGAAACAAGAGACATCAGAACATAAATACCGTGCCCCACATAGAGACATGAGGTCGAAGTCTCAAATGTCTTGTATAACGGCTATTCGACCTATCAAACCGTAAAGTATGCCTGCTTCGGAGCAAAATTAAGCTGGATGGTGGTACCTACCCATGCGGGCTTATAAAACATCTTACCAGCAGTAAAAAGTCTGCTCAACTATGAATGTAAAACATCCAACGATGATGAAAATTCAAATAAGTCACGAGTATGTTCCGTCGAACAAGGAATATGCTGAGAATGCACGAAGGTGACTTCTATACCTATATCGCTCGATTTTGCGCGAGAACATCGTAGCTGGAGGTATTTTGCTATGAATATTGAGAAATAATCACAAATTCCTTGGGTAACTTTTCCAGATAGTGCTGAACGACTGAAACGTTTCGCGTAGAATGTTCTAGTTCGATATAGTAACATGTTTATAAACATATTCTCAATTTAAATAACTTATACTAGTTACTAAGCACGCGTTTTAGCGTGATGTTATCGAAACATCGTTGGTCTGAGCTTATAACTCAAATTACGGTAAGTAGTTACTATTGCTAATGAGAATCATGCGAGCGGTAAAATCAAAGCGCTGTCTACCGCAGAGAACTCCTTTCAAGTCTCGTTAAAAGAAAGACGTGTCACTGCGTTCCAGAAACACTGTGGACACAGTTCACTCTACAGGTTTGAAGCAAAAACGATATCTTGAAACATACCGTGGTTCAATGTCTTGGTAGAAAAATAATGTCTGTTCCGATGACGCTAAGAAAATAAGATCATAAAAGGAGATAGGTAGATCATCTTAAACAATACCAAAAGACACTCCCTTTGCAATATATCGTACATACAAGACTTTAAGACTCTCTTTAGTCTCAGAGGTAGAATTATTTTTGTCCTAAAGAGTCTCGTATCGAGTAACTATGCCAGGATTCAAATCCTCTGGCACGCATCAATTTTACAAATAAATACGTATTTATCAAACGTTCAAAAATAACTTTTATTTTGGACGAATACTATTGTGGTAGAAACATGAATTACATTAATAATTTATAAATATATGTAGGCAATTACTAGTGTTTAGGCGTATAGTAAGTCTAGAATTATCCTTTTAGATGCTAGAACACATAGATACTATAACAATAGATACTGCTATGAACTAAGAGTTAGAAACTATAAACTAAGCTTAAAATTATTAAAACGGGACTTAACATAAAATAAAAGGGTTAATATTGAGACTGTCATTGTTTATGACCAAGCGTAGACAAGTATCGGTAGACCATGATAATGAAAGTGGGTCTTAATCAATTTTATGTTCAACGTGGTCATGGTTAGTGCGCTCGTGATCACAGCTCTTGATAACACTTGACTGAAACGTCGCAAGGAGATGTTCAAAAGAAGTAATTGTTTAATGTAAATTGAACTTACTAATAAAAGTAGAAACGTGTAAATATGTATATAGTTAACTGAGTATTAGAATCGTCAAAATTTTAAAGATTCATTTTATAATTTAAACGCTAATTACTGAGTTAATTAAGCATAGATGTTGTTAAATGTATGTAGACTAGGCCGTAAATAATAAAGCTAGAACTTCAAATTTTACCCCGATCTTCAAACTTCTACGTGACTAGTTTGCGAACTTAAGAATTATGGTTGTTATCTTGATAAAATGCGATACGAAATTATTTTAGGTGTGCGCCGGTTCATGTCTATATCTTCAAAGTTTGTTCAGCTTAAACTTTCGGGATCGCCGTAATCATGACTCCGCTATATTTTTGCTCATTCATACCGATAAAGAGAATTTCACCCAAAGTGATGAATGGTTATTGTTTAGTCATAAGAGATAACGATAGGCACCCTCTGAACACGTTAAGTTACCATAGGGCTGTGATTTTCATACATGACCGACGTTTTTATTTACCATTTTTTTTTAAATCAGACGTCATTCTTACGGTTTATTATTGTTAGTTCTAAAAGTAATGGATTCTTTTATCGACAATAAATCAATGACGGTTTATGTTATATAATAGGTTATGGGCTTCTCTAACTGAAGATCCTTATTATTTTCCCCTTTTGTTTCAAGAGCACTTCCCGAATATCTTGAACATCCTCGTAGTTCCCTTATTACACACATTTCAGTTATTACTTTTACTCTGACTTATTTTGCTTATTCTAATAAGGTTTTTGATTGTGTTCGTAAATGGAGACACTATGACACTCCTGAGAGTAGTAATTATCGTTACACATGGAGGTCAGCAATATGAGGTATACAGTCAAACCGTTGTTTTCATGGGTAGACTAACTCGGTTCATATGCGAGCTGTTGGAACTCGGAACATGTACATATATTATATATCATATTAGATTATAAGCAATTGAAACCTTGCATATTTGATAAAAGATCCCCACGGAATACAAAGGTATTTTACGCTAGGGATATGTCCTCTAACACGCATTTATTAAACCTTTAAGTTATACGATCTATAATCACGACTACGAGGCATGTACACTGTAACAAGAAAATTTGTAACAAAATTGTACTAAATGGCTTACCTTTGTCTTGGGCGTTGAGTAACGATGAAGAAAGTGTTTGGCGTAGTTTTCCGAAAGTGCCTGGCGATTCTATCTGCCCAGGTACAGTACTTGTCGTGTCTTCGGTCGCCACCATCTGCGTCGAAAATATTTCATATAAGTAATTTTCAATAAGGTAACCAATATATTATGAATCCTTGACCTACTTCGATGAAAGAAAACTCTACTCACTGAATCTCATTAATTTTAATAGTAATTGGACGTATCATAGGCCCACTTGGATAAATCTAAGTTTCGCCTTATTTCAGCCCCAACCTGTTATGAATTATGGAACAAAGCAATTGAGACTTCGACCCTATGTGAGGTGGGTGGTGACATTCATGTGGTGTGCTGCCTAGGGGCTCTTGTAAGCATTTAACACTAGATGGGCCGCTAGCTTGTCAATTCAACAAGAGCAGTATAAAAATTAAAAAAATCATTGAGATCATAGACATTGGTTTTCATATTACGAAGTAAAACCTGATCCTTTTTACATGTTTTATGATTTTTGTGGATTGTTTCTAACAATCGGGATAGCAAACCGAAATGAACAAAACAATACAAATAGGACGCTAACTATAGCGCCTTGACTTTTGGGTCGAGGGTCGTGAGTCCAATTCCCACTACGGACACACATTCGTGTGACGAACAAGTTTGCAACTCATTGGGCGTTATATATTTAGGTATATAATAATATGGTAATTTTGTTTTTTTTTGTAAAGTTTACAAAGGACAGGGAATCGCAGTTTGAGTCCAGATGATAGAGTGTCGTGTATTTCTGATTGCTTATTATTTTTGTCAGTGACGTATTCAATTATATATTAAACAAATTTAATTTGGCTTTCGGTAAAAATGTTGTCTCAAATATTGCTCTGTCAAATTGATTATATCATTACTCCAACTGCAAATTTATTAAGCTTGTTATCTCTGAAAGTAATTTTTAAGACATTAAAATCTTATTCGTATATTAAAATACGAATTCTTGGTTTTGAAAATTTTAACCTACATCAAAAAGGAGAAGGTTTGCAATTCGACTTTTTTCATGCGTATGACCTCAGAACTTTTATCTAGGTAAGGCTATTTTTCTTTTACTTGAAAGCTAAAACGATTTTTTGTTGTTTAGATGGGTGAACGAGCTCACAGCCTATCTGCTGCTAAGTGACTATAGGAGAGCACAGACACTTACAACGTAAAGCCGCCACCCATCTTGAGATAAGTTTTTTTTCCTGCCTAAGCTGATGGCATTGAGAGGCCATTTCAGCGTAACCCTAACAAGTAGGTGAGCTCACGGGGCTCAAACCAGACGACGTTGCTAACACTAACCCTAGCAAAAGCAGTGCTTCGCAGAATCTACCACCGGATCGCGGATCGCGACCCACTGAGAATATCCGGCGAGAAACTCAGTGGGCTGTGTCTGTGGGTTAATTTACTCGCCGAGCCCTTCGTCGCAAGCGACGGGTTCGACGAGAACGAAGTTGTAAATCTCAGTTTTATTATAAAACGGTTGCCCCTTCCTTCAAAACGAAACGCATTTACTGCTTCACGGTAGAACTAGGTGTGGTGGTGGTGTTACTTACTCGTGCGGGCTCATGAGATACTCCACCACAAGCAAATGTTTCTCTTCTGGTCCCATTTAGATTAATGTTATCAAAATCTGACCAGTAATTTATGAGCTATCCTTAATAATGAATATTTAATTAACTTCGATTACATTCATGATTCATCATCATTCATGATTTTCACGATATTTCGTTGAAATTTTTGTTGTTGTTAAAATTTTGTATAATAGATGAATTATTTATTTAGTCCCAGTTTCGATAAGTGTATTTAAAATATATACTTAGATGCTTATGTTTAAGATTTTAAGTAAACCTTAATCGATTTCTTCATTGCAAAAATCCATATTTATATGGAATGTGTTATTTAAAAAAAAACTACTGGATAGAAGATCCGACTTCATTTCCTTGTTTAACGACAAAAATTCTGTATAATGATAAGTATGTTTATAAAACACTTAACTCTGTAGAAAACTCATGTCGTGGAAAGCGACACCACCCCACGATAAAACTCTTCATACAAAAATAACGACTCCGTAATGCTGTCGTAAATTTTATGGGGAGCAACAGATGGAGAATGAAATACATCAGAGACGGGAAAATCAATATTGTCGCCTCTCGATCTGAACTTTGGAGGGTTTTTATTGCTACGCCATCAAGCCATCGCAAACTTTCTATTTTAGTAAGTATAGATCATGTACTCTCTGTAAGCATTGTTATCGAGAGACGTGTTGACCTAATTCTAATTATAATTTATATGTATTATAGGTCATGTGACGCGCCTATGACTCGAGAATAGCTTATGATGAAAATAACTTCTCAAGAACGAACTAAAATGGAATCTTTAAAGTTCAAAGGGTGCGAGAAGATTTTTATTGAGTAAATAAATATACCTATATATAGTTATATCTATACCTATACCTATATACCTACATATATGTAAGCTTTTAAAAGATTAAGTGTTTATAAGTTAGCTTTTGTGTTTATTTAAGAAATACGATGCACGCTCTAAAAAGTCTTTTTATATTTTAGTGTTATGAAATAAAATGGTTTGTTTGTAGTGTTTCTATTATTCTGTAGTTCATTTACGCTAACGATCATTCCCAAATTAACGTTTCAGTTCAATGCAAGCATCAACTATTCCTGTTCGATTACTAGATACGAACAAAACAAAATAACACCAACGAATTTTGTGAGTTTCTAGATTATCAAGAACTTGTATATGTAAGAGTTATTAAGAAATAATGAAATGGTAATCAACAAAATACGGACGATATAAAAGCTATTGCTGGTCCTCGATGGATACAGGTAGCTCAAAATAGAACCAAATGGAAGGACTTGGAGGAGGCCTTCACCATGTTTAATGGGTTCCTGCTAAACACAAGTGAAGAAAAATAAAATTTATTAAATACCTATTTACTTTGTATTTTAGCAGGAAATAAAAGGCTTCTAATTTTATTTTTTATTTTATTTATTTATTTAATCAACAAAATGTTATAAAGATAGCAAAATTAAAATAGACTAACATCTATTTAACTTGCCTAGCAGCTCAATTCACTTTAATGCCCACTTTGCTTCAGAGTGAATTGAGCGATTGCTTCGAATACACCGATGGGAAGACTTATAGCTTGGAGCGTTCTTCGCCCGGTAATACTCGTAATATACATATTTAAAATTGTTTATTGTTGTCGTATTATTAATAAAGCTGATTAATTTAACAAGAATATTATACGTAATATAAACTAGACCACAACATCAATACAGCCAGCCTCAGGGAGAACAAGGTGGTGCTTTTACGATTTTCATGAATATTGTATTAGTTCAAAGCAAAAAGCCTGAGCCTCATCCTAGGGGAGTGTGTGGGATAGTTCGGCCACGACTGACCGCAACTTCCTTTATTCCGACGTTATTAGATTTTCTAGCGGGTCGGCCGGCTAGTGTGGTAAAGCGCTTTCTAGTTAAACGCATAATAAATGAAGACTCTAAATCACTTATCTCACAAATCAAATCATTGCTTTATTATGTGTGTGTACATCCTTTTAATTAGGTATAATTAACATTTCCTTTACTATATATAAGCAACAAACGGTGCAACAAATGATATATAACAGTAAAAGTAAGTCCAATAAAAAACTCCTGTAATAAGCAATAACATACTTTGAATTTGTCCAAGAGTATGTCAGTACAGTTTATTGTTACAAATGGGTTCCGACGACGGTAATTTTTAAGATAAAAAGGACCGAATGATTAAGCGTTCCCATGTTTGGTCCACTTGTTGCCTAAATCTACTATTTACCTTATAGCACTAATGACTGTAGCTGGCAGATATTGTCTTTCGTTTGAAGTCCTTTTTGAGAGTATTTTATTGGCTATTTCACTTATAATCTAAAGCTAATCTTGGTCGCCAGAGTTTTTTTAGTTCATAAATGATAATTTGCAGCCACTTACTTTAATTTTACTTTACTTTTTGAAGCCAACTTAAGAAGCGCATTACTCTAGAATAATTGCAGGTAATTTTGTGTTTGCCCATTTATTTAGAGATATATTCGGAAATGTTACAATCACGTTATTAAAACTCAAACTAAACCGAAAAAAAAGCCAAACGTACTTTGTATACAGAATATATTTTACTCAATTAGTCAATTGCAGATCAATGAACGTAGGTATTCACAACAACAGTGTTGTTAAGTGAATGTTTCGTACCAATAAAAGTTTTACACAACTTACATGTCCTACGTAGTGCAGTCCACAAATAGTCCAAAACGAACACTTTGTGTTCTGTAAAACGTAATTCAAATTAACTATACATTGTATATCGAAACTACAAATTCACAATTAAGATTTTTGAGGACGAAACTTCACTAATGTCAGTAAATACATTTTAAACTGATAAAAGTAGTCTGTGTAGTGCAACTGCGAAGAGTATATAAAGCCTTCATCACTTTTGTTCAAGAATAGTCATCCCCGTACTTTAGAGCAATTTCAGAAAATGCAGCGTAGTTGTATTGTACATAAATACGTGAAGTTGAAATGAGTTGATGCCTGGTTGAAATTAACATTATTAATAATGATTTGTAATTATTAGTGACATGGGTGAGCGGTACAGTAATATCGTTCACACGAGTGCTAAAAAAGTGAGCATTTTAATTAAACGGTGAGAGGTTCGGATCTCTTAACCGACGGTCTATTTATTCTTTATTTATTATTTTGTTCGAACGTTTATGGCACAATAGAGGCGGTCGCAATAATGGGCGGCTTCTTTCACGTGCGTTTCATCCGAACAAGCCCTCGATGGAGGCTGTATGTGGGAGGGCCGACCCGCGGGTGAAGACCGTACAAAAGAATGTAATTACACGTCATGAGCAAACCACTCAATTGCTCTTTTATTGTATTTTTTTAAACAGCAGCTACTTAAACTATTGCTATATTAAATTTCATTTTTCTTATTACTAAATTTTATAAATATTTTACAAAGGACTGTACGTTTTCTCAGTTTCTTCCAAACAGCATTTTGCACTAAAGTGAATCATTCCAAATTGTTTATGCGGTCGATAGCACATTTTTAATAAAGTCGTAAATGAGAATGTTCGTACATTTTCATTCTGTTATTGCAATAGTTCGCAATGAGAATCACGAGTACGCCAAGACATCACGACTTGAATGATGCTGCTTGTATTGAGTGAGTCCAGCACCGTCTGTTGTATAGCTTTTAAACAGGAATATATGTGGGGATAAATCTACAGGTGGAGAGACAGTAGTAACTCGAAGAGGGTAGCGAGGCAATTACGCATCTTCTGATTACTAGCTAGAGAGACTAAAATACTCTGACTGCATGCTGTGTATATTACATTTCAATTAAATATGAACAGACATTTGTATCTAATTTAAGATCGATTGTCCCATTACTGAAAGCTAAAATTTAGTATCACGTGCTTATGATTCTTGAGGATTCCGTTTCTTCCTACTTTTTATTATGAGTTAAATATTTTTCCTTATTTACTCAATATAAAGCAATTAAAATCAAGCGCTTCACAGGGTCCAAGGCCCCGTGCGACGGGGAGTCATTCATTTGAAATTCACACAATTAATATACTTAATGTACATTATTTCATGAGTTGTAATTTTCTGAATTCAAAGATGAAACAAGCTGGAGATTGGATCGTTAATCTAACCTACATTTTGTATTTGTACTGGGCTCTGACAATGTGTGTTATACGACAAAATTAGTGCGGGCACAGTGGAAAATGGAACGGAAACCTACTCAAGCGGCCCTTGCACTGAGTCGACGTGTGAGATTTATATCCGTACTTAGCCTTTATTACGCCCGAAGTGAAGGGTACTTTCGTCTTCGTTAAACAATGTAAGAGTTAAAATCTCTGGTTAATGTGTGGAATTTTCAGATTTGAAATCCCAGGCTTAGGATTTATTATATGGGCTCAATTGCAACGAGTCGGCGATTAATTTAAAGTAAATTTATTTGAAATCACTTACAAAACAAATAAATTACCTTGTTTACATCAACTGTTTTTGAAACTTATTAGTTACAATCCAAATAATTTTTAATATTAAGCTTTTTTATAATTTTCCATCGTAAAATTGCAGAAGCATATATTTTTCTATTTTATTATATTTCTATTTTTTTCTATTTCTTTATTTCCATATATTTCAAAAAAAAATGGAGTCGCATGTTTATTTATTGTCATAAAATGATTTGATAATCATGTCGTGTTGAATGTACGAGCACATACGTACATAAAAAATATAAACAACACATTCCGCTGAAAGTTAACTACGCCAAATGGTGATTTAAGCTAGCTAAGGACGTCGTTTGTCCTATTTGATACTACACGAATTACGAGAGAGATGTATCACTACAACACGCTACCATAATAGGTATGCTACGAGCATTCGTAACTTAAGCTACAATGTTTGCAGTGTTCTAACAAAATAATATGTAACAATTTATCCCGGCTTGCCATCTAAAGTTAAGACTTGTTTGCTTCACTTCGGTGATCTAAACTACAAGAACACAGGTTGTTATATACAGTGCTTTTTATAACACAAATCGGGTAGAAGT